TGGCTGAGGAAGAGGGAGCTCACCGAACAACAGATGACTAAGACGTGCTCAGAGGAAGTCAATATACAGGAGTCTGGGTTGAAATAAGACAAGAAAGGTTTGCCATAGTAAATTTAAGAAATACAAAATGAACCCTGGCTGGTGTAGCTCAGTGGACTGAGTGCCGGCCTATGAACCAAACGGTCACTGGTTCGATTCCCAGTCAGGGCACATGCCTGGGTTGCAGGCCAGGTGCTCACTGGGGGACACACGAAAGGCAACCACATATTGATGTTTCTCTTTCTCCCTCCCTTCCCCTCTCTCTAAAAACAAATAAATAAATCTTAAGAAAAAAATACAAAATGACACAGCAGATAGACCATACGACCCGGTGAAGCCAAGGCTAAACAGCCATAAGTTCTATCCTTATATAAGTATCGGGGAGACCATAAAAAAATACAACTGGGTCTGTAATTTTGTTTCTTCTATGTAACTATTAGGTTTTTGGTTTTTCCTTCCCATAGGCCCTGGGAAAACTTGTTACATACCAGTACTTCAGACTGTTACTAATAGACAAGGAAATTCAAAGTCTTTGCATTCAAATTATTACTTCTCTTTTTAAAAATTAATTAACTAATTAATTAATTAATTAATTTTCAGAGAGAGGGGAAGGGAGGGAAAAAAGAGCAGAAGAGAAACATCGATCGGTTGCTTCTCCTAAGCGCCCGACTGGGACTGAACCCCCAACCCAAGCACGTGCCCTGATGGGGGATCGAACTGGCAGCCTTTCGCTTTGCTGGAAGATGCTCAACCAACTGAGCCACACAATCAGGGCGGCTATAAATTCCGATACAGCGCTAACACCGTGGGGCAGTAAGTACTGGGCTCCAGAGTGCGTTAGCTGTCACCCTGACTGGTTTCCCTCGCATGTCAATGTTTTTCTTCCTCTTTCTCCCTTCCTTCCCCTTTCTCAAAAAATAAATAAATAAAGTATTTTTAAAAAAGTATGTTAACTGTTAAGAACACAAGAAGGAAAATACTCAAATCAAGACTGACTGAAGTGGACACGGTACGTACTTTCTGAGTCTGCCTGTCTCTCGAGACTAGGTGCTGACCAGAGGAAGAGCTGCTTTAGTGTTCACTGTCTATGCAGTCAATTTTAATTGAAATTTAGGAAAACACAAATATTATGACTCTAATTGGCAATATTTCTTTCTTTCCATTGAAACTTTCAGTGTCCTTGGATTCGAATTATTGCTATTTCCACCAAAGAAGAAATGCTCTCACTGTGAATAGAAAGAGGAAAGGCAGGGGTGGGACCCAGTCGCGTGGTGAGAAAACCAGGCCTGTGGCAGCAGCTGTCACCAATGAAAGACAAAGGGACGACATCATGAGAGAAGTGAAAAAAGGAAGGAAAACCGTCCCAACAGCTTCTCCTTGGAATACCTACTGTGATCACACTGACCCAAGAACAATCCCTGCAGGAGCCACGCCTCCTCGGCTTTGGCAGGTGGGGGGCAAAGGAAGTAAAGTAAACAGCTCTACAAAGTACAACTCCCCCGAGACCAACGACCTGGTCCTAACATACCGAGGAATGAGGAAGGGCAAAGGCGCCTGGTTCCCAGCTGATGACTGGCCCCCTGCCAATTGCTGCTGCTAGGTGGTTGCAGATGCTACTCTGATTCATGGACGCATCTCCCCTTACCACAGTTCTCACAGCACTGAATTCTCTAAGACTAGAGCTTCCTGCTTTAAAGAAATAAGAATGCAGTCTTTTTTGGCCCGACTCCAGTTTCCCCAACATCAACTTCTTCTGGCTAAGAGCATCAAGGAAGGGAGATAGGGAGATGCTCTCTGTACACTCGGGGGGGGGGGGGGGGTGTCAGGTGGGCTAGATAGATGAAGAATGAAAAACTTACCTGTCAATCTCACTGCTGGTTGGCCGAGCCACCTTGGCTCCTGATGATCCTAAAGGGTAGCTGTCCTGGGCCATGGAGCCATGGCCTGTGGTGTCAATCACCATGGCTGTGACCTCCTCCGCACTGCTTCCGTCTTCTCCGGAAGGCTGGTTCTCGGGCCCCAGCCACTCCTCCAGATTTTCGGTTTTGATGTGGACTGCTCCGAGCACCCTCACTTCATCGTCACTCCGTGCCCCTCGGTCGGCTACTCCTGTCTCCACGTACCACTGTCCCGCTCGGTTGATCCGGAGGATGGGCTCGCGGCTCTCTACATCGGAACTTGGCTCAATTATCTGCGGGCTGGTGGACTCCTCAGGAGGGCTGAGCTCCCTGATGTCCAGCACGGCACTCACCTGACCTCGCCGGCTCCCCTTTGGGGGATTATGCCGTGGGCTGAGGGAGCGGTTTAGAGTTGGCGTAACCCTGTGAGACTCCGGGGGTCTCTCCGGATGCTTGGTCCTCGTTTGACTTAATTCCACTTCAACCTCAGCCACGTTAATTTTGAAATGGATGCCCTCCAGGATCTGGGTACACTTGTCTATGATATGCTGCATTTGCAGAAAGCTGGCGGCTGTCAGGTAGCTGATGATATCTGCCAACTGCAGGCATATCCGCCCTGTGTAGCAGAAAGAAAGGAGCTGTTCGAAGACCGTGGGATTCTTGATGACCGAAATGGAGACAGTACTCATCTCATTCAAGGACATGTGATCCCGGAAATAGGGGGAGCTGGCAGCCAGTACCACTTTGTGAGCCCGAAAAGCTTGTCCTTGCACATTGACCACGATGTCACAGAGCCGGCCCTGCATGCGCAGCTGGTTGAGGTGGCTCAGGACAGAGTTGCTGAAGTCAGGGATCTCCAGTTGTATGTTACCACCCTTCTCCATGGTGGGGCCTGAGGGCGTCGGCAGGCATTCAACCCTGCTGAGAGAAGAAACCATAGTCTCATTAATGATTAGAACTGCACTCCCCTGGTGCTTCTGTGTTCAAACCTATCTGAAGACATCATTTGGCAAAACTTCAAAGTCTCCCAGTAAAAAAGATACCCGCCTCATGTTTAGATATGGACTAGAAGTACCCACAGGTCTTTCAGTTGAAAACCGAAAAGTGATTGTGAGACTGCTAAAAACTCAAGCTACCCCCATGCTTTCCTTACTAAAAAAGGATGCAGCATCAGGATACAGTGTTAAAACAGGTCTACAGAAGAGAGGAGAAATGCAGTTGTGAGTTTCTTAAAGTGTTAATCATAAGGTGTTTGCACTGCATATAAAATCCTGTGACTTTTCCTCAGAGGAAATAAGTTTTTAAGTAAATGTAATTACATACGGGTAGGTGGATTAGATATGCCTCTTAATGTTTTTCTACATGTTGTGTCAGCTTATTATTTTGTAAAATCACTAATATTCCACAAGAATGTAAGCCATTATTGGTAAATATTAAGAGTCAGAGCCCCCACAAAAAGGCTTATGGTTCAGGACTCTTGAGAACAGGGCTCAGTAGCAATGCAGAGAACTTGAAGTTCACTCTCAGAATTAGGAAAGGATAGGTATACCCGACCCTATCTCAATCCACACTTGGAAATTTCAGGGTGGTGATACTTTGATTTGGAAATTTAGTTCCCCAAAGCTGGTCAAAAACAGGGCATTTACCAAGTATGGTTAATACTTTTACATTAGAATCTTTTTTTTTTAAATGGTGAAAACATTAAGCCTGTAAGTGCATCCAAGAGCCTTCAGTGGTTGACAGTAGTCTGCATCTGCATGAACCCCAATAAGACACTGATTTGAGCCCCATGTGTTTCCATTTATCTGTAAAGTTATGACATTGCATAGTTAGTTACCTAAGAAACTGCAGGAACTTCTGACAAGCTCACAGGATCGCTCGGTATTCACAACACACTTATCAGTAAACAGGGAAGTGCACACTGCTTTCAAGAACCAACTTGAGCAATCTGACCTTTTTCCAAAGCGTTATTGTTTGTTTGAAAACTTTTACTCCAATAAGAGCCTCTGTCGATGCCATCCTGAATTCAGATGCGTTTATTTTGGCGCCTACACCAGCGCCTTTTTTGTGTGCTCTCTCCGGCAATGCCCTAGTGAGGAAGAGGGCCCTGGAGGAAGGTCCTCTCCCGTCCGCACTGGAGGGTGAGCGCTGTAAGAGGGAGAATCGGGAACGCGTGGGGTCGACCACTCCCGTACCTGAGTGGCTTCCGTCTGCGTTAGAAAGCGTGGGGACCGGGTGCTGTCTGTGCCGCCAAATGTCACCGAGGAGCAGGGGGAAAGAGAAAGAGGGCAACAGCGAGTGCAACCCGGAGCAGACCTTCAGGTGTAGGGATGGGATCGGGAAGGGGGCGGTGCCCCGGGACCTGGGCCAGGCAGGAGGTGTAGGCGGGCGGGGAGGTGCCTGGGGTGGGTGTGTGTGCCTGGGTGTGGCTGTCTGCCGTGGGGGAGGGGGCCGCCCATCCCGGGGTCTTGAGGGAGGGGCCAGGCGGCTCTCCCCGGCCGGGGTCCAAGAGGGTGGGAGGTCTCCGGGTGCCTTGAGGTGGGGGTGAAGGGAAGAGGCTGAGCACTCCAGGAGCAACTGCGGCGGAGATCTGGCTGGGCAGCCTCGGGGCAGGGCAGCGGGACGGTCGTGCGGGGCCCCAGCCCAGTCAAGGAGCAGCACCTACCTCCGGGGGTGGAAATGGGCCGGAATGGGCCGGAACACCGTCCCGGAAGTGAAACCCCCCGCCCCCTCCCCCAAAGCGGGCGACGTGCCGGAAGGAAATCACTCACGCTTGCACCATACCCCCCCTTTACCCCTCCCCCAGAGCTTTCCTTCCCTCGCGCCCCCTCCCCTCTCCTGTCTTCCTCCTTGGTGGGTAGGAGGGTGGGAGCCTTGCGTCACGCGGGCGGTCGTGACCCCGCCCACAAGTCTAGGGGCGGGGCCAAGGGCGGGCTTAGAGGCAGGGAAGGAGGTGTGGCTGGAGGAGGAGACTGAGGGAGGAGAGAGGGAGGAGCTCACGCGGACGCTGGCAGAGTGAGTGCGTCATGACGTCACGAAAAGAAACCCTTATATACAGGCGCCTGGACGCCATCTCGGTCTTTCGCAGGTGGAGGTCCGTTCTGGGTATGTGTCATCTTGTTTTGCAGTTGCTAAGTGGGGCCTTGGCTCGAACCCCACAGGTCACTCTAACTAAAGTCGTTGTAAACTGCGTGGCAGTTACTTCCAGGCTAGTCGCAAGCCTTTGCAGGACTCACGGGATGAGGATTGTAGAGGATAGTGTGTTGGGTGCGGGCTCGAAATGAACTCAACAGTCAGGTTGTTGGGCCGAACTGCGGGAAAACCTCGGCTTCCGTGCCCTGCCTCTGATGAAGCTTATGTTGGTAGGGACATCTGAGACCTTTGATGAATGCCAACAGCTCTGATGGCGGCACGTGCCGAGTCACCAAGTGGGCCTTTGTTAATAACCTCGGCTGGAGCTACTTCCTCCTGGGAGGCGGGTAACTGGGATAGTCCACATGGTTCTCCAAGTGGCTGCATTCCACAGTGCACCATTATTTACATCAGTCTTTATTGATCTTAACTGTGTAGTGCTGTCTTTATAATACGTTAAGTGCACCCGTTACAGCCATGAAATTATGGGTGGTGGTGTAAACAACTTGCATAGGTGATAATAAAAGGACGTAATTAGAAGAAAATGAATTAAACAACCTCATCTTCTCCCTAGGAATGTTGCAAGGTATCAGTTCCATGTGGCTTTGGATGGTGTCTGATGGACAGGTAGGAAATGGGTAAATGCAGTGGGAAGCATGAAATTTGCCTAGATGTGACTTTTTCATTAAGCCTGTGATGCTTTAAGAGTAGTGGGCAGAAGGGATTTCTGAAAAACTTCATTCTGAGGCTTAAATATTTGTGACATTAATGTCGCACGAGGCTGCACGGTATGTGTCATTGGTGTCCTTTGCGTTTTCCAGGCCTGTGCCAAGGGAAGGAGACCAGCTGCTGCGGTGAGTTACTGCAGTTCCCTGACAAAGGAAGGTTGAAAGTCCACGTGGTGTGCCACAATGATGACATTTTATTTGCTACTCTTGACTGTGAGGATGACGAGAATTATTACCACCATTATCCTAACTGAGGCACACCAAACGGTGATTTAGAGAAGAGAAAGATGCACCTAAGTTGACATGAAATGAAACTTTTTTTGCAGGTCTTAACGCACAGGCATCCCACCCTGGCCATGGGCCGACAGGTGAGAAACCTTTTCATAGTTCATATTTGCCCAGTCCTTTTCGAATACTTTTCTAAGGGGTTACCGATTGCTAAAACCGTGCTGATAACTTAGGGTTTTTCTCCTCTTTTCAAACGTGAACCTCTGCACTCTTGATATTTCACGCTGGGCAAGACTTAAAACAGATACTATGATGTTTGCATAGTTCAGCAGATTGAGTCCTGAAGAGATGTACCATTTGTCTGATGTGTCTGGTGTAAAACTTTTGCTGGTAACAGCGAAAGGAAAGTGCCACTACTAATTTAGCTTCCTTTCGTAGGCGCTGAAAAGAACCAACTGGGAGTTAGAGTGGTAAGTAAAATTACAACTTACATACCGGTAACTGGACAAATATGACGGTGCTACCAGCGGCTTCCTAGGGTTGCCGTCCGGTGCACGCAGGAAGCACTTGCCATGATGTGCTTCAGTGTGCCGAGGGTGTTGTGTTAGAGATTCTGGTCCTTTTACCGCTACGACGTCATGAGTAGTCAAAGCCCCCTGCATGATGATAAGCAAATACTGAGTGGACGTGAAGGTCTTATTTATTAGCTCTACCTGATTTCGGGCCATTTTTGTAGATTTATGAGTGGCAATTCACTTGTAGCTGTTGTAAAACCGCCCTTATTTCTTTAGGTGGACCTGAGTCTTGGATATGTCTGGACCAGCTTTAATTTTTCCTGGTGAGTATCGGTGCTTAAAAATATTCTAATAGGTTTAGAACTTACTGAGAATGCTGGTAGAATACAGTGCTTGACTAACAGGCTACTAATACTTGATGTCCTGTGTTTGGTTGATAAATGCATGTTATGCATGTTCTCTGGGGTTTTTGTAATGATGTTGATCAAATGTCTGACCTGAAATGAGCATGTAGACAGATTTAACACTGAAAACCCCTGTGACAAAGAACACTGAGCAAAGAACTTAATGGTATTAACATTAATAAAAGATGTTTTGTGTACCTTCCAGCTGAAAATGGATACACGTTCTCCTCTGTGGATGGCATGCTTGGGGTAAGACGTGCAACAGCATTTGGCTTCTGTTCTCAGATACATATTTGCTGAAATGTACTCGTCTTAGTAATTGTTAATTGTTAGTGATTTCCGGTGGTAAAAAGCCACGGGCAGTTTTAAGAAATAGTCTAAACAAATACTTTATTTTTCAGGTGCCGATTTTGGAGACATTTGAAATAAAGGTAATGTATTTTATTAATTTTAGCTAGTTACTAAGCAAGATGCTGTTGGTGATGATTTTTGAAGTTAAAAACAGATGGGAATCTCTCTGAAAAAGAATGAAGTTTTCTCTAATAACTGAAACAGCACCTGGAAAAATTTAGAAATTTGCCTATTACTACCTATTCCTAAATTTGGATGTATTTCTGCAGGTGTGAAGAGTGAGCTTGTCAAGAAGGTGGCCTGGAAGAAAGAATTTCAAGCACAGAGGTATGGTAGTTTTGAGTTTGGTTTCTGTGTTAGGTGGTTTGAAGCCGATACAATGATGATAACATAGTTCAGCAGACTCACAGTGATGAACAGTACTGTCTTTCGCTCCTATCTGATGTATCTGGCTACGGTAATCATTTTATAATCTCAAAGGGGAACTGGCCATCATCTCAGGAAACGGTGCAGGGGTTTGGGTAACCGATGTCATATAAAAGTTCCCTGTGGTGTTATTTTAAGGGTTAAGAACTCGTATTTGGAGTTCAGGTTGGTAAATCTTGTGAAGAAATTTTTTAATAGTTTTTTTAAGAGAAGGGAAGAAAAACATTGGTGTGTTGTTCCACTCTATGCATTCATTAGTTGATATGTATGCCGAGAATTGGACCTGTGACCTTGCATACCGGGACGACATTCTAACCAACTGAGCTATCTGGCCAGGGCATTGTTAAAATATGGAGAACATACAAGTCTAGATTATACCAGAATTGTTTAACCGTTGTATTTACTTCATTGGATTTAATTTTGCACTTAGAGTCACTAGCAAAATTGACAGAAAGTACCAAGTGTCCCTGTGCCCTGTAACTGCACACCTCCCTGTCAGCATCCAGCAGTCATACTTACAAACCTACATACGGGACACACTGTGACCATCCAGAGTCTATAGCTTATGCTGGGGTTCACTCACGGTGCACTGTCTGGGTTTGGCCAAACGTATAATGACACATTCGCCATCGTACTATACAGAACAGGTTCACTGCCCCAAGTGTTGCTTTTCCAAAAGTAATAATGGGAACAAGGTAGGGCATGTATCTAATGACTGTCCTTTTTCCATCTCCAGGTAGACCTGTTACCCTGAAGGTTTCCAGGTGAGTCAGGAGTGGGTCTAGTGATAACGTAGACTGTAACCAGTGATGTGCTGATTCTGCCAAATGAACTAGAATGATATCACTCACAAAACCGTTCCATTTTGAATCTGAGGTTACTTGACCAACAAGCATCACAGAAGCTTTTTTTGGTCACTGTTAATGCGTTATCTTTGCTTTCAGGCACTCAGGACGGCGGTCAGGCAGCTGAATGGCCAGCTGAAAGGTAGGCCCGGAAAAGAGCCAGTACCATATTATTCCAGAATACGTGATGATCTACCCCACCTTGAACTCTCTCACTGATTACTTGATGAGTGTAGAAGATCTGATATTCTGTGTACTTCAAGTGCCGTTAGAATTGAAATACGGAAGAGTGACTAAAAATGGCCATTTTCTTGCAGGGAGCTGGGATGGATATTCACGAGGCAGAAGATCAAATAACTGAATTTTAATAAAACTTTATGTGTAAACCATCTGATCCAGTCTGCTTATTTCAGCTTAATGGGATGAAGAGAAGAAAATAGGACAGCTTTGTAAGTTCGACCCCCTTGGCAGCCCCAGTTTCACTCAGGAGACGAACAGGTGGCGTGTCTGTCCTGTGTGCATTTTATATGATGTCTTAGGTTTGAAAGCGCAGTTTATGCTGAGGAATAAATAAGCTCCAGGCCTTCCTCAGTGGGCTTAAGTGTTCAGAAGGGGCCATTGAGTTTATGCAGATGAAATGGCAAAGAAAAGCTGGTCCTCTTAATGCCAGCTAGTGGGGGGAAGTGGTGAAACTGGAACTTTCCATTTGTCCCAAGCACCATGGTGCTGGATCTGTGGCTAAAATTGGTGTGTAAGGTGAAGTGACCGGCTGTCTTAGGGTTGGGTCACCTCCAACAGATGTGTATTGGGAAGAAGAAAAACCTAAAAATAACAGTAAGGCACATTAGATTTTTTGAGGCCATTTAGTGCCGTGGTCACAAAAATGTCTTCATCTTTAGAAAATCAGTTTAGAAGAACAGATTTTGCAGAAAGTTCTGGAGAAGTATTTAGGTAAATGAGAACATTAATTTAACCAAGGGTTTTACCAGCCACCTTCTCAAAAAAAAAAAAAACCATGGGCTCCTGACAGCATTGAAATGCCAAATTACAGCTCACTTTCTAATGTTGCACTTGGAGCCATTGGGTTGCAGTTTCGCTTAGTGCTGGATAACTCAAAAGTTGTAGATACTGCAAATCTGAATCAGGATAAAGGTGGGCAGTCCTTTTCTCCAAATAATTGGTGCTGTCGGTTAATGTGATAACTCACAGTGTATGAGGAAATATTTCAAGTTGTTAACCTTAGCTGCATTGACACGCATACTTAGAAGTTACTTGAACTTGATGGTTGCTGTCTGCAGGACAGTTCAAGCCCACATTACTTCTGGTTCCTGGTCCGTACCTAAATGTCCTCCCACGGGCCTTGAGACCCTGTGTGAAATGGGACCATCCATCCCCACTCAGGTGCTAGCTCTTAAAACTTTAAATTATTCATGTTCTCACCTACTGGAATGTAAATTCTGTGAAGGGTTTGTTGTATTGCAGCATTTCCAAGCCTGTTAGTCAGGCTGGGGTTATATAATTAGGTGTGATCAGGTGAAGTCTTTGAGAAGGCTTCCGGTGACTGGTTGCTTGAAAGGCTGAAGATCAAATACCCTGATTTGGAAATTGGGGAAGGATAAACCTATTTGGGGACAGAAAGAAAGGGCCACGACCACATGGAGGAGCATTAGTCTTGATCTGAAAAGCCCCAGTGGTATAGGGGAAGCCAGCTTGCTGGGAGATGGGGAGGCTTTATGGAATGCGAACCCCATATACAGCAGAGGGACTGGACTCCAACTGGTGTGACCCTAGAAGCCAGTGGGAAGTTGGACGATAGTGTTGGCCTTCAGATTTTAGGGCCTCGTAACTTTCATAACCTGGCTGTGCGTGGGAAGGTGTGTAAGGTGGTATTACAGCTCCAGTAACTGGTGTGAATACCAGATACTGTATCATTGAAAGATGCTGCCCATTCATTAAGGGAGCTCTCAGGTAATTCATGTGAGGAAAGTAATTATTGGTGAAAGCAAAAGAAGCGTTTTATGGAAAAAAAAAAATCGTGGACCTTTTGGCTAACCCAATATGAATTTTGGTAATCCTTTATACAGCATCATATTGTGGAGTTTCAGCCATTAACTCTGGACTTTGCATAGACGTCATTTTAGCAGCTGGTGTGGCAGTGGGAGGTGCATGTGGAACACTTGTGCCACGACCCTCAGTAGTTTTCTCCTGGGAAAGCCGTGTATGGTGTCGAGTCCAAGCCGAGTTGCTGGCTCTTCCTGTGGAACGCCATCTTCACTTGAGAAAGTTAAGATCATCCATATTTGGGTATTTGGCAGATATTTTCTCAAAAATGAACAAGTAAGTGTGGGAAAAACTGATGGCATTTGTTGCCAGTGATAAAATTCAAGCTTCAACGGAAAATGGGGATTTCGGGAAGCTTGCATCTGTCAATAAGCCCAGCCTTTCCACACTTCAGACTTTTATGATGAGCTCAGTGGTGGTACTAATAAATGTGGTTTTTTAGGGATTGCATGATGAAATGTGGCGACTTTGGGAAGGCTGGCATAACTGAGTGGACTAATAAGTTCCAAATGATGAATGTTTGGTGTGTTATAAAATTACTCAGAAGTAAAAGTTACTCAAGTTATGAGAAGGGCCAGAGGTCTTGGAAAAGTTCATCCGTATGATTCCGATTTCACTTTGCAAGTAACCTGCACGGTATCAAGGAAGAATATCCATAATTACCAGAAAAGGCTATTTAAATATGCTTTCTTTTTTCAACTTTGAAGCCAGATTTTCTTTATATATTTCAACCAAAACAATTGCAGCATGATGAAATACAGCAAAAACGAGAACCCAGTGTCTTTTAAGCCAAACAGATGTGCAGGAATGTAAAACGTCACTCTTCCAATTTTTGTATATTTTCTAATAAGAATAACTTTACTAGTTGTTAATGTAATGTATTAGTACTTAAGAAATCTGAATTCCTATTACTGTAGTGGACCTCTGAAGAGCTCTTTGGGATCCCCCAACTTTTAAAGGCCATAAGGAGGCCTGAGACCAAAAAGCTTGAGAACTGGCTACAGCGGAAGAAATAGGAGCCCAGACAGGTTAAGCGATTGGACCAAGGCTGTGTAACTAGAGGGAGGTAACGCCAGTCCTTAAATCCTGGTGTCTCCAGGTCACACGAGTTTTTTTGGCCGAGGCCATTGTTGTAAATACAAAAGACTGATGTTGATAAGCACTTACTGTGTGACTTAGGTGTGCAGTTGTTCTGTAGATAACATTTTTATTGTTAGATAAAAGTTTTATCTGGTTATTGCTCATGAATAACTGCCTTCTGAGAAAAAAGTATCCTTAAGATGAACAAAAAAGCAACAAAGAACGTGAGCAGTGTCAGAGCTCTGGTTCTTCAGATGGGAATTCTGGGAAAAGACAGCGGCTGTGTAGCTGCATTGAGTTATCCACCCAAAGCCAAAGATAATCAAACAGCCCCATCAGACACATCACCTGACACACTTTCCCAAAGAGGAGAATTTGTTCACAAGGCAAAGCTCTCTTGAAGCTAACAACTATCCACTCTGTAGCTGGCAGTTGCTCACCTTGTTTTTAAGACTTGCAACCTAAGATCAACCTAAATTGCCTAGGAGGCTGGGGATTGGATTTGAAATGTTTATAAAGTTTCACTCCACCTCAGTGATGAAGATCTAAAATAGTGACGTGTCCCTGGATTTCAGAATAAGCATTTTTTCCCCTCTGACAGGCAGGACTGAAGACAAGCTGAGCGATGTGCCCCATGTGACTGGGTCCCTGAGATGCTGACACAGCAGTGGGACTTGGGGCCCCAGGGCCTTTGGTTAGTTGTAGCCTAGAAAACATCCTACAGATTTGGGGTATTTTCCGTCAATCATCTCAGCGTAGAAAGACAGTATTTTGGTCAGAATGAGCCTCTAAACTGAAGAGTGAATTTACATTTAAAACCTGGGTAACATGCATGTGGGAGAAGTGGATGTAAAATCGCATTTTCCTGCCCAGTAAAGGGCATCCCTAGAGTCTGCCCACCGAGGAAGGGCAGGCAGAGTTGGGCAGCCTCTCTTACCAGGAGAACCTGCCAGCAAGGATTTTCTGGCTCCAGAGCCCACCCACGGCTGGGGAGTGACTGTTAAGGGCCAACTTGAGGGGGACACTCCACCTGATGCAGCAGCTGTCTGCAGTGGGGGAGGGCCTTGACCCTCCTCACAGCCCGCTGAGCAGCAGGAATCAGACCTGGAAGGGAAGCTGCTTTTATTTTCGAAGAGAAGGTTATATTATCGTGAGGCTTAGAGCCCTGAGAAAAGCAGGCAGGGATAGAGGCTTATACTTGATGTTGACAGGTTACAAATCAAGACTGTCAAAGCAAAAGTGAAGATAATGTAGGGAAGAACAATGTCATTCATCAAGGCCTTGTTCCTATATTTATTAATCATAAGCTTTCACTTTTGTCAACAACATACTTTCAAAAAATTGAGCAAAAGTTATTCAGGAATTAGTTATTTTTAAAAAACAAATAGAAGCAATACTGATTAATAAATTGACTTTTTCCTTCACTATAGTCAGTAGTACTTTATAACCTTACATTATAAAGTACGTAGATACACCCATGATTCCAGAAGGGAGGGTGGTCTTACATCTGAGCCACGCCTCACCGTTTTTCAGAGCATTTTCACTCTCATGGTCTCCCACATACATTGTCTCCTTTGATTCTGCCGAGGTGTGGTGGCCAGGGCAGGCAGTTTGCGTTGCCCACAAGCAGGAGGGAGGCCAAGAGGCTCCAGCAACTGAGGGGCAGCAATGACTAGGGTTTTGTGGACTTCATTGATGTTCTGTGTTACAGCGCGTGGCTTCTCCCTATGTCCATAGCTGAAATGTTACAGCCCGGCTGAATTCATAGGATTCTCTTGATGGCGCCGGTTAAACTGACTCCTCCAGCAACTCACCAGTCTCAAGGGGCGCTTATTTTCTTACATTCCACACATGATTTGATTACTTCTGTCCTGAGTGAACAGTCTACTATCCAGGTATGAAAACCGTGATCAGGAAAGAGCCATTGTATTACTCCACAAAGAGCCTTCTCTCACACCTCTCCAAGTAGAAAAGGAACCTCAAAAACACCCTAATAATGCACATTATCAAGTGCAAGACCAGCTACCTTCTATGTGTCGCTTCTTTGTGGTGAAGAATGTAGCCTGGAGCCCTTCCACCTAAAGACAGGTCAGATCTGTGAACTTGGATCTGATTTTAGCCTTGAGGGAGCAAAGAGGGTGAAACGTCAAAGCTCAACTTTCTGGACGGCGTGGATGACTCAATGAGTTCTTTTCCTCTTCTGAGTCTGTCGGCCAGGAGACCTGGATATGATAGGGCTTCAGGTCCTCGGGAGGGATGACATCCGGGGCATTGCTCATGAGGTCGTGCCCCCGGAAGGATTTGGGGAAGGCTATGACATCTCTGATGCTTGGCGCTCCAGTGACGATGCACATCAGCCTGTCCAACCCTGTGAGTAAAACACAAAGTCAACAGGTGACAGTGTAGCTGGAGGCTGGGAGCGACTTAGTTTCCCTTAAAGGTTGTAGAGAACTTTTAAAAAAGAATTTTTAACGGGTTGCAGCCAAGCACAGTTCCCTGCCTTTTCAGGGACCTTTTGTGTGTTTGAGGTCATTTTCTGTCTCATTTTAGAAAAATGCTCAGGACTAATAGTCACGTCGGCCAGGATGCACGGGGACAGCTCACTCAAGGCTGAACAAAATTCAGTGCCGTGCGGGCGACTCCAAGGAACAGAAGCAGGTCCCTGTGGTTGAGGTCCACATCCTAGGTGAGCTTTCGAGAATTTGTCACACTCTCCCTGACTTGATCAAAGCAGCGAGCGAGGTGGGCACCCTCAGTCGTTAGGAGGGCCCTGGCACCGAAATGGTGGCCAGGACAGGCCAGACCAGGCCAGACCAGGCCAGACCAGGTGGCCGGGCTTTCTAGACTCCTACCCATGTGTTGGAGGCCCCAGGGGCTGAGCAATAGTGACTTAAGACCACGCAGTTCCATTCTATTAAAAAAAATCTAAATGCAAATTATCAGTTAAGTTTTAGCTTTATCATGGTAAAGTGTATTTTTAACATACTCATATATCAATGAAATGAACACTCAAACTTAAATTCTGGAGAACCCTTGGGCTCACCCCTTACCAATTTTCCTCCCCCACCCCTACCCTCTAAGCTGGGAGCCCAAATTTGAGACAGTGTGATGGAATGAAATTTGGCTTGCAAAGACAGGCTGTTTACCTAAGGCGATTCCTCCATGAGGGGGCGCCCCCGAGTCTAAAGCCTGGAGCAGGTGGGACAGCAATGTCACGTCTTCCTGAAATTCCAAAGATAATTCCGTTTCAGCACACACTGCGGGCACACTACGTAGCACACAGTGTGCTTAGGCGTGAAAGGGAAAATAAAGGGGGGTTAAAAAATGACTTAAAGAGGTTTCCAGTTAAGTAAGATAATGTGACAAATCACAGGTATTAAAACCTGCAGAGAGATGCCTGGTGCTCCGTAGATGCAGCTATTACGCTGATAATGCAAACCTAGCGAGCGAGGCTATGGGGGACTGAGCAAGGCTAAGGAGGGGTAGGCTCCGAAAGGCAGGATGAAAGCAGGGAGCCGTCCCGTCCCAGGGACTGGGGAGGACAGAAGGAAGCAACCGTGTCAAATGCTGCTGGGAGGTGGGAGTGCTTGAGGGGGGAGGGCAGGCCTCTGGACTTTGTGACAAGGAACCCTTGTGAGGCAAGGTACGTAGAAACGCTGACAGTGTCTGGAAATGGTTCCCTAACTGGGCTGCAGATCGGAGCCAGGCAGGAGCTTTCTGGAACAAACACCACAGCCCCACACTTAGCGCTTTTCCTTTAACTGGTCTGGAGTGAGAGGGGGTGTTTTGTTTTTCACGCCCTTTCAAGCGATCCTGCCCCCCTGAGCAGCAGGGCTGGGAGCCGCTGCTGTGTGGGGAGAGGCAGGCGCGCTCTGACACCTCTGAGAAGCCGGACAGTGAAGACAGGTGGGCGGCAGGCTGAGGCTCTGGCTCAGGGGAGCAACCCCAGGGGGCTTCGCTGCCCGTAAAACTGATGGGCATCGGCTGTCCTGAGTCCCCCACTGCTGCTCTGAAAAACCAAGTTCTTCCAGCGCATGCCACCCCCGTGGGTTAATCCACAAAGGGACCTTTCAGGATCAGAGCTGGATCTTTCCTTCCCTAGACCTCGCCGTCTACAGAATCACCACCCAACGGCAGATTCTGAGCCTGAGCCTGACCAGACTTTGCAGAATCCTGATCACCCCGCTCTGCCTGTCACTAACTGCAGCCGTTTCGGCTGAGTGAGGTAAACTCCCTTCACACCTCCCTCTCTTCCTCTGCATCATCAGCAGTGAAATGGGCAGAGTAAGAGTGTTCATCCCCAAGAAGTGACAGTGAGAATTAAGTGTGTCTGTGCATTACGGTACTTAAACAGGGCACAGCATAAAATAAGCACTAACAAGCAGCTATTACCATCTACTTTCAAAGTCTCACACTAAAGGCAGGAAGAGAAGCCAATACTATGCTGTATCTAGTGAGTCCTCCATTCATAACAAACTGCAACACACAAAAAGGCCAGGTTGGAAGATGGTTACCTTCAGTAACGTTTCCAGGATGTAGCGCTGGAGCTGAGCGTCGTGAATTCGGATAGAACCACCCCCTATCTCGTTGCCATTTAAAACCAAGTCATAGTGTTGGCTACGGACCTAGAAAACACACAGGGTCTTTACGTCAGGAAATGTTCTCTACTGACTCAGACCCGACGATTTCTCCTGGGGCTTTAGGACTGAAATCGGAAGTTCCCTGCCTTCGTTTCCACGTTTCCTTTACCTTCCCAGTACCGACAGGGTACCTTTTCGGGCTCGGTGTGTAGGAGGTGGACGTCACTGGGGTGGGGAGCTGTGAACGGGTGGTGGGCAGACTCCAGTTCTCCGGGATGTTCTTCCTTGGGAAGGAACAGTGGGAAATCCACCACCCAAAGGAAGGAGAACAGGGCTGGGTCCCGGAGCACCGCTCCTCTTGCTTCTAGAAGGTCAGCACATTCCAGGCGTAATTTTCCCAGCAAAGAGCACTGTAAACAGAAGCAGGAGAGCTGTGTTAACTGCCGAGACAGAGTAGTCAGCAAATCACACAGTCTGGATTCTGAAGCCAGGCTGTTCTCGGAGAAAGGACTAGCAAGTTAACAGAGGATACACCCAAAGCTTTTCAGGAGACAGCCGTCTGAGGCCCATCTGACTGCCACAGGCTAAGAAGAACCATCAGACTCTGCGACTGGGTGACTGGGAGCACCAGTGTCGGTCGGCTGGGTGACCTGGGTCTGAATCTCAGTCTGCTGCTGGCTTCTCTGCACCCTGTCCCATAGTGAAACGGAGATAAAAAAGCTACTCCAGAGGGCGGTGGCAACAATTCCGTGAGATAAGGCCTAGAAGGGGCAGCATGACGAGTCCCTCTTCTGACAATTATTTCCTCACTGCTCCTGAGGCTGTGACGAGGATCTGCTGAGTGCCTGGCTGCTATGATGAAGGCAGTGTGGCTTAGAGGCTAACTTAGAGTGTGGCCTTGGGAACCAGACTTGGAGGGTTAGAAAATAAAAATCGGGCTTTTCCACTTCCCTGCTGTGTGCAAGCAAATTTTTAACTTCTGAGTCTTGGTTTTCTTATCTTCACAATGGTAACAGTATCAGTACTTCTTCTTAAAAAAAAAAAAAAAAGATTTATTTGTTTATTTTTAGACAGGGGAAAGGAGGATGAAAGAGAGGGAAAGAAACATCAATGTGTGGCTGCCTCTCATGCACCCCCTTGCTGGGGACCTGGCCTGTGATGTGGGCATGTGCCCTAACTGGGAATCGAACTGGCGACCCTTTGGTTTGCAGGCCAAAACTCAATCCACTGGGCCGCACCAGCCAGGGCAGTATCAGTACTTCTTGACCTTTACCATCTACTTCCAGTGCTTGTCTGACTTTGACCCCACAGTTGTGTGTTTTACCATGGTCTCTGCAGCTGCACCCAGTCTCCACAAGCCTCCTGCAGCACAGTGACCGAGCCAGTGTGTGGTGGAAAGTGCCCCTCCCAGCAGCTGGTCCTGAGGAAAAGGGTCCCGCCACGCCCAGGTGGGCGAGGGTGTCCGCCAGCCCAGCAGCCCTCCAGCAGGCTGACCTGTCCTTCCACATTTTCAGGCATGCATTATGTGCAAAAGCTAGTGACTACCAAATATTCTTAATTTGCAAAATCTTGCAACTGAAAATGTTTTCACAATTGTACCCTGCGTACCAACAGCCCTCCACCCAAGTGGCTTTCTTTATCCGTGTCTGTGTGAGCAATGCCAGTGGAGAATGGTAGTGAAAAAAACCCTAGTTTTTCTATCATGCATTATAAAGTGCTGAAAGAGGTTTTTCCATATAAAAGCTCCAGGTTATGCAGTTGACAATGTTCAGTGTGCTCTATCTGCTCAGGAGAGGAGAGCCGCACTCAGCCCCAACAGCCCGGAGCGCGGGGCAGCGTTGCTTACTGCTCTCCTGTGCTCTCCGGCGGTGAGCAGGACCACATCCTCTTCCTGGGCCTCCAGTCGTCCGACGAGTTCCCATCCCTGTTCCTCCATCACGAACTTGGCAACTGGCGTATTCCAGTTCTGACTGGCTTTCAGGACCACAGGTAGGACTTCCTGTGATAAAGAAAAAGACATTTGATTTTGTTATAGTACAAAGATTTCTTGTTCTCAATAGAAGAGGATTTACATGAGATTATCTATTCCTTCCCTGAGCCCCTTTCCAATTAAAGAGTCATTTCATCATAATGAAAAACAAACAAGAATGAGGGTCGGAGGGATGTCAGCAGATAAGAGATTTGTGCACGTTTTTGGCAGATCGAGAGTGAATGGAATAGGAACGACTGAAAAAGCAAGGCGCAGGGAGCTCTGGCCCAGAGAACTGTGGGCAGCCTCAGCACAAGGCACTGGTTTTACCTGCAGAATCCTAGAGATGCTCAGGACTCCTGAGGCTTTGGGTCCCCAGGGCAATGGCCCATCACCCTGCTGCTCCCCCTAATCTGAACCTAACCATTCACAAAGACCCCCTGCGAGGGCCTGGTGCTCCCAGTCAGCTCTGTAAATGCTTATATATGTGTAATCAACAATTGCTACACACTGAAGAACCTCTGCAGCATAATCCTCTCCCCCAAAATCCCCCCAAACAAATCCACAACCAAGATCAAGAGGAAAGACCCAAGAGGAAAGAGGTAATTTAGGCATCAAAAAAGGACTTAAACCTCAAAGGCAGTCACAGATATTTTTAACAATAAAACCAAGTTAAAAATGCAATGAAAAGAATAAAGAGCTCCTGGGAAATAAAAATGGGATTGCTAAAAAAAAAAAATTCAACAGAAGAGTTGAACAAATCTCCTGGCTGGGGAGGGGCGCGGCGGGGGTGGAGTGGGGAGAGGAAGATGTGAGAAAGGACGCAGAAAAAAAGAAAAAAGACATGCATGTTACAAAAAGAGGTCCAAAGGACAAACAAAAGAAATTCCAAAAAGGACACTAGAGAAAATGATAAGGTCAAAATAATTAGATAAAAAAGAATTTTGCACCAATGAAAGACTCAGTGAGTCGAGAGGGCCCTTCAAGTGCACGACACACGGGAAAGCGATGCAGAGCTACACAAGCTGAGGTTTCAGAACATCCAGGATCAGGGGGCGGAAAGCCTCCAAAGGAAAAAAATGAGGTTTGCTAGGAAGGAATAAATCCTTGCAGGCACCAGACTTCTCAACAGCAGACAGAAGAAGAAATGAAGAAGCTAAAGCAGCTCCTTCGACAAGCAGGGCTGTGTAGTCTAACACAGTGGCCGCCCATCACACTCAGCTACATAAATTTAAATGAAATGAAGTTAAAAATTGTCAGACGCACTGGCCACTGGTGGCCATTTAGCACGACGCGGGTGTGGAACGTTCCCGTCCTTACAGGAAGTCCTACCGAACAGCACTGTTCTAGAGGGATGTGCCCTCCAGCTCAGGATTGTATACAAAGCAGAACTGTTAGGCGAGTGTGAGGTTTTGAACATAGAGACATTTTTGGACCTGTAAGGACTCTGAAAGTTTCTCTCTCACATACTTTCTTAGGAAGGACCTGAGGATCAACTCCTGCACAGGTAGGGAAGAGGAAGACTGGGGTCAAGGTCAAGAGTGGCTTCGACACAGAAGAGGAGTGGAGGAAAGGTCCAGGAAGCAGACGCGCACAGTGGACCGAGGAACAGGTAAGGCCCGTGTCTGGGAGCCTCCCCTCTCACTGCAGGAAGTTAACAGGTAAAGTGTAAAATAGGCCTTTTTAAAAAACACAGTACGTAGACATATGCGTATTTCTGAAACCAGATGCCCTGGTGTGGCACTGGAGTGGCATGAGCCATAGCAAACACTGCGTGAGTTTCGCTATTACTGTTTTTTTTTCAAGTGAAAAGGAAAATCTTGGGCATATGGGGCTTCATTTAATTTCCTAACCAGATTGAAGTACCATTGCTTATTTAAAAGCTTATGACTGAACTTACATTCTCATGAATGGTGCGTTTTTTCAAGATTTTATTTATTTATTTTTAGAGAGAAGGGAAAAGAGGGAGAGAGAGAGGGAGAGAAACATCGATGTGTGGTTGCCTCTCACATGCCCCCAACTGGGGACCTGGCCCGCAACCCAGGCACTTGTCCCGACTGAGAGCCGAACCAGCGACCTACTGGTTCACGGGCTGGCACTCAACCCACTGAGACACACCAGCCAGGGCTGACTAATGGTAAATTTGACTGTTTAAGCTGAAGTCTTAGAATTATACCCAGGGGTCAGGTTAAGTTTAAAAACAAAAAGAAAAAGTAGAATGATCTGAAATAACAAGACTGTCAAAACTAATGATAGTGAAAGAGCTCAAGAGATCATTTAAAGTATTAAATCTCTAAAAGCAGGGGAAAAACTGCTCTAATGAACTCCTTACCTGATCAAAATGGTCAGCTGCAAGTTTTCTAATGGACTCAATGTCTTTCCTTTTTAAGTATTTCTGATGAAAGAAAATCAAAGTAAACTCATCGATATGACACTGAACTTCATAAACACGTTTATGACAGCAAATGGGGTATAAATACACTTTGAGTCGTTCTATCACAACAGTAGGATTCAAATAAAATTTAATTTCTGCTGCCAAATGTCAAAATTTTAAAGCTAGCTACAGGGCTATTTTCCCCTAACACGCAGCTCTCACTGGGAGTGGTTCCGTGTAATAACCAGGATAAGTCTTCAAAACAGTCTTTACATCTAACTGTGAAGGAAAAAATGAGGAGGATTCAGAATTTAATCATTTCAGGTCTCTTCAAATTCGTTATATCTTCCTGTTTGTAAAGTGTCTCAATGTCTTTCTGAGTGGGACACCACCATCGTAACTAGTATTCACGGGCCACTGAAGTGGGCACGGGAGACTCACAGCCCTGCACGTCTTACAGTCGCCTGGGGAAGAACGGACGCCCTTGAACTGGGGTAAAGGTGGTAACAAGCAATACATGTTACATGAGTTCACAGCTTACCCGGACACATCCCTACGTCTGGACTAGAGGGGACACCACCTGACCCCCCACTGGACACGCTCAGTGAACAGAATGCAATGAGACGGAATTCTTACCGAGTTTGAACATACCCAACATGCTCACGCACCCGAATGAGCTGTCTTTCAAATAGCAATCTTATTCAGGTGCCAACAGGCCTGGGCTGTCCTGGGCTAAGCTGACAGCCTTTGGACAAACTGAGGCTGGAGACAGAACAGGGACGCGATTCCACGCTCATCGCTGGTGGAAATGACCCCAAACGAAGCAAATGTCTCACAGCATCGTCTACATGGGAAATGGCTCTAGGTCTTGAGTATAAAGTCATGCTTATCAGGTTTTTTGTTCTCTACTTATAGTTTCAGGGACACTGTTAGACTTGACGTAAAGATATACGTCCTTTTTTGTAGGACCATGAGTTTATTTGAAAAGATGAGCACACTTATTTAAAGAGATTGTTCTTTCTGAAGTTTAAACCTGCCCACGTTGAACTCGTTTCCTTCATGCATGCAAATTCTAGAGAAAGCAAAGAACGGTGCGTCACTTACTGCTCCTCCAGGGACACGTATGGCTTTGACGGTTCCTTGGGGTTCACTGAGTGCGTCCTGAAGAAATCTAACCTCTGTGTTTCGGAACACATCGCTGACATCTACAATCTGGAAAAGTGGTAAAAGAACAAGCAGATCTCGTTATATCTACAGAGTGGTTCCCGTGGGTTGGGCACTGTGGTGAGTGTGAACACTCTTCTCATTAGTACTGATTCATCGCATCCGCAAAACAAGAGTGTGAGGGAGGCACTTGGATGATCCCCACTTAAAACATGAAACCAAGGCACAGAGAAGACATTGTGCCCAAGATGACACAGTTACTAAGTGGCAGAGCCAGAAGCGAAGCAGCCTGGCTTAGTCCACTACTCCGTATTCCAAAGAAGAAACAAGGATGTACACTGGCAGCCAGGAGCTGGCAGTTAGGACTGTCTGGGTGCCGAACTTTTTCATTCTAAGAACGGAGCACCACTATTCACAGATGAGGTGGAACTCAGCTTCTAACGCGTCTGCACTGAGAACCGATACAGAAATGTCACCAGCATTACGGAGGAAGGGGCTGTTGATGGGGGCAAACAGTGAGAGGCTTGCTAATGGAAACTGCGCCACGGAAGTTCTGCCCTTGTCCTTAGTCAACTGTATATTGATCTTAATAATTTGAATAAACATTTCCATATCTTTGAGCTCTTTAAAGACCATGGAAAAAAAAGTAAATAACTTGTGATCATTTGCCTTCCAAATGCCATTTTAGCCCCAGAAAAACTGAAGAGGAAAGCACAGGTTTTCCTTTAAGTTACCATTGGTGTCCATGTGATTAGTAACTTGTCAGTAATACGAACTTTTCAGCAAGAAGCCTGCTCTTCGGAAATGGGTTTTAGAACACAGCAGACACACACAAGTGTTGTAATGGCAGCCCTCTATGATCCTCTCCTGCTGTAGCTCCAACACAACAGAAGTAACAAGCCCAGGTAACAAGAAAAAGTATGACAGAACCACGTGTGTGGCTGGACGTAGATTTCAAAGTGGTTCAAAAGACTGCGGGACTCTGGGGGCAGAGACCTGGAAGACGGAAGCATCGGTACCTTCATCCCAAAGCGAGTGTCAGGCTTATCGGTTCCATAGCTGGCCAACGCCTCAGCGAAAGTCATACAGGGAAAAGGCACCCTCACCGGACCTTTGTCTTTGGGCCAGGAATACTGGAGCAAACCCTCAATGAGACTACGGATCCCAGTCTGGTCTACAAAAGACATCTCTATGTCGATCTGAAACCAAATAACATATGGAAACTAACTTGAACAGCCGCAGTAACAATATAGACATACTTATATATTTCTCTGGCTTTAAGGTGCCATAGAATTCTGGATGTAAATACTTACTACGTGGGGGAATAAATATTATTATACATCTGTTTCCTGTCAGACACTGTGCTAACACTTTACATACATCATCAACTTGTTAGTTCTCAAGACTATTTATGGCTTATGGCTCAGGGCAGCTAAGCAAGTTGCCTGTGCATGTGTAGCTAGGAAGTAGGAAAGCTACCCGGGATCCCAGGTCTGTCTACCTTCAAAGCTTATGATTTTTGAGCTTCCCCACACTGATCAATGTGCTACCAAACAGAAACCAATTGTAATAACCGTGATAGGTTAAACCCCAGCATTCAGAATTGCTAGTTCTTAATGCACTCGAGGCATTTGAAGAATGTTATCGTGGCCATTCAACACTGTAGGAACCTCTGGCATCCCTCAGTTGGCAGCCATGCTCCTTCTGAAAAGGACGCATGAAATAGGCCAAAACTAAATAATTAATGCCGCACTGCCGGTTAGTCCCACTAGCTATCTGGTGGGTACGACGTCACGAGAAGGAAAGTACGGGTAATGCCGGCCTGGTCTGGAGCCACTGGCTGCAGCGAGAAGGAGGGAGGGAGAGACAGGGGACACAGCTTTGTACCTGAGTGAACTCGGGCTGCCTGTCCGGCCGCGAACCTTCATCTCGGTAACATCTGGCAACCTGGAAGTACCTGCAATGGAGAAAGAGCATTAAGGGAGGCATGGTTCTACTAAGGCACACACACTTCTCCCCAGAGTTCATGGCAGTGCAGGCTGTGAGATACGTTAATAATACTATTGAAGGGCATGTGAGCAACCTAACCTAGTCGGACACAGCTGACCCGTGAGAACTGAACTATGGCGTGCATTGTTTTGGACACACAACAGCACCTTTGAGTATTCACACATTAGCCTGGCATGCAAGGTGGCCCGTGCTCCTTCATATATCTCGTCTTGGCCACAGTGACTACTTGTTGCCCCAGGCCCACTGGGAGCTTTCCTGGGCTGTGCTGTTCAGCCCTCATCCTCATCCGGCAACAAGCGGCTCTGTCCCAGGAGGCGCAGCTCACAGAGCTTTTGACATTTCCCCAAATAATACAAGTTCAAACCTCTTAACACCTACTCTGCAGTCTCAATGCACTTAATTTTCATGCATATCACAGCTGGTTTTTAGCACAGAGCTCCCTCTACACACGGAGTCCACCCAGCAAATCTTCACTGAGGGATGACTACACATTTGTAGGGGGTTTCTTTGCACGCATTTTCCAAACTCTCATACACATTTTCTAACCTTCTGTTAACAGCTCAGACCAGTTTTTTCCCTCTTTTTCCCATCCCCTTCCGACCTTCCCTTTCCTGACAACCACTAGCACAGAGCAAGCTCACCGGTCTAAACCGCCGACCATCAGGAGCTGTTTAAACTGTTGTGGGCTCTGAGGTAGAGAATAGAATTTCCCAGGTTCCCTGGATGGGATTACAAACTCTTTTGCACCCTTTTAACGAGAGAGAGAGAGTGAGTGAATTAATAAATAAGTCCACTGATTGCATAAACAGATTAAATATCAAAGTTTAGAAATGTCAGTGCTTAATGAACAAGTGATTTATGTTTAAGGAACCAAGTAACTGTTGATTTGCATCAAAAAATCCTGAAGAAAACTCATGTAGAATACAAGAATTCTGTGTCAAAATACTGACCCATATAATTTCTCAACTCTCTTTTTAAATACAAAATACAGTTTTACTAAAGGATCCAAAGGAAGACCTCAGTGATACCCACATTGAAATGACTGCAATCAAAACCCATCTGGGTTTTTGTTTTTTTTTTTCTACTTAGTTTTGACATTTTGAAGAATAACAGATTGAAAACAGTGAGAGCCTTGGCCTATTTCTGACGTCCCCGGATTAGTCCAGCTGCCTCATGTTTGCTGCACTCACCTCTTTTTTGAATTAAATTCACTGGGGTGACACTGGTTAGTTCACCACCAAGTCAAGTCTCCTTCCATCAACATTTACACCCCTCCTGCACTCAACACTTCAACACCACTGTGAACTGAGTGGCTGGAAGATGCTATTTTACCTATTACTAAGCTTCTTTTAGCATTTCCCAAGTGAAAAGGTTTATCCTGAATAAAAATGCCTGGGAATCCCAGTGCAAATCCAAGGACTAGGGAGTGTGTTGGGCCCTGGGGACTGGAGCCCATGGACCCCTTTTTAGCCAAATGACACGGAGACCCAGAGAACACAGGGCTGGGGAGGCATGGTCAGACCTGGCTCGTGAGCTGCTGCACTTTCGGCAGTAGGCGTGACTTCTGCCCAGCCCCAAGTCCCATTTTCTCTCCCAGACCCATGGACGAGGGATGGCAGACCCCCACTCCGAGTTCCCAAGGCCCTGCTGGCGGGGGGGCCGGCCTAGGCGGCCGGGTTGGACATCCTGCCTGCTGCAGGTGAACGGGGCGGGCTCAGGTCCTCAAGTGTCCACCCTAGCTGAGGGAGGGACAGCCAGCAGTGGGGTGCAGGGCCGCCAGCCTTGGCACCTGGATCCACTCCCAAACTGAGGAGACCAGTGCGAGTAGTGGCACTCGGACATGGTTGCCTCTCAGCACCTCTGCATCACCGTCCATTTTCTCACCTCTTAGGGAATCTAGTTAATGTGACCATATCGAGGGGCAGTAAAACAAGTGAAAGAAATACAACCAGGTGAACAGAAATGCAAAGGGGCCCAGTTTCCCAAGGAACAGATTATAGCAGGCCGATACCCACCCCTGGAGTCCTCTTAAACAAGGTTGGAGTTTCTATATCCACGAACCCTAAGAAGAGAGAAACGCCTGAATTAATAAATAGGAATTTGTCACACCTGATGTCTGTGGTACAGTCCAACAAATCCAAGGCTACCCGTTAATTAGGAATTTTGACTGAAATAAGTTACCAAGCCCACTGATGCTGGTTTCTATCAACCCAAGAAGAAAGCTGAAGATTTTCGTAAAATCCTATTCTGTTCATTAGATTGATACTTTTGTCATGGAATAATTCTAACTTTATGGGATCTTATCTAGTAACTGTTTTGATTTTTAAAACATTCTTGTAGGGTAGAAACACAAATAGAGTAGAAAAAAAGCCCCAGGACTGATCAAGAGTTGGATTTAACTCCCACGACATTCCTGAGCTCACAACAAATGATACATAAGCACAATAAAGAATGAAAAAGCTTACAGAGGTGACGACCCAGGGGCCATCTGACCCTCGGCAGTGACGGGAAAGTCCTGTAACAGACACTCTGGCCCTTAAGAGGCTGTATTTGTGACCCAGAAGGAAATGAAATTGTGCTCCAACTTACTGAGTTATGCTCTAGGACAAAACACCTGGAAGTAAAATTTCAAAAACTGCTTTACACGTTAAGTGAGTTCCAGTCCTCTGGCAACATCTAGCCCAGTGAAGCGACGGAGAGGAGACAGGAGACCTCGGGAACAGGACAGAAGAGGCCCTAAAAAGCTCCGAGGGACATGCAGGCAGGCGCCTCCCTTACCGTGTAGATTACAGAGAAAGTCCCTCATTTTCATGACCATCTGGGACCTCAGCCGAAGGTTGCGCTGCAACTGGAAACTGCGCAAGTCCAGGTAGCGATACTGCAAACGAAGAGCCTCGGTTTTCTAAACAAATTGAAAGATGTTTACGTTTGAGTCTTTTTTTCAAATAGTAAGGAGATATTAACTTTAGATACAGAGTTTGAATTTTCAAAACCTTCGGCTCTATCTTTAGCTTCCGCCGTTGGGGTGCACACCCCCCTCCCCGATTCCTACCACTTCTGAGTTTGTTACTGGGACACATTTTACACTTTTTATTATTCATAATTATTAATACAACCCTCTGCTGACTGAAATTTGCCTGTGATACTAAATGCTTATACATTCAGTTAAACCTGTAATTGAGTCTTGATTTCAAGGTCTTTGAAAAATACACACCAGAGTAAAAAACAACTCTATCACCCGAATGGGACCAGGAGAGTCAGAAATGCTGGGAGCAGAAGAGGGGACTTCATTCAGCGGCTGTGCTAGTGGTGAGAACATCTGCTTACATTGTGAATCTCTGTGCATCCCCCTCTGTGCTAAGAAGTTTTTAAAAAGTCCTTTTCCTAGTGTAGCTTATTTCTTTGACTAGAAATAAAAGAACTATCTGTCACTTCTTTTTTTGAAAGCTTAGCTGGGTATTATTCCCCACCACCCCACTACTACCACAGGGCCAACTCTGTAACTATACTGCTTCTTCTAATTAAAGGATGAAGTATCGGGAACTTAAAAGACTAAATGGCCTCGCCCTGAATTTAAACTGGGACTCTGCAAGTCTGCAACCGTAGCCAGGTGTGACGCAGCTGGATTCACCTGGGTGCACGTCCCCAGCGCTGTTTAGCTTCATCACCCCCTCCAACTCTGGTGCCCGACATCCTGAAGCACTGAAATACGTACGTGCTGGGGGAGTCAGGCCAGCATTTTATCACTGTTAAGAGGCTTAAACTTAATAGATGCACAATCTCTTATACTGTTTGGCTATGTCCAAGCTAGGCATAAATTTCCTTTCAAATTGTAAAACAGCAACAACAAACTTGAACACGGTAACACCCACCCTGAGCCTTAACCGCAGGGCCATGTTTCAAGCTGTCTGAAAAAAGGTCCAGGTGCGTAGGCACTGCGACTGCGCAATGGAGTGCCGCTGTTAGGGAGGGTCCGTCGGGAGATGGCGGAACTAACAGAACAACTCATGATACATCTGTAGCACAAGGCTTAATGGTGTGAAAGTTAAAGTATAACAAAGGACGGCACCTTCACGAAGTCCTTAATTTCAAAGGGCAGCTTCTTGCAGGAATTCAGAAGTTCGGCTGTTTTAACCTTGATTTCAATCTCTCCGGTTGGCATTTTCTGAGAGAGAAAGAGAAAAACACCTATTTTCAAATTCACTCATCGGGACATGTGCACAGTGAACATTTGTAAAACACGTGACTTATCTACATGTAAAATGCGTGGGTGCTCACAGTGCGTCCTCTAAATGCCCGTGCATGATTTTGACATCCTTATGCATACCCGTGGCGGACGTGATCCTCAACAAATACCTTCACTTATATCGGCGTGTGCGTTTATAGTGGAGACTGAGATCTGTAGGTTCGTTCACAGAATGTACAGAGCCCTAGTGCCTGATGTCCAGTGGGGGCCCCTCCCGTGTTGCCTGAGTGTGCAGGCAGACAGTGGCGGTGTGTGCAGGCAAGATGGACATAGTGCCGAGACTACTAACCGGGTTCTCTTGTCCTGGAGGCCGGGAAATGACTGTCCCGGACACCTGCACCACAGATTCCACGGGCGCCTCACATAAGATCTTCTTCACGGAAGCAGCTGACTGCAGAAAAAGAGGGGAGAACAGTTCCAAGGAACACATGAACTCAAAGGAATCTGTAGGGGGCGGTGGAGGTGGAAGAGGACGTAAAGGGGATAAATGGGAAAGGGAAAAATATAATGAAAAATAAACGATTAAAAAAAGGAATCGGTAGTAACTCTAACTCTAGTCTATGGTTTAGAAAAACGACAATAGTCACTTAACTTCATTGCTGTAAATTACTGAGGCTATCCTTAATGACATTATTAAAGAATCTGGTAAACTGCATGCCGATTTTGATTCAAGTTATTACAGCAAGTCAAACTCTTAATGAAACGTTTAAAATGTGTTCCTTAAAGGAACATATAGGGAAGAATGATTAAAGCAAACGAGTCTCACATATTTTTATTTTTTTATACTCACCCGAGGATAATTTTTTAATTGCTTTTACGAACCTGCAACCTAGGTATCAGCCCTGACCGGGAATGGAACCCGCAACCCTTCAGTTACAGGACAACACGCCAACCACCTGAACCACATCGGCCAGGACTACCGTGGACTTTAAAGGCAACAGTTTGCAGGACTGGTCTTAGGGGCAGTTAAGTCCACCAGCAGTAACGGAGGCCGAAGGTTAAGTAACTACGCTCATCTCTGGACCCTGAGACCATTCATGCTCTGACTTCGGAACCCAGAGAACTGAGCAGATCTGTTTTCTTAGGCACACAGCATTTGCAAACATCACAGCAGAAAGCATCACTGCCCAATAACCAAGCTGAGGGATCGTTATTTTATCTAATTTTAATGGTAATTATTTTTGAGCAGGTAGTACCGTCACCTGGCTCAAAGTTCAAAGGGGACAGATAAATACACAGTGAAAAGTGTCCTTCCTGTCCTTGTCCTCCAGCCCCTTGGTTCCTCTCCCCAGAGGCACCCGGTGTGACCACATACTCATGTGTCCTTGGGGGACCTGTCATGAGGTACACACGTACATACCACCTTTTAACACAGGTAATAGCCCTCCGCATGCTCTTCTGTATCCTGTGTTGTCCAGTCTAACAATGTACTTGTTTTTTTCCGTATTAGTACATAAAGAGCTTCTTTAATCTTTTTTTCTATGGCTGTCAAAATGTACATTTTTTACTGCCAGTCTCTTATTGGTGAACATCTAGGTTGTTCCCAATATTTTTTCTGTTAAAAATAACCCGGCAGTGAAAAACCTTGTGTGTACATCATTTCGCACCTGTGTAAGTCCAGGTGTAAGACAGTTGGAAGATAATTGACTGAAAGTGGAAAGGATGGTCGAAAGGACCGATGTGTCACTAGCTGTGATAGTGCCAACTGCTCTCTATGGAACTAGTGCCATTTGGACTCCCTCCGGGAAGGTAGGGACACTTGTTTTCCCAGACAGTGTGTCGGCAATCCAGTGTCAAGGATAACGATTCTGTGTACGTTCATTTAAAAAATTTTTTCAACCGGGGACTCGGTCCACAACACAAGCATGTGCCCTGACTGGGAATCGAACCAGCAACCTTTTGATTTGCAGGCTGGCACTCAATCCACTGAGCCACGTCAGCCAGGGCTTTTTCTGTGTAGGTTTTTTTTTTTTTTTAAATATTTTATTTCTTTTATAGAGAGGGGAAGGGAAGGAGAAAGAGGGGGAGAGAAACATCAATGTGTGGTTGCCTCTCATTTGTTCTTTACTGGGGACCTGGCCTGCTCCCCAGGCATGTGCCCTGACTGAGAATTGAACCGGCGACCCTTTGCTTCACAGGCCCGTGCTCAATCCACTGAGCTACACCAGCCAGGGCTCTGTGTAGTTTTAACACACATCTCTACTTATGAGTGAGGTTGGACATATTTCCATAGGTCTAGAAGCCATTTATATTTTCTTTTCTGTAAATGTTATGTTCATACTTCTACTGGGTCACTACTATTTTTTTTAATTTGATTTGTAGTGGCCTTTTAGATATTAGTGAAATTAACCCTTTGTAATTGTTGTGCTCATTAACAAATGTCATTTATATTTATACAGGTGTATGTTTATGGTGAATATTTTTTTCCAGTCTGCCATTGGTCTCAATGTTGCTTACTTTTTTTTTTTAGTTTTTATTAACTTCTGAATTTCAAACCTCAAACATATTTAGCTTACCCTAACCACAGCATCAAAGAGGCTTTCAGGAACAGTAGGAAACCTTCTATTATTACCTCATCCTGGGGAATGACAACTTGAACAAGTCCCTGGAAATCTCTTAGGACCAGGAAGATGTTTTGCCTGATTGATGAAGAAAATGAACATGTTAGGATAAAATCTCTGAGCCCCAAATTTAAGAAAGCAAAACAAATGACCCACTTAATTTCTCACATTTATTATAATAAATAACATGCACTTTTGTTTGTTAGCAAAAATAAAGACTGGTCTCTAAATCAGCAGCATGGCTAGACAGAAAAAAGCAGCATGTCCATCACCCTGAAGTTTTGAAAGCATTTTTATGCATGACGTAGGGGGGGGAAAGGTGTCACAGTATCCATTCTGAAAGAACTGGTATCCCAGCTACACACAATGGGAATGGGAGAGGGTGGAGCAGCAGCTTTACAGCAGCTAAGTCTGTAAGCTCATGCGTGACCGTGAAGCAGAGGCTCCCACTTGGATGTTAATTATAATTCCAACACACATTAAGGAGTATGAGCAGTCTTCTGTTGGTTTTGCAATGTAGCTGTTAACTCATTAACCCCTTTGCCTCTTCCCTCCACCCTCTGGCCTACTATAATTTAATCTAGAACATCTCAGAATTTTCTCCTTGTCAGGACTCTCCAACCTTCATAAGCCAAGGGACATTTCAGACCATTGGTGGGTCATACTTCATTACTGTACTCTTCAACAGATGTTACTGGTACATTGAGAGAGACGCTATTTGGGTCTTTCAAAACAAAACTAATTTAATGAATTCTGAGACTCTTGCAGGAGTTGCAAAGCTTTTATTCTTTTGCCAGGTTGAAAATTAATAAAGGTTTGGAACTGCCTTGGGAAAACACCACCATGCATTCTTAAACCTTAGTTTACCTTCGGTACTGAATCCATCCACACAAGGTGACTTCCTGACCTAAATGAGAAGAACGCAACTCTCCACACGTGTTGGTCCGGGTGACAAAGCTACTGAGTTCTTAAAAACAAACAAACAAACAAAAAAAGCTAGATTAAAAATATATCATTTCCAAACTGCTTAAAAATAAAGACTCTGAAATCACATCGTCTTAGGTTTTTCATTTCAAAGGCTAAAGTAAATCTGTCATTTGATTTGACCACTACTAAATTTATCTGCAAATGTGTCAAAAGCTTAGGCAATAATTGTCTTAATGTAATTTTTTAGCTTATGTTAGGAAATCTGATTACCTAGCATTTGCATTGCCCTAAAATTAGCCCATTGTTAATAGTGCAAATATCTTTCCCAAATCAGATAGGATCTTTGAAATCACAGAAGTTTAATGGTGCAGTGACCAGCTTTAGTATGAATCTAGAATGAAAGTCACTATGTACACTTGAAAAACACTACTGAAAATATTCTTAAATGGGAATTTTTCAAAACGTATTAGTAGCATCAACTAAAAGCAAAATTGCTTATGTGGCTACTTTTTTGGTCCTTTTAAACTCCAGGATAAAAACAAAACAACTACATTGTAAGAAAAGCGGGTGAATGATCTGCTTCTCCATGTAAGGCCATCCATCCAGCTAAGACTAGGGGGAATGGAGAAGAGGAGCAAGTGCTGTCCAGAAACAAGAAAGAGCTCTTCACCGCTTTCACCTGGAACTCTCCGCTGTGAACTCAGTGACAGACTTCTGGAGAGAGACCCCCAGATCAGCTGGGCGATCTTTCCGGTGGGTGTGCCTACACCCCTATTTAGCCGAGTTAACCAGTTGGAGAACATGTTGGAGCTGCAGGAGGGTGAGAGACGCTTATGAATCCCACACTGCTGGTGTCGAGTAATGGTCAACAGTCATTTTTGTAAATACACACGAATCCCTTAAAGTGCTAGGAGTTCCCAGTCTCTGCTCCAATGTTTAACCCCTTGTCCGCCGAACAGGGGTCTAAGAAGCACTAGATCGATCTGCAAGGTCTTTGGGGGCCCTTGGAGAGTGGGTAGAAGAAAGACTTTTGCCCCCCTCTGCACGCATCAGTTTCCGCTTGTATTAACAAACTCAACTGCGGCCAGATGTGCGAGAATGCGTCCACTCAGCGGTGCAAGGCGTGATCCCACGATCACGCAGAGACGGAAGTGGCCGGTCATCACACGAACGCCCTGCCTTTCTCTTCCTTCCACGCTTCCCCGAAGGTTCCTGCCGGAGAAGCGGAAAACAGAGAGAACTCAGCCTCGCGTTTCAAATCTCCTCGTGCCGACCTCGGATATTGAAGATGAGGAAGAGTGCAAATTCCAAATTTTCTGAGGGTCCGAAATCACTCGCAGATTGCCCAGGGGGGGGTCAAGTGCTCTTCCAGTATCCCGCGAGCGTTTAAGATTACGGTAAGCACAAGCAACCAATCGGCGTAGAGGAGCTGGCGCCATGCTCAGTGTGGCCGGAAGTTGGAAGGAAAGCATCACGTCCTTAGGAAAGGGCGCAGTAGCGTCGTCGCGCAACCGCAGCGCCTTCGGAGACATTAAGGCGCTCGAACCTGCCCTCAGTAAAAATGGCTACCACTACGGCTTCACTGACTTCGAATTGGCGCTCTGGAGGCTTCCGGTGACGGGCGCTGAGCGAGGCGGGAAACAGTTTTAAACTGAGGCGGTGTCTTGGGAGTCTATTGCGGCTTCTCAACGGCGGGATTTTCCAGCTGGCCTTGCTTGGCACCCGAGGGGCTCAGGTGCAAAGTGCGAGGCGGGACACACTGTTCCCCTCCTCGGGCAGAGGCCGACTCGGCAGGAGCGAGGGTGGCAGAGCTGGGCGTCTGGCTGTGCGGAAATGTCACTCGGGGTGAAGTCGCGGGACTCTCCTGGCGTCTGAGGAAGCGGAGGTCTCCGTAGCGGGCACGTTTGTGTCCCTGGTGAACCCGCTTGTCGTGGAGCGCAAGAGAATTTGGGAGCGACAAGTGTTCCTCCGGCCTCGCCGTTAGCTGCCATTTGGGCGGCCTTCCCTCCACCCCGCTCCCCCAACTTCTGGGGACTTCAGCCTGGACGAAGTGTTGGGTCCAGTTTTGAAGAATGATTGGTGAAGCCGGCATGGGTGACAGCGTCGTCACGGCACTTCATTGGTAAGGTGCTTTGTAGTGGTCCGGGACTGGCAGTGAACTTGACATTTCAATCTGTTGTGTGGTTGTCATCTTTACACTTTTGGGCGTTTCGGTGTGTTTCCCTCTGTGTCCCCGGCTGAGGCCTGGGGTTCACTTCAGGGCTTGGTGGCGATTGTAGAAAAGCGACTGGAGTCAGGGTTGCTTCCTCCACTGACGCAGCACAAGAAAAACAAGCGGAGCTGTAATCGTGTGCTCTGCCCAGAGGACATGGCAGGAGAGTTGGCGAATTTTAAACTAATTTTTAAAATTTAAGAAACTATTTAGTAAATAGACATCCTATACCCGGGTTTTGGATTTTATGTATTCACTTATGTTTGGCTGGTATGCAACATTATATTAGTGATATTAGCTTTAGGTGTACAATGTAGTGATCCGACATCTGCATTTTCTGCAACGTGATCATCTCACTAATTCTAGTACAGCACGTGTCACCCTGTGCCCTTTGACAATAACAGTGACTATGATCCCTTCACCTTTTTCACCCCTACTGACCCCCTGCCCTCAGGCAATTAACTTTCTGCTGGTTAGAATTCTGGTTTTCTTTCTTTTTATGTAGACCATGGATTCCCACAGTACACGGCGATCAACTCCCAGACGAAGGGCATCCGCAAGGCTGAAGGAGTACGTCCTAGGTGCCACCCCTCTGCAGAAGCGGCTGGAGTCGGCCCGGAAGCAGACCTCACTCGCCGCGACCTCGCCTCCACGGAGGATTCCCCAGAGGTCGCAGTTGCGGGTATGCTTTTCCTGTGCCTTCGTGTCCCGCAATAACTGAGAATAAGCGTGAGCCACACATTTCAATTTTTGGTGCTCTTTCTATTGTTAGTGTTTTCTCAGTCACTCATGTAATAAAATAAACGAGAAATAGCTAGAAGAAACATTTATGTATACTATTAGTACCTGCTTCATTCTGTCTTTTAATCTTCTTTAATCTGGAACATTACCACACTATGTCTTCTGTGGCGTTAACATTTCTGAAGAGGATGGTCTCCTCCTCTCCCCTTTTGAAATAGAATATCCTTCACTTTATATGTGTCTGACGTTTCTGCTCGTGATGAGGTTGAGTCGAGTACTCTCGGCTGGGACATACTGTGGGTGCTGCTGTCATGTCCTGGGGGAGTGACCGCTGGTGCCACACAGGTGATGTTCATTTTAGTTGTCCTGTCAAGGTGCTGTCCAGTACTTACGGTGGGCAGACACTTTAAGATAACACAGGCATCATGATACTCGCCTGAATTTCCTCATAGGCTTAACCTCCATTGAAAATTATTGCCTGGCCCCATCTTCCCCATGACACTTGCAAGATGATGATTTTTCATCTCCGTTTCCTCCATGCTTACCAACCAGCTTTCGGCATTCTGTTTGAAGCCCTTCTCCTTTCTGTTCCATGTATTTATCTGTCAGTGAGAATTCATGAATTCCTGTTTTTTGAATTTTTGTAACTCATTACCAAGTTATTTTGGGGTTTAAATTGGCCCAGATTTCTCTGGTGGCATCATGCACTCTTCTGATCATTCTTAAGTGACCCTGAAGGTATGGCCCATCAGTAGTGTGTAATTTTACTGCAGCACAAAGTAAAGCCCTAGACAATGCGAGCTTGGGTGTGGCTTTGAGTCACCTGGCAGGGAGCAGGCTGAAAGGCACTCACCTGTCGCGTTATTTTGTTGTCTCGTCTGTGCTCTGTGCCCAGTATCTTTTGGGATGTGAGAAAATTTTTGCTTCTTTGTGAAAATGTCCTTAAAGAAAAATTAACTAGTGCTGGTAATGAAAAGTGATAGCTGCTAACCAGAGACAGACATTGCATATAGATTAAAGTTTGGAATGTCCAATTCGGTGCTCCCTTGTGTCTATGATGCAAATAATTTTGCCATACATGTTGATTGTAATAAGAAAAAAAACTTATAATGTTTATGTAGAAGTTTATAACCATTTTTGTGAGTTCTCTAGTCAGAGCAAATGGTTTTGTAAGTAGGCAACGGTAGTGAAAGTTCTCAAAGATAGCTGTGAGACGGAGGAAGTATGCAGGGATTGTTAGAAAACCCCAATTCAGGGTAAAACTGGGAGCCGTACGTGTCTGTGAAGATGCTGGATAATGCCGTAGAGCCGACACAGATGAAGCGCTTTTGTGTCTGATGGTGCCTGAGGCCCTGACAGCATGGCGAAGATACTCCCCGGTACCTTTGGTTTAATCTACTGAATGAGGCATTGGGCCAGAGAGTGGGTTTGCTGCCAGCAGCTTAAAAATTAATTCAAACTGGTCAGATTGGTTGCTCTAGGAATAAGTACTATTTCCACATCTGTAATTTTAAGTTTCTAAAAGTGAAACATAAAAGTTCATTCACCAAATGCTTATTGAAACACCTGTTCTAGACGGCACTGTTCTAGGTGCTGAAATGTTAACAGGGCCTAAAATAAACCAAGTCCCTGATTTCATCAAACACATACTCTAGTAGGGAAGACAGGCAATAGAAATCAGACAAATCCATGATATCAGAGAGTAATAAATGCTGTGAAAGTTTGGAGTGGGTGTGGGTGCTTTAGACAGGGTGCCTCTAGTGACTTTGGGCGGAGAGCTGATTGAAGGAAAGGGACTAGCCGTGTGAACACCCACGGGAAGAGAAGGCCAAAGGGAAGGTGCAGCAAAGGGAAGGCCTATCCCAGGATCTTCAAAGAGCCTTGTAAACTCCAGTTTGGCTGGGGCGCAAAGATCAGGTACCCAGTCACAGATTTATGTTATATACTATGATTAAGTTTTTACTTACTAAAGTTTCCTAATTCTTAAGCCTCTTTTGTTGTGATTTTTTTTTTAGGAAGATGTTGATCCTCAAAAGGTTGCATTCCTTCTGCATAGGCAGTGGACTCTGTATAGTTCGACGCCCCTGTATAAGTTCTCCTACACTAGTCTCAAAGAGTACTCGAAACTCCTGAGTGCATATATTGCTGCTGAAAAGCAGAAAGGACTTGCCGTGGAAGTGGGCGCAGACTTGAACCTCAGAGTGAGTTTCTCTACTCTCCAGGGAGTGAAAGGAACACACAGGGACCCCGACACAGTTCTCGTCCAGGTACAGTGTGTAAACAGTGCTTGGTTCCGCGGGGAAAAGAATCTGCCTTGTTTGGGTTTGAAGATTGTTGTGATTTCTACTGGTTTTAAATTTTTTAAGCTCATGATTTATGACTCTTTTTGTCTGATTTGACCAAATTAAAGTAATTAGATGTGGTCAACTTTTTTTTTTTTAATTTATTTTTTAAATTGATTATGCTGTTACAGTTGTTCTATTCCCCCCTTCATTCCCCTCCCCCCTGCCCCCCCATCCCCACCATTACCCCCCTTTAGTTTATGACCATGTGTCTCAAGTCCTTTAGATTCTATATTTCCCATGCTATTCTTGCCCTCCCCATCTATTTTCTATCTACTGTCTATGCTACTTATTTTCTGTACCTTCTACCCCCATCTCCTCCTCCCACTCCCCCTGTTGCTAACCCTCCTTGAGATCTTCATTTCTATGTCTCCACTCCTGATCTAGCTGTCCTTTTAGTTTGCTTTTGTTTTAGGTGTGGTTGTTAATAACTGTGAGTTTGTTGTCCTTTCACTGTTCATGTTTCTTTAACCTCTTTTTCTTAGATAAGTCCCTTTAACATTTCATATAATAAGGGCTTGGTGATGATGAACTCCTTGAATTTGATCTTATCTGAGAAGCACTTTATCTGTCCTTCCATTCTAAATGAAAGTTTTGCTGGATAGAGCAATCTTGGTTGTAGGTCTTTAGATTTCATGACTTGGAATACCTCTTTCCAGCCCCTTCTTGCCTGTAAGGTCTCTTTTGAGAAATCTGCTGACAGTCTGATGGGGACTCCTTTGTAGGTGGTTGTCCCCTTAGCTCTTGCTGCTTCTAGGATTCTCTCCTTCATTTTAATTTTGGCTAATGTAATTATGATGTGTCTTGGTGTGTTTCTTCTTGAGTCCAACTTTTTTGGTACTCTCTGAGCTTCTTGGATTTCTTGGAAGTCTATTTCCTTTGCCAGATTGGGGAAATTTTCTTTTATTATTTGTTCAAATAAGTTTTCCACTGGTGGCTGTGCCTTTCCCCCTTCTGGTACCCCTATAATTCGGATATTGGAGCATTTAAAGATGTCCTAGAGGTTCCTAAGACTCTCCTCATTTCTTTGAATTCTTGCTCCTTGACTCTTTTCTGTTTGGCCATTATTTGCTTTCTTCTGGTCCACTCCATTGATTTGAGTCCCAATTTCCTTTTCATCGCTATTGGTTTTCTGTGGAATTCCATTCATTTCCATTAGTTTAGCCTTCATATGTTTCTCTAATTTGTGGCTATAATCAACCAGATCTGTGAGGATCCTGATGACCAGTGTTTTAAATTGTGCGTCTGAGAGTTTTGCTATTTCTTCGTCGCTTAGATTTATCTCTGGGGCTTTGAGGTCTTCTTGCGACATTTTGGTCTGTTCTGGCCCTTTAAGTGAGAGAAGCGGCGCCTTGGAACTCCCAGGTCGCTGGGTTGTGACGCTGTATGTGGAGGCGTGGTCAGAGTGGGGAAATGGCGGCGCCCTCTACCGCCGTGTGCCGCGGGTACGCTGGGCCCCGGTCCAACCGCCCACTCCCTCGCCTGTCCGCTCATGCTCAAATAGGCGACCGCAGTCAACACGCAGCACCGCCTCCCCACTGTCTCCTCTGCAGTCGCTCACCTGGTGGGTTGCTCGGTCGCTCACTAGGTCCAATCCTGCGTTTGGAACCCGTGCGTCTGGATTCGCGCGTCTGGATTCCGCGCCTGGGTCGTCCGACCGAGTCCTCCTGTGCAACCCCTCACCAGATGCCGGTTTCGCCCCTTACCGGTCGGGCTGAAGAATTTGTTGTTTACGGACTTCCGAAAAGTTCAATTTTCCGTGTTCTGGTTGTGTTTTCTGATGCTAATATTTAGTTGTCCCTAAACTTGGTTGTGTGAGAAGGCACGGCACATCCACCTATACCTCCATCTTGGCGGAAGTCAGATGTGGTCAACTTAACAGAAGTTTTTTTCTATTACAATACAGGGTGGGGCAAGAGTGGCTTTACAGCTGTGAGTAGGGGAAACAGTTTATTCTTGTGTAATCATTTATTAGTCACTGTATTAATTTCCATGTGAGCAACTGTAAAACCTACTTTCGCCCCACACTGTGTAAGCATTAGAAAACTTTGAAAATACATGAAATACAAAGAAAGTTAAAAACCACAGTTTAACATTTTGGTATCCATCTTTTTTGTCAGTATACAATCTGAATAGGTCTACATCTATTAAAGAAATTGAATTAATAATTAGTAACCCTTCAAAACAAAGCACCAGGCTCAGATGGATTCACTGGATTCTATCAGATGCGTAAGGAAGCAAGCCTAGCAGTTATCTACATTCTCTGTCCGAGAGCAGACGCAGAGGGAATGCTTTCGAACTCATTCTGTGAGGTCAGCGTTCTGCTAAACCAAAGCCAGACAAGACATTAGAAGAAAAAACTACAAACCAACCTTTTGTAAACATAGATGCATGTATTTGGCTACTTGTATCAAGATTGGGATCACAGTGCCCATACTTACTTGCATTATGGCTTTTTTACTAATAATGTTGAAGATAACTATTCATATCATTAGGAAGTTTATAGTTCTGTGGTTTTTACTGGGATTAAATTCCAGAAGTAGAATTTTAACAAAAATGTAGCCTATTACACATCGTGATATCACAATAAGTTACTCTCAGAAATGTAACATTTTACATTCCTTCCTATATGCAATGTATAAAAGTAATATGATTAATGTCTGATTCATTAAGAAACAGGATTTTTATGGCTGAGTAGAACTCCACTGTGTAATGTGCCACGGTTGTTTTATCCACTCATCTACTGATGGACACTCGGGCTGCTTCTGTATCTCGGCGATTGTAAATAACGCTGCAGTGAACATAGGGGTGCTTATGTTCTTTCGAATTAGTATTTTGGGTTCCTTCAGATCTGTTCCCAAAAGTGGGATCACTGGGTCATAAGGCAGATCCGTTTTTAATGTTTTAAGGTATCTCCATACTGCTTTCCAGAGTGGCCGCACCAGTCAAGTTTAATGAAACCATCTATGAATATCTGGAAGGCAGGTTTTTCTTGTCATTGACAAATTCAAAATCCGAAGTTTTAGTCAGTCTGCTGGAAAATAGAATCAAAATTCTGAAAGAGCTCAGTGGATCGACACAATGGGCAAATTGAAAGAGATCGAAATTTTAATAGGGGAAGCTTACTGTCTCAGTAGAGGCTGGGTCGGGATTTACCGTTAACACCGACACAGTATGTCGGGCTCTGATTTATGGAAAGCTGTCGCCTAAAACCCAGAAAACTGCTGCAGTCTAACGTTATATTGACAGGAGTGTAACCTAGGTTAGAGCTGATGGTAGTCCTGTAATCAGACCCTTTTGAAGAGATTATATTTGCTTACGTTCACCCATAGAGAATTTCAGAGAGGAGTGACCCGGGTTATGTGGGACTTGAACACATGTCACAGGAGGACGGGTCGGAGATATGGGAGATACTGAACATGGCAGTGCGTGTGGCAGGGACCATCAAGTATTTGAAGGGCGTTTCCCGTGGGATAGACATCACATGTTGCGTGGTTCTTCATGCATGTGAGGAGGAAAGCAGAGCCAGTGGGTGGAAACTGGGCCCCGCATGGGAGCGCACTGGGAGGGCGTAGAAAGAGCTGCCTCAGCAAGGGCCGAGGTTTTCTTCAGTGCAGGAGCTCGAGCACATCGCATTTGTGCAGTAAAGCTGTCCTTCCTAAAGGGGAGGTTTTCTTGTGTGATACTGTGCCTGGTTGTACATAGGGGCGCCCTTTATTTTGCGTTTTGGGTGTATGAAGATCTTGCCATGTACCATGTCTCTAGTGTGTAAGAATATTAGGAAAGAGCTCGGGGAACTTGATAAACCCTAATCATGATTAAGGGCACTGTTCTCTGTGTTTTTTCATAAGTAATATAGCTTCTTATTTTTTAATATACTAATTAATTTTGAGATGATGTAATTGAGGAGTAAATTTACATTTAAAGAGTATTTTTCTAATTTATTTTTTAGAGGGGAAGGGAGGGAGAGAGAGAGGGAGAGAAACATCGATGTGAGCGGGGCATCAACGGGCTGCCTCTGGTATGCGTCCCGACCGTGACCTTTTGCTTCGTGGGGTGATGCCTAACCCACTGAGTCATGCCGGTCAGGGCAGGAGTAAGTGTGCTTGTGAACTTAAAGAGCCTGTTTTTATTCTCATCCTTTGTAGATTCTGTCAAAATCTCAATTGCCGTCTGAGAGCAGAGAGGGCAAAGTGCTGTGGACCGGTTGGCTCTGCTGCGTGTTTGGAGACAGTCTCCTGGAGACCGTCCCAGAGGACTTCACCTGCCTGCCCTTATTCCTGACCAGTGGCGCAGAGGCCAACACCGCCCTTGTCGGAACCTGGTTTCAGAAGACTTTCGACTGCTGTTTCAGTCCCTTAGCCATCAATGCGTTCAATCTTTCCTGGATGGCGGCTATGTGGACGGCGTGCCAAGTGGACCGCTGCGTGGCCCCCACGGAATTCCTTTGGTCCGTACCCTGTAGCCCTCAAAGTCTGGACATTTCTTATGCCATACATCCGGAAGATGCCAAAGCTCTGTGGGACGGTGTCCACAAAGCATCTGGGGAAGTCACCCAGGAGGAAGTCGACTTATTCATGGACTGCCTTTGTTCACATTTCCATAGGCATTTCAAAATTCATTTATCAGCCACAAGATTGGTTCGTGTTTCAACATCTGTAGCTTCAGCCCACACTGATGGAAAAATAAAGGTTAGTTTGAACAAATCTAGTTAAGTAATTCTTCCTTATTGTTGCAGTTTTCAAAGTGTATGGTAATTGTATTTTCCACGTGGAAGAAACACACTGAATATCTACCAATTCAAGGCAGTAGAGAGATTTTATTTTATGCTTTATAAAAGATTTACTAAAAATTCTTTAACTTTCTCGATTCAGCTTTATTATGGAAAGAGACTGTGCTGTGTGCTACAGATTTTGGTAATGATATGAATTATTCTGTAGTAACTTTGAGACTTCCAAAATAGTTTCTTGTCAAACTTCGCAGTAATCAGAGAGAGTATTTCATATCTTAGATAAGAAAACTATAGCCATAAACATACAACCTGAGATACTATCTTTATATTTTAGGCTTTTCCATCCCTGCTGGAAAAGAAATAATAAAGTCATTGTTTTACTGTTTATGAAGTCCTCTTAGAGGAAGTATCAGAAATGACCTGAGAGTAGGCCCTTCGATAGAGTAAAACCCAACCACCATGAACACTCAGTGAGTATTGTTTTTGCCACCGTGCTAGGAGTCTGATGTGTCCCAGGAGTGATCTCAGAGTAACCCTGCTGTTCGGTGTTCTTACCCACATTTTAGTTTTAAACGAGGCCAAGATAGGCTTGAGCACACATGCCAGGTAGTTTAGTAGGGGTGGGGTGGGGGGGACGATCCGAATGCTTATTTCCCAGGTTCTAGGAGGTCCAGACTGGGTTTGTAAGCGCTCCGTCCGTGCTTTCCAAACTGAGGGCACAGTGCAGCAGGAGGCTGGGAAATAATTCTGATGGGAAGAGGCCAGCTTTCAAAACAAGAAAAATAGAAATTATAAAAATGAAAGTATCATGTGTGGTAAGGGTATTCCTCATTTGTACTGGGTCATGATGTTAAATTGATTTCTTACTATGATTTACAGTAAGAAATTTACAAGATTATACTATGCCCTGTGATTTGGACATTATAAAGGTAAATGCCACTTTAGCCCCTCAGAATTCAACGTTTTCGAAGTCCTTGTGTCGCTGGTGGCAAGCACAAGGCTCACAGGCTGAATCCAGCTTCCCCCTTGTTTCATCCGGCCCAGCACCTTGCTTCTACCCGGCGGCAGCGCCAAGCTCCTTAGCCCTAGTTAAGCAGTAAATTACATTTACACAATGCTAAAGTTACATTCGGCCCTTTGAAGGTAACCGTGAGGCCGATGTGGCCCCTGGTGAAAATGAGTTCAACACTCCTGCCTTATATATCTAAAAGTTTTGTTTCCATATGCATACACCCTGTTAGTAAACTACATTTAAATACTATTTTATATGATGTGCTGTTATCCATCTATGTGTATGAGGGTGGTCCTTAAACACATTTATCTGGTCTATTCTAAATCTAAGATTAGGCTCTTAGATTAGTGATAAAAGACTGCAACTGGCTCTGAGGTTCAAATAACCCCACGTTGAAAGCTAACATTTATTAAGCGTCAGATTGTGCCCGGCATTATTAAGCATTCAGTGCATATTGTCTCCGCTTGCCTTCACAACAACCTGTATACGTAGTCTGTAAATTTGCATCACTTATAAAGAGGAGACAGTGACACAGGGCGAGCAGGTGCCCTATGATCACACAGCTAGTAAGTGGAGTTGGAATTTGAACTCAAAAGCTCATGCTTTCAACTACAACGCTGCGCTACCTCTCAGAACTTTGGAGTTAATGTATTAGCCAGGTTTCTGCCATCTGCTTCATTTCTGCAAGATACATTTGGAATTGTGTGTCCCTTTGAGAAGAAGGAAGCTGTGGAACCTCTTCTAGAAAATGAAGATACTCAATTTGCTTATAAGTCCAAGGGGTTCATAGATGTCCCTTCCCTCACTCTCTAGGTTGATCGTTAGCCCAAGCACGGAAGCCAGGATAAATAAGAACCCTAGTCTAATTACTTCTAAGCACCATTGACTATAGTTGTAAATTTATTACAGTTTCTAGTCTTCATTAGGTAAAATTCATTTGACTTAGAGCAGCAGTAGTTTTGAGTTCTGTATTTGCAAGCTAAGATATGAATAGTAGTATTCATATGGAATTTAAAATGCCTTGTAAGCCCTAGCTGGCATAGGTCAGTGGACTGAGCATGGGACCGAGAACCAAAGAATCACGGTTTGATTCCCAGTCAGGGCACATGCCTGGGTTGCAGGCCAGTTCCCAGCAGGGGACACATGAGAGGCAAACACACATTGATGTTTCTCTCCCTCTCTCCTTCCCTTCCCCTCTAAAGACAAATAAATAAAAATCTTCAATAAGTAAATAAATAAAATGCCTTGCAGATATGGAATTTAAAATAACCTTGGAGTATGTATTCAAATATAAATTCCTTTGTTATCATAATTCTGTTTTAATTTTAAATGTTGCCCTTTCTTTCTTTTCAGATTCTGTGTCATAAATACCTTATTGGAGTGTTGGCGTATTTGACAGAACTGGCCATTTTTCAAATTGAATGAGGCCTTGTGAGCACGATACATTATAGATTATATACCTTCTTCTCCTGGATCGTTTGCCTAGCTGCTGTGCTGAGAGGGACCGCGGGGAGAGACGGCCCGTCTGCGTCTGTGTCCCCACAGCGCCTTTGCAGGTGCCCAGAAGGCTGCCAAGCAGGATCCCGAAGAACAGGAGGTGGCGGGGGGTGAGCCCCAGCCAGCTGCTCCTGGGACGGCCACGGTGCTCGGGACGCCGGTCTGTGCAAAAGGCTGAGTGTGATTTGTTGGTTATCTTCCTAAGAAATAGGGAATGTTTATTATATCAGCTTTTAGAATTCAAACGAGATACCGCTAATATTCAGTATTTCTGAGTTGTGTCTGTAAAACTTTTAACCCCTTGTAAGCATTTTAGACTTGTGTTCGGAGAGAATTTCTGTCTTACAAAGACATTCTCCTAGCACCATTTTGCTGTGGAGAACTCGCAATCAAAAACTAAACTAAAAGATGAGTGTAGGTTTTTAAAACCACTAATATGCCTTTCTTTTTAATATTCTGTCCTTATTGCAACGTTGCATTAAATAGTCACTTTTAAACGGAAGCAGTGTGTTTATCAGTGTCTTGGTGGCAGATCGTTAATGGACGCCTCAGGAATGGGGAGTCGGGGCTTTTTCTCTAGCACAGCGGTTTCAAACCACGAATTACGCAGCCACAGTCATACAATTGGAAGGCACTGGTGAACCTCTTTGGAGGGCAGAGACTTTCCTAACTTTCATGTCCATAATTTTGCTCTAAGCACAGTGCTTAGTAAATAACTGGAGAAAAATGAATGAATTTTAACCAACTCTTTCATTTTATAGATGAAAATATACCAACTTTAGAGATTTGCCCAAGAGGTTATATCTAAATCTCTGCTTTTTATCAATCGTAGCTGAGCATAGGAAGGTTTTATGTTAGAAACCAAGTTTTTAAAAATCTTGTTTAGAGGAGAGTAACTTTAATAGGTTATCATTCTAAAAACAAATACTAGCTTTGGGAGTGTGGTGTTATTTCACAGATATTGGAATCAGCAGAGGTAGGAGAAGCAGCAGGGGTTCGGAGTCAGACATTCATTGAACTGACATTAAGCTTCTGCTCTGCACTTAGAGTTGTGTTGGGTAACAGGGCTGTAGCAGGGAAGGCAAAAGAGATCCCTGTCCTGTGGGAATGACTAATGGAGGGAGCCAGAGGAGAACCGATTTCCTGCGGAGACGAGGGCTGTGAAGGAAATAAGGCTGTACGCTAGGACGGAGGGTGATGGGCGGGCCTGGTCTAGGGACAAGTGTCCAAGAAGGGCCCTCTGAGGGAGTGACAGGTGAGCTGAGCCCTGGGTGATGAGCGGGAACCACCAGGGGAAGATCTGAGGACAGCCGTGTCTGGCTGGTGGCACCACCGGAGCGCAGGCCCTGGGGCAGGTGAGGGCTCAGCCTGTTGAAGGAGCAGAGGGAGTGTGTGCAGCGGAACGCAGTGGGTGAGAGCGGGAGGTGTGGGGCGGGGCTGCGGGGCTGGCTCGGGGCTGCGGGGCTGGGGCCGCAGAACTTCTTCCGAGTGTGGTGTCTCCCAGCAGTTGGCTGGGCGCCTGGCTGCCCAGAAGAGCAATGACGTTTCCCAGCCTTTCCCATTGGTCTCTGAGTTCTGACCCAGGGTGTGTCAGTGTTGTGCAGAGCTTCCAGGATTCTTCCTTAAAACACGGTGGGCTTGTACAGGCCTTGCTCGTCTTCCACCTTTGCTGCTTGGAACACGTATTGACTGCAACTCCAGCTGCTCCTTTAGGTCGCAGGGATGAGGGTCGGGTCCTGGGGACTGGGGGACAGGGCCTGGAAGGGGGTTGTGCCCAGATGGCTTCTTGAAACTGAACCCCAGTACCAGCCTTGGGTGGTCTCCCTCCAGACTTATGTTGTCAGAGAAGCGAACTTCCCTCGTGTTTCAGCCATTGATGTTTTGGATCTCTCGCCCCTAATAACCAGACCGAATCCTGATACAGAGAAGCAAGAATCACATCACCTAAGTTTTTGTAGGTACCGTGAAGAGATGGGGTTTTATACTAAATGCAATGGGAAGCACTGGAGTTTCAAGCAGGAGAGGAATTTAACCCACTTTGTATTTTATAAGGTATAGAATGAAACGTAGGTGAACAAGAGGGGGGAGGGAAAATAGTGACAAGGTTGTTAGAAATGCTACAACGTCTATTGAGAACTGAGCGGTTGTCAAAATTATGTGCGGTTTACCCTTTGACCCCCTACCCCACTTCTGGGATTCTGTCCCCAAACTTTACTGGCAAAAATACAAAATGGAGCCTGCGCAAAACTATTTATTACAACAATAAGGCTAAAAACAATCTAAATGCCCATCAGAGGGGGACTTGTTGAGTAAATTATGGTGTAGCTCCCAATAAATTACTACTTTGCAACTATAAAAAGGTTGGAGGAGAGTATTGAATACTGTGATAGCTAGAATCCATTATGTGAAAGCAAAGTGTGGGCAGAGTGTACAGGTTGGAAGGAATGGAGGAATATGTGTATTTCCTTACATTTTAAAAAAAGGAAGGACAAATCAAAAACTAGTAAAAGTGGTTATTAATAGGGGGAAGGAAGGAACTGGCTAGGGGAATAGGAATGAAAATCAAGGCTTCTCTGAATGTTCCCTGTTTATAGTTTAGAACCATATAAGTGGTTTATAAGATTATTAAACAAAATTAGGTCCAAAAGGAAAAAAACAAAGCAGTCCTTAAAAGCTGAAAATGAACTAAACATACTAAGTTCATGCTATTATCACACAAAGAATTCTTTTTAGTATCTGTAAATCCTTCTGTTTTGACTGCACACCGTCAATGGCCCATACCCTAGGAACAGAGGAACAGCAAAGGAATCTTAAATTGCATTCAGTTACATTTTTATTAACAGTGGTATTATTTTACCACTATTTATGATAAGATGAAACACGTAATTATAACAAAGTTTGGAACCAGATATACAGTGTAAGAGAAAAGATACACAAATTGTAAAGTCAGGTAGGCTAAGTACAAACTATATTATTAAATTTGAATTGGAAGTATCAGACTGAACTCATTTATTTTAGAAATGCAGAAGTTCTAAGTTTTGATGAAGTCCAGTTTATCAGTTTTTTCAACTTATTGTCCTTTTGGGGTTTTATCTAAAAAATCATTGCTTAACCTTAAGTCCTGAAGATTTACTGTTATGTTTTCTTCTAAGGATTCTGTCATTTTACCCTTAAATTTAGGTCTGTAATCCACTTTGGGTTACTTTTTATGTATGGTGTGAGGTGAGCATCCAAACTCATCACTGGGCATGTGGATACTCATTTGTTCCATCACCATTTACTGAAAAGATAATTTTCCCAATGAATTGTGTTACCTGTCTTAGAAGCCAGTTGGCTACGGATATTTACTTCTGGATTCTCCATTCTATTTAATTGATCTATATCAGTCTGTATGCCACCATTACACTGCCTGATTACTGTAGACTTGTGGTGCGTTTTAAAATCAGAAGGTATGCTTTTCTACCTTTATTCTTTTTTCAAGAATGTTTTGGCCATTCTGGGTCTTCTTCATTTTTATAAAAATTTTAGCATTTGTTGGTCAACTTCTATAAATCAGTTAACTGGGATATTGATAGTGATTGTTTTAAATCTGTAAATACATTTGGGGAGTATCATCATAATTTTATTAAGTTTTCCAATCTATGAACATGGGATACCTTTCCATTTATTGAAATCTTTCAAAGTTTCCTTCAACTGTGTTTTATAGTTTTCAGCATACAAGGATTGCATTTTATTAAATTTACTCCTAAATATTACTTTTTTATGCTACTTAGACTTGTTTCCTTATTTTGGACTGTTTGTTACTGATGCGCAGAAGTGCAATTGATTTTGTATATTGCTTTTGTGTCCTGTGACCTTGCTGAACTTCTTCACGCTAGTGTTTTCGGTGAATTCCGTATATTTTCTATATACAAAATTGGTGTCGTTTGTGAATAAAGAGTTTTACTTCTTAATTTCAATCTGAATGCATATTTCTTTTTTCATGCTAAATTGCTTTGCCTAGAATCTCAGTATTAGAAGAAATAGAAGTGATGAGAATCTGCATCTTGTTCCTGATCTTAACAAGAAAGCATTCAAATAGGATGTTAAGTAGGTGTCTCATAAGTGCCTTTATCAGCTTAAAGTGGCACTCTGCTATTCCTAATTTGTTGAGGGGGTTTTGTTATGGGTAGATGTTGAACGTTGTCAAATTTCTTTTTCTGCATCTGTTGAGACGATTCAGTTTTTGTTTTTACTCAAAACTACACTCCACTTCTGGTTTCCAGTGTCTTATGGAAGGATTTTTGAAGTTGCCATCCTGTCCTAGCCACAAGTAAACAGGTGAACAGATGGAAAAATAAACAAGTCTTCCTAGATCCCCAGGAGAGACGACCCAGGGCGGACTGCTGGCCCCGAGCCCGGCCGGGGAGACAGGCGAGCGCAGGGAGCCACGGCTTCCGGGGCAGAGACCGCACGCACCACACGGGCGCCAGGTGAGCAGACCGGAGCCGTGCCTGCTGGAGCGCTGCAGGCTCGGTGTGGGCAACTCTGAGAAGGACGCTTCCCGGGGGTCCAGGTACAGAGTGGCGGAATCACTGTGCAAATGAGTTAACGAAACGTCGTTTCACGGCAGTGTGTTTATTTCACTCGGTGAAAACTGACTTCACCAAACGCTTTGGCCAGTTGTGCAGTTCCTGGGTCTGTTCATGGATCGCGGCCACGTGAATGCTCCCACTGGGGACCCGTTTGTGCAGAGTCTCATCCCTAGAATTTTGTTCTTGTTAGTCTCCTCCTTTTCTCCCAACATAGGTAACACTAGAGCCATGAGAAGTATGTGATTTTGCCTTGAAGCCTGGCTGTTAATGATGGTACTGTAAGAATCTCGAAAATATTTAGTTTTTCAATGTAACTAACCTGGCTACTTAAGGTTAGTGTACCGGTTTCGGGTGGGCCTGCGGTGGCAGCGGGGCAGAGGAAGAGGAATGGAGGGGGCGTCTGGGCCACTGGTTTCTACCGGTGCTTCGTCACTGTCTGTTTACTCTGGGGGCTTCTGGGTTTCCACCTTAGAGCAGAGAAACGAGCGGGTGTGGGCCGGCTGACTGCTGCGTCCTTCCAGCCCCAAACCCTACGATTCTGAGTCCTGTCCCGGGAAGTAAGTTTGGTGCTTAGGAAATGTTATAGTAAACATTCATAACCAATGTATAAAAGAAACATTCATATAAGCATTAACATGTTATATATTAAACTTTTTATATAAAATAGAACTCTAGCTGGCGGTCCCTTTATTCCTTCAGGTTTGTGGAAGTACTTACAACTTTACACAAAAGAAACATAAGTGATATAGACACAGAAAATCTAAACAGCAAAGATACAAACATTAAAAATGTTTATGGTAAGTACTATCTTTATTTTAAAAAGTTATACATGCTAGAAAAAAGCATAAATGATACACGTAAACAATTGTTTACCAAATACTTATTTTTTTCCTTGTAAAGGTGCAAATGATTTTTAAATGTAAACACAAAAGTTGCCAAACATTTTTTAGTCGGGGGGGTGGGGGTGAGGAGAAGGTTATTCCTTTTGTTGTGGATAAAGTCTTGTTTAAAGATTTTCCCGCAAAAGGCCTCTGAACACAACGACCGCCATGAAGTGGTGTCATTTTCTCCTTAGACCTTTCTAACTGCTTCCCGGGTGCAATGAGGGAGAAGCAGTGACAGCGGCGGCACGGAGCGAGGGCTAGGACACACGGGTGCACAGAAGAACGAAGGCAGCAGTGAACCGGCTCCGTCGGCTCTACCCCGTCCCTGCCGTCCCCGGAACGGGGGAAGACTTTGTTCCCTGGAGGCCGTGCCTGCAGGGGCCCCTCCTCTTCGGCAGCCGTGCATCCAGGGCGAACTGCACAACAGCTCACTGCCGGGGAGGGGACGCCTGTTGGGAGCAGCACGAGAGCCGGAGAGGCTGCCTCGGTCAGCGGTTGTTTCTGAGCGAGAACTTGCGGGGCTGCGCGTGACAGCCTCGGGGGTCACAGAGCGTGAGAGTCGTCTGCTGCTTCTGGAGAGGCACTGAGCAGGGCTCTAGTTCAATCAGAAACTAGAATACTGTGGAAAAAAAAAGACGTTCAGTAGAGCAGAAAACAAGCTCATATGGAAAAAAGAAGCAGGTTGCAGAGTTCCACGGATGAAAACCGAGTCCTGGTTTCATTGATTTAATACCGACTTTTCGGACCATAAGACGCACTTAGGTTTCAGAGGAAAATTGGAAAAAAAAATTCGAAGCAAAAAATGTGGTAAAATATTTAATAACATAAATAACATGGGCCACCGCCCCCAGCGAGCCAGGCAAGCTACGTTCCTACTATAAAACACACCCCTCTTACCTCCCAAATTTGGGGAGTGTGTCTTATAGTCTGAAAAATAACGGTATTTCTTTTGAGTTGTACTAGTTAAAATGAGATGCTTCATTTTAAAAAAGATTTTCAAGTCTTCTGGTGCTTAGTGCAAGAACGATGGCTGACTTCCACACTGCGCATGTGACCTCTGTCACTGCAGTCCTGGTCGGGAGTGGGTGGAGTCACGAGGAATCACGGCACGGAGTGCTTAGAGTTAACAGCTGGGTCACGTGTAGCTCCTCCCTTACTAGCATTTTCAAACTTAGTATCTTAAAATAATATTTTAGTGCTTGGATATTTTTTTCTTTTTTGGTTAGGAGGAAAACTAAAAAAAAAAAATCCATGGAAATTTAAAACCAAAAATAAATGCTGTGCACAGGACTGAAAATTACTGTGCAAAAATGGCATCCTACGGGTGAAGTACTTTCACGGTGGTGATATTTGTATTTCCATAGGTTGAGGCACCGGCAAAGAATAAAATTTGTTCTAGCGTTTTCTCGAGCTGCAGAAAGCTCCAAAGTCAAAGTGCTCCGGAAGGCAGCGGGGCACCCACACCACGTCTTCTGGGCGTTCACCAGATGTGGGACTCACAGTGCGTCATTTTAATCACTCCCACACCGCCCCCCAGCCGACGGTAGTTCATCCCGCCGTACAGCCTGCAAGGAAAGGGAAGAGGCAAATTCAGGTTTCTAACTGGAAAAAGCACTTCCACAGCTAAGATGTTACTAAAACATTTTTCTCTTCTTTTTCCCCCCCGCAAATAGGCCTTTTTATTTACCACCATTAAATGTCTGAATTTAAACAGATTCTTGGACTGGGGACTCATATCCATCAGCTCGAAAACCACGGAACGCTTCACGACTTTGCGTCTCATCCTGTGACGGGGCCTGCTCATTCTCTCTGTGTCGTTCCAGTGTTAGTACCCATGCCGCCGAGGCGAGCACGGAAACATTCTTCTATGGTTTGTATCACAACTAACATTTTTCGCTCTCATCTATCGCTTCCAAAGATTAGAGCTGGAATCGAGCACTGGCAAGTGGCAGAATTATTTCAGACACTGAATGAAATGTTCTCATTTATAGGGGACTGTTTTAATAGGAGTAGACATGACTTTTGTAACTATTACTTTTCACATTCTAACTGTATGACTTTACACTTAGACTGCTAACAGTTATACAGAATCATCTCTTCTACATTTTTGTGTCTAATTTTGGCTCTGGCTATATTATTTTCATACTCACATTTTAATTTATATGTACATTTAGTGAGTAAAAAAAGTAATTTATATTTTTATATGTAATGTTTAATATGTAACATTAAACATATATAATGTTTAATGTTCTCAATAGGCTGAATGCTAGCAACACAGCAGAAAGAAAACTTGGTGGGAGAATATTTTGTGGTCACGTCCTCAGCACATGAGAAACTGCAACCTGAAAGCCTGGCAATGAACTTAACGAACAGGCTGTGAAAATGCAACGTAGAAGAAAAAGTGCTACAGTGTCATTAGTCTGTCATTATTGTGACCACTGAGCCACATACAGCCGTGAGAGAGACACAGAATCCAAAGAAGGTTACTTAAATATATGTAAGAGTTGTGGCTCTCCCAGAGATGAAGACGATGAAAGGAACACGGTGAATCCACTCCTTGAATCTCAACCTGATGAAAAATCCAAGTGGGGGCCTCGGGCTCTGTGTCAGGAAACGGACACTGAGAGTGTAACGCAGGGACTGAGAAACGAACCTTGTGGGACCCGTCACGGTCACGAGAAGTCTTCCAGAATGCTACCTCGGGGCGCACGTCCAGGCCGTGGCTGTGGGTGATGTGGCTGAGGGGACAGCCACCCTGGATCTGATTAGGCAGATGAGCCCAGTTCACTGAGAAAGGCCCCAGGTTGTGGGGAAGGTAAAAGTGTTTCCTCAGAAGGCCAGCATTTAGAACCGAGTACAAAGTGCCTCAAACTCACAATATTGATATTTCATGTTAAGTTTGAGAATGTTTGACATTTTATGTCTTTACAATGTTTAAGAAACATTGGAGTATGAAAGCATCCATCAGATTAGTTTGTGAATCAAGTATAAAACGTGATTGAGTCAAGATTTTAGAGGCTTAAGAGAATTATGCTAAATTTGTCAAAGTTACTGAATATTTAAAATAAATGCATGAGTCACCCTGATTTATGTGAATTTATAAGAACCACTTAAGTACTTAGCAAGGATTTGTTAGACAAAGATTTAAAAGCCAAGTAAAATTAAACCGATATACTTTAACTTAATTAACTCTCTACCGTAACATGTAGCCTCCACCTAAAAGTGATTTTTAGTTTACTAGACTTTAAAATAGAATAGTCTAAGTAGATTTTAAAAGCTCAAGGAAAAACATCGGTTTTAAAATGAAGTAAAATATTTTTTTTAAGTATCTGAAATGTGTTTTCCGGGGCCTGAAGCCGCCCACAGGAGCAGCGCAAACTGCACGGACCGACCGAGAGCCGCGGAGCCCAGCTCCGACTAGAGCGGGGTCGCCAGCTTGGCGGGGTAAGCCATCGGTGCCTTGGTTTCCCCAGCTAAAGGTGATGGGCCCAGAGAGGAGATCGGCCCCCCTCCCCCCGTTTCTGCCATTTCTAATTCTAAAACCAAACAATTACCGAAGAGAAGAATTTCGTAAGATGTCAGCCACTTTCAAGCCATCAAGCCTGGGGAACCTTAGCCCCTGCAGGGAACTGCAAGAAGCGGTTCCGTGTGCAGACCATGCTGACTCGGAAGGTGGGGGCCGTCTCCAGCCCGTCCTTTTCGAGGCAGCGGTGAGGTGATCCGCAGCAAAGCGGAAAGCTTACCTCCACGTATTGGCATCAGGGTCGAAAACTTCAATGGTCTTTAAGTACGTGGTTCCGTCAAAACCTCCTACAGCCATGAGCTGTCCGTTCACCACGGCCAGGCCCACCTACAGGACCAAACACAGTGGCTGCTGAAGGAAAAGGCCCTGGGGGGGGGGGTATGGCTTCTAGACGGCTCTCTCTAGCTTGCTCTAATGGGAGACAATTGTCCATGGTCTTACCTCCAGTTTACTTGATTTGTTTGGTTTACTTGCTTATTTAACAGATATTTGTCTGTGTTACAGAGGGGAAAACAAATCTGTTAAATTATGGGAACTATCAAATTATATATTCTTAGAATATTTACAAAGCTGACAGCACGTATTTATTAAATTTTAGGGAAAGCGTTCACTGGGAGTAAACAAGAACCTCCAACCTTCTTCACTTCTGTGTTTGCCTGTTCTAATCCACTATCTAAACTGCCATGAACAGCAATTGTAAAACACAGATCTAACCACGCGGTCAGTCTCTAGAAACTTCCTGGGACTTCCTGCCACCTGAGGGTGAGTCTGAAGTCATTTTCACATCACCAAGGCCCTCCAGAAACCCACACGAGCCGTGGGTGGCGCCACCAGGTGCACCTGGGGCTGCGGCAGCAACACTGGGTGGGTCCCAGACAAGGCCGCACATTTTTCTCATCTCCCTATTTCTGCAAACGTCGTCACCTGGCTGGTGTTTTTTCCCTCTTCTGGAAGATCTCACTCTCCTTCCTTGGCCTAGCTTGGGTGCTACTTTCTCTGATGAGTCTCCTCACTGCCCTGAAAGTGTTAAGCATATTCTCCCATGTTCTCCTTCAATCAATGCACAAGTCGCTACTCTAGACTTTTTTTTATCTTAGCCGTGAACATTTTCTTTCACTAAAATGGGAGCTCCTTGAGGACAGTATCGTATCATCCTCAGTTTTGCTTGCCTGGCACACAGAAAGCACTTAGCAAATATCCACTAAATGAATGAAAGTATAATCAACAGATTGTAGCAGTGAAAACAGCAGGGTTTCAACTCAGAGCCTGTGATGAAGGGCCCCAGCTACGGGGATGCCGTGACCGGCTAATGCCAGGCACCGGTGCCCCAACGTGTGCCAACCACACTGACCGACTCCCTTTAAACGCAGGGTGTGGAGCCTTCAGCCACTGCTGGCTCTGCCCTCGTGGTCCTCCATGGATGGACTCTGCCAGGGTCTGTTCTGTGGGTTACATCTCCCTGGCAGCCAACGTCTCGGGCCGGGGGTGAAGCCTCCCCCGTGGGAGTCTAGAACGTGACAGGCCCGCCCCTTCGGGGCTGTGTTGTAGATGGGGTGGCCTCCAGCCGGCTTGTGGGGACTGGTGGCGGGGCCAGGCGTGTTTCTGCCTGCAATTCATATTGTTCAGGCGTGCCAGAGCCTTGGAGTATCACCTAGAAACCTTAGGTGGGAACACTTGGCTCTAACACACAGATGAACGTGGCTGAGGTTAGTTGGTGTAGGTAAGACAGGGAGATGCCTTTCAGAGAGCTCGCTAATTGCAGGCATGACTGAGTGTAAGGTGTAACTACGTGACAACAGTGATCGAAATTTTCCCAGTACGAGAGGAACAGACTGTTTTGCCTAAGCAGTGCGCCCCCTCGCGGCCCCCACGCTCTCTACTGTACAGACCAGCACGCAGCCCTCTCCTGGTGCCGGGCACTTACTCCGCTGCGGCGGGATGTCATGGCCACCACCGGAGACCACTGGTTAGTCCTGGGGTTGTACCTCTCGGCACTGCTGAGCTCTGTAGTGTCGTCTCTGCCCCCTACGGCATAGATCATGTCCTGATACACCGCACAGCCGAGGTGTTTCCTCCGGGTCCCCATGGGCGCGATGGTGTGCCACCTGTTCTCCTGCGGGTTGTAGCGCTCCACTGCAGGGAGAGGAGACCGGGGAGTGGCCGTCAGCCGCGCCTCTCACCTCGTTTTCTCCACAGCCACGGGGACGTTGCGGGAACACTGCTCTGACATTTGCTTCCGGGAAGGACTCGTGTGCCATTGGACGGCACCGCCACGCTCTCGCCAGGGCGTGGTTTCTTCCCGTGTGGTGCGGAGAAAGGGCTGCGCTGGAGTCGGGGCTCCCAGTTCCAGTTCTGACTGGGACGCGATAGCCGGGGGGGCTGTGGCCTCACTCTCTGATCTTTAAACGGGGTTAGAGTGTATGACCCGTAAGCACCACTTTATTCTAGTAACTTATCGTCAGAATCAGACTACTCTGTACTCCCGGTCTATATTCCCGCGGCATCCTGAGCCACCGACGAGAAGAGAGTCGGCAGTGAGTCTGATGGGACTGCCACACAGACAAATCTCAGGTGGCAATATCCATTATCTCTAAATAGGGAAGACTAATACATAAACCTGCTTGTAGCTATGTTTTTATTTGTTCCCAGATTATAATACAGAAGGTTTTGTTTTTGGTTTTTGTTTTCTGAGGTGAGAAGGTTGAGGGGAGGGAAATATTAAGAAACTATTTTGTTCATTAAAAATCCCCAGCAGCTGGTAAAGCAGAGGGAGAGGGAAAGATCTCGTGGACACACTAAAGGCTGCCTGCCGGGGAGCCGAGGAAGAGCGAAGAGCTGCAGTCTCCAAGAGGGAAGTAACGCTCCCAGTAAATGACAGGGTGGGCTGGACTTGATTATACTTTCCGTAGCAGGGACGCTCCTACGGAAAACGTGCTGCTTCGGGGGAACCAGGGGCACTCTGGAAGGGACTGACCTGTGTTGAGTGGAGATGTCCCATCAGAGCCCCCCACGGCATATAAAAAGCCTCCTAACACGGCCACGGCCACGCCCAGCCTTCTGGTGCTCATAGAGGCCACTCGGGTCCACTTGTTCTCCTTTGGGTCGTACCTGCAGTGAGAGAAACCACAGACTGCACGCGTGTTTGTAGTGAGTGAAGCCTTTGTCACGAGCGTGAAATCACACTGAAGATGCCAAGGCCACAGGCGTGCTGTGGTCAAGTGCACCGAGAGCAGCAAACACGTGTTACGTGATCGGGGAATGAACCTCGTGGAGCCCGCGCCTGTGTCGGCTGTGAGCTGCTCTGCACTTGGCCTCTGCTGCTGTGCACGTCGGCTTCACCATTCATTTTCCGGTGGACACCTGGGCAGCTTCCGTATCTTGGCCACTGTGAATGCTGCCGCAACGAGCGTAAGGTGCATGTATCTTTTCTAATTAGCGTTTTTGCATTCTGTGGGCAAATACCCAGAAGAGGAATTGCTGGATCGTATGGTAGTTCTGTTCTTAATTTTCTGAAGAAACTCCATGTTGTTCTCCACAGTGGCTGCCCCAATTCTCGCCCACAGTGCCCGAGGGCTCCCTTTTCTCCACATCCTCACCTGCCCTCCTTGTTGATTGGTGGTGGTGGCCATTCCGACAGGTGGGAGGTGGGACCTCACTGTGGTTTTACTTTTCATCTCTCTGACGATCGTGATGTTGACCATATTTTCACATGTCTCTTGGCCGTCTGTCTGTATGTCTTCTTTGGAGAAACACCTATTCAGACCCTCTGCCCACTTTTAAATCATTTCTTTTTGTTGTTGAGTTGTAGGAGTTTTTAGGGTGGGGCAAAGGCAGGTTGACAGTTGTGTGCACACGACACACAGAGCTTGTCTTGCATTACTGTTTATAAATTATTGCATTATTCTTCATATGAGTAACTGTAAACCTACTTTTGCCCCATCCTATATTTTGGAAACTCCTTGTTGAATATAAGATTTGCAAATATCTTCTGCCATTCAGTAAGTTGCCTTTTCATTTTGGCAACGGTTTCTTTTGCCATGCAAAAACTTTTTAGTTTGATGTAGTTCTACTTGTTCATTTTGGCTTGTTTCCCTTATCTTTGGAGTCAGATCCACAAAAATACATTTCTAATTCTGGCTCATGTAGTATTTCCATATCTGGCACCATTTTCCCAACATCTTTTTAGCACCTTTGAAACCGCTGATTACATTTCGATCTGTTCTCTAGGCGTGTCTTCCTGGTGTTTCACTGTCTCCAGAGATGTTATTCTGCTACTGCTTCTTACTTTTTTTTTTAAGATTTTATTTTTAGACAGGGGGAAGGGAGGGAAAAAGAAAGGGAGAGAAACATCAGTGTGCGGTTGCCTCTCATGCACCTGCTACTGGGGATCTGGCCCGCCGCAACCCAGGCCTGTGCCCTGACTGGGAATTGAACCTGCGACCCTTTGGTTCACAGGCCGGCTCTCGATCCACTAAGCCACACCAGCCAGGGCACTTCTTACATTAACTTTGTATTGGATCTAACCTCAATACTTTGCTGTTGCCAGTTTTTATACAGCAGGAGTTTTCCTGAACTTTTGGAAGGGGAGTGAGTGGTTTGTGAGAATTTTTCTAACTTCGCGAAGCTCCCGCTTGTTTTTCACGTGGTGTTAGAAGGTGCCCTGGGTGCATCTCGAGACGTACTGCTTTATTCACTGCTCCTCTTTTCATCTCGGCTTCTCTTTTCAGGTTGTCTGTCGTCCTTGTACTGCCTGATTTTGATTCTGCACCAGGGGTGTGCACTCTGTCCTGGAAGGCCATTCTGGCTGGGTCTTGCTGGGCCGCTCTGCCCTCGCCCCGCCCCCCAGACACCTGGCAGACTCGAGATGGCTGGGCTGTCACACGGAGCACATGCTACAGGTACTTTGTGGGTAGAGGCCAAGGGTTCTGTTAAACATCCTGCAATGCACAGGACAGCAAGCGTTATCTGCCCCCAAACATCAGTAGTGCTGAGGCCGAGAAGCCCTCTTCTAAGTCTTTGTCCTTCAGATCACACTGTGGGCCCTTGCCTTGCTCTGTACTGGGAACGAGCAAAGCCCTTCTTTGTTCCGGCTGTTCATAAATTCTCCTCTTACACTATGCAGTCAATACGTGTCGGCTCTCTGGGGGGTGTCTGTTCTTACAAATGTCAGTCTTCAAGTGCTTCTGTGTTCTCCTCCAGACAAGGACATCACTACGGTAGTTGGTCTTCGCCCACTGGTTTTGGGGTTCATGGATACACCTTTTCCCTAGTTTATTTTAAATGTCCACAGGATTTTTTACAATTGTGGTAAACACAAAAAATTTATCGCTGTAACCACTTTTAAGTGTCGAGAATATTCACATTATCATGCAATCAAGCTCTATAACTTGTCCGTACATTTTTAGCTTGGCCGTCTACTGCTGTATTTATTTTTATGTGGGAATGTGGAGAGATCAAGAAATTATGCTGTTGCTGTTGTATCTTTGCAGAATCCTCCCACACAGTTTTGAAAGTGGAGAAGTGAGTTTCTTCACAGACAGGTACAAGGGAGCTAGAACAGCTTTTTTAAGGAGTGAGGAGGAAAGATGGCGCGCTCTTGCCAGTAATCACAGCACATGAGACTCTAAAATCTCATTTCTAGGACGGACTGACAAAAGCTGACAGGGCACGACACTGAGAGCAGAATTATTCCCCACAGTTAACCGATCTGTAAAAGCACAGAGGAAGCCCCGGCAGCTCACTCAGCCTTCCCTGGGCCTTTACAAAGACACCTGAGTCTCGGTAAGACTGGGAGTCCGTGCTGAATGAGGACAGTCCCTGCAGTCCTCGCCGCCCTGGGGGGGTCCGGGCCGGCCTCCACCCTGAGCACGCCGAGCGCCGGGAGGAAGCCAGAGCGGATCCCGGAAGTGGGGGCTGGACACTGCACACGGAGTGAACTTGAAACGTGACTCTGGCACTTTACCGTTAGGCCCAACCAGTGTAACACAGAGTTTAAAAATCGGGTTGTATCTTTCCTCATCCTAGACTTCAAGATCAACTGGAAACATTCTCCTTAAAGCCCGTGGGAAATCTACTAAATGATGGATCCCTTAGTGCCCTAACTTGTTTCTTTTAAAGAGCTTTCTATATGCTTCTAAACAATGGAAACGACTTGAAATAACTCACCTCTCAACAATGTTGAGGCAAGACACGCCGTCCTGGCCTCCGACGGCATAGAGAAAGCCTCCGAGCACCGCCACACCCACGCTCGTCCTGCAGGTGCTCGTAGGAGCCACGTCGCTGCTCCACTGGTTGGTTTTGGGGTCATACCTGCCGAGAACATCAAGACCAGAGTCTGCACTGCACACAGAAAGCACACCTGTGTTCACTTATTCACTGACATATGGTACATACATGTTCTTCCCCTAAATGTGACTGATTAATAACTGAAGCATATGCAAGTCTAATTTAGGTTTTTATTTTATATTCATTTTTACTTAAAGAAGTTACATATAAATATAATTTTTTAAAGATTTGACTTATTTTTAGAGAGATGGTAAGGGAGAGAGAAAGAGGGAGAGAAACATCACTGTGTGGTTGCCTCTTGCACACCCACAACTGGGGACCTGGCCTGTAACCAAGCCATGTGCCCCGACTGGGAATTGAACTGGCGACCTTTCGGTTTGCAGGACAATGCCCAACCCACTGAGCTACAACTGAGCTACACCAGTAAAAAAAAATTTTTTTTTTAATTTTCAGAATGTTATGTATAAAGTTCCCTTTGAGTTATACTTGATTTCTGCTCTCTTCCCATTTTCGTATATATTCTACAAGACTTGTCAGTAAAATACTTTTAAATGCTATATACCTATCCACACATGTATGTGCAAGCATGTTTTCTTTACATAAATGACACCACTCGAAGGCACGGAAGAGGAGAGCACGTCTAAGGACCAGCGAGCCACTCAGCGGGTCTGCAGCAGCGTGTCCGTGTTCTGGGCGCAGTGGTGCCCAGGGAAGGCAGACGGGAAAAGCAGGGGGAGGTCAGCTCACAAAGGACTCGTGGGTGACGCTAAGCCGTCTCGGCCACCAACTTGTGCCACAGAGGCAGCATGAAAGCAGCAAGTCCTCTCTGCTCCCTAATTAACACCCCAAATGGAACTCTGAATAGCAGAGAAGAAAGTTCAAAACCAACCTACGCACCTTTCAACACTATTGAGATAGGAGGATCCGTCGTGGCCGCCGACTGCGTACAACAGGTCGTCGAGAACACTGACCCCGACCCCACACCGCCGTTTGCTCATGGAAGCCACCATTCGCCACTCGTTGGTCTGCGGGTCATAGCGTTCTACGCTGGAAATGGCATCTCCACTGCACCAACCACCGACTGGGGCAATAACAGCAACGGTCAGGAGAACGCCCGCCCTAAAGCTGCGAGTGTGTGTTCACTGCTGACCTTGACATTGCGACCCAATACTAGGACTTACCAACTGTCTCTAGAAGGAGATCAAAACATGTTGACTTTTACTTACTCCCCTGGGGCTGCTATAGTTTAATATTCTAAACAAGTTAGTATTCGGTCCAGGTACAGAGAAAGGCAAAGATACCAATCCAAATCAGACGGGGAGTTACTGTGACATTTAATGACAAGAACCGTGAATTTAGTTCGAAAACAGAGGCTGGACCGCTGCCTCTACTAACCCGTGTGATCCTGACCAAATCCTGCGCACTACCAATTTGCAGAGTGAGGAATGAAAATCTTTAAGTGAAATAACATACACAAAACTACATAAATGTCATGTATCATTAAGAACCAAGAGAAGCACCCTAATTCGTAAATCTGTTCTTTCTGTGTTTACTCTGTTAGGGGAGAATGATTTTGACTCTTATAACTCTTTTGTTTTATTAAAATAATACAAAAGTTCTTATGATTTATATTACAAAGCATTTTGCTTTGTTTAAACTGTAGCCTGAATTCAATTCTATAATGTCCAACATAACACAAGATCAACATTTTTCACAGGCGTCACTCGGAGTGACAAGCTCAAACTGAGTTCCATAAAGCCTCTCTGAGTGCGCCCTGGGAAAGCCTGTGGCTACGGCAGACAGAGCTGTTCTTTCCGACCGTCCAGATAAGCGCTGGATTCTAGAGCTTACAAAGTGAGGTCTAAGGATCCTGTAGCCTTGAAACACTTGAAAACTGCTGTTTTCTAGAGGATCTCAGTAACTTTCTCAGCCAGATTAAAATAGGAATGTGTCTAACCTTCTAGACGGATTTGAAAATCCATTTTATTTCAAACTTCAATGTACTGTATACATTTTATTTTATTATGGTACATTTAAATCAGGATATTCAACTAATACTCTATGTTCCTTTTCAGCAATATTTTTCCTTAAGTACACTGGTTTCTTAAAGACCTATGTTTTTCTTTGGTAGCAAAGAATACGGTTTATGAACTGACACTAATTTGATTTGGAAACATCTAATCAATAACAAGCTGGTTTTAATGGCTTCCATTATTAAATTGTGCCTGAGTTTAATGATTAGGCTATTTGATTTGTCGCAAATGCTCATAACTTTCACATTTACAACCAGATTACATTTTGGAATTTGAGATGTTTTCTCTGATACCGAAACTCTTGGCATACGTCCTAGGACACAATTCAAACTAACACACGCACAACTCCCTGTCATTTAGTACTAACCGAATATCCTGATTTAAATGAAACCCGATTTTCTCCTCCCCTTAACCACAGTGGGTGGAGGATAATGTCTCACTGGCTTTCCTCAGGATCCCCGCATTCGGGGAAGGTGACGGGAGCAAAATGACACAGAGGGTTGCCTTGGGCTCAGGCTGGCTCAGTCAGGCTGGGGCGGAGTGTAACTGTTCAATGAAGACATTGTTTCTGACAGTTTCATGTAATGATGAGGTAACCTGCACACTGGACTATAAATGAATGCATACGATTCATTTTACAGAACATCCACTGCAGTGCGTTTTCTGTTTAGATCAAACAGAGCACCGTTTGGGAGAATACTGGTGCTGGGTCACAAGTTAAGAGTCCAGCTGCACAATTACTTACGTGTTTCTTGTGACAGTGGGCAGACAGCACAGCTGCCCAGAAGACCATTCACATGCGGTTTAGTCACAGTACAGAAAGACCCAAACCTGCAAACAGCACCTCTCCGCACCGGATAGGCTTCCGCGGTCGTGTCCTTGGTCCTTGCATCAGTGGTCGTTCTTGGGGCAGCAGGAGATAGTTTTTCGCCTCGTCCACCAGGTCTCTGTGGAGAAAATTCTGCCTTGATTCTGAACATCTCCCTAACACTGCTAGTCAAACCCAGTACAGATCAGCAATGTGTGCACTGGCAGAGGGGAACAAGCACGAACCAGACCGAACCACGAACGCCAGCCCATCTTAAAAGGGTCACAGTGTGACCACAGGGATGCCAGTCATACTGGGAGTCATGGAGTGACTGGTCTTCCTATTGTGGCTTCATATCTTACTGCAGATCTGGCCTAAAACCCAACATTCTTCCAGGCAATAATGACTTAGGAGAAACTAAAAAAATTAACATTTGATGAGCAGCCTCCACAGTTTTGCTTTCTCATGTATTTTATTAGATTCTGACAGAGCAGCACATCAGCCATGCACTTGACATTTACTAGATTAAAGTAATAAAACTAGGTCAAAAACCGGATGGCTGAAAAGGAACACTATACCACCATTTAATACTGATGTGCTATCTGGTGCTGTCGGTGGGGCTTACTCTCAACAAGTCTCCTGGGGATGAAGAAAAGTTTTTTCTGTCCATTAAGGTATTTTACGAGGAGGTCCTAGTAATTATACCTATTAAATACAATGCAAACTGCTACTGTACGTGCCCACGGAAGTCCTTTGCTGAGGCAGTGTCTGACCACTGCATCCGCTACTCCGTTCTCTCTCAGGTCCGGAAGTGCTTCCTAAATTATACTATATTTTCATTTCTCTAGTTATTTTATGTTACAAAGAGTAATTTTCTCCTGCTGGACCAGTCCCCAGGCATGACTCAGTAATGCACTTCCAATATATGGCTTTGCTAGGCCCCTTCTGAGTTTATTTTCAAAACAAAAATAAACCAAAAAACCAAAATCAAAACAAAAGAAAAAAACAAGCTGACGACAAAGAGCTTTTTCCAGCTTCCCCAGCCTTACAAACAGAGACTGTGATCTGCTGATGGCTGGTTTTTAACTAAGTTGCCCAGGGTTCCCAGGAAGAGGGCTATAGAGCTGACGCTCAGCAAGCCGCCCCAAATCAGTAGTAACAGCAACACGAGTGTGTGCGGTAAAGAACTAGCTCACTAATCCCCGCTGAAGCCCTATGAGCAGGTTCTGTTACGTCCCAACTGTTTAAGTCAAACAAACTGAGGCTAAAGCAACTTGCCTAAGGTCACAGTGCCAATAAACGGTGAGGTCAGAATATCGGGAAGGGGCTTCCTTAATTAACAAGTGGCTTCGTTAAGCACCTGACTTCCTGCATCAGAATCAGTGCCACCTGATTTCGGTTTCACGCAGGAGGTGCCCCTGTGTACCGTTTCTTCAGATCTCAGCTCCACGACCCCCGTGGGTTTCCCTCTGGTACTGCAAATGCCTGGGAGAAACACTGGTCTGTTTCTTAAATTTCAAAGACAGACACCTGCTGGATGGACTTCAGATTACAGAAGAAATGCAGATGAACCCACGTGTCCTTCTTCTGGTCCCGGGCTCCTGACTCAACAACATGCTTGCTCAGTCACTAAGGCAGACCAAAGGTCAGCAGGTGTAGTTTGAGGAGCTCTAAGTACTGACTTGCTCTTTCATCTTTCTGTCTGGCCCAAACTAGGAAAAAATGGTTGAAAAGCCGTATGGTTTCAGATTTGAACCCACGTCGTTAAGGTCCCTCCAGCTGGGGAAAGTGATTAAATTTTACAGAGTGTACAGAATGCAGCGTACACACCGCAGAGACAGCCCAAGTGAGCGGGTGCTTTGTTTGCTTCGTACATTCAGCATCTGGTCCTTTCAATCAAACAACATTGTGACACTAGCGGGAATCCTCCCACAGGTGCGTTAGGGGTGCGGCAGACCTCCAGCTGTGCCCGCAGTCTCCGAAAGCAAGGCCGGTCCTGCTCCCTAAGGGGCCTGTGACAGGATGACGAGTGGCCGGGACACACTTTTTGACAGAACCAGTACCATGACGTAATTTAGCTCTCGAACAGGTGTACCAGCAGAGAACTGCCCCTGGCACTTCGAGCCTGCATTGCAACCTTAGCAACTGCCTCTTCACCGCCACCTCTACCCAGTGAGCACCAGACCGAAACCCAGTGGGATGGACACCGGGGTTCAGCCCTGTCTCCTGGCCCCTCCAGCCCCTGGCCCAGAAGAAAAGCCTGCTACCTGTGGCCCTGCTTTCAGCATTAGGAAACATGACCTCCAGGAAGCAATACAAATACAGAAACAGGAGAACGCTGGAATGCGAGGCGGTGGACTTCCCCGTACCTGCATTCTTCATCACTCTTGATCAGGGGGTCCGAGCCCACGGTGCCCACCAGGAACTTGGGACTGAGCAGAGGCAGACGGACGTGCTGCAGCACCTGCGAGATAACCAACACCCTGCTGAGACTCACACGCTTATCCACAGGCAGGGGAGAGCACCCAACCCTCGCTTCCTCAGCAGATTTTCAGTTGCTTTGGGATCTAATGGAATTAATCTATTAACTGATCTAACTTATCTATAATGCAGAGGGAGGGAAGGCATAAATACTAAAACTAAATTTAAATTTATTCTAACCACCAATTCAGTTAGAATAATGAGAAAACGACACATACTAACAACACTTTAGATGCTACTTTAAGCTTTCAGCAATGTTATAAGTACTACTATAATTAGCTTATGTAACTGGACTCTAATTTACAATCTAGAAGAATAGCCTATTAAATTGCTAAAGACTATAGTCACACTAGCAAGAACACCAAACACTCCATTTCGTGACCACTTATGGCCCCAATCATCCCTTTGTCCTGCAGAGTGTCATGGGGTTTCCAAGCCACAGGGAGGGGAAGCACGAGAGTGGCCCCTCCTGCTTCCTTTCGTTCATTTTGTTCCTTTCGCACCATTTAGGTTCTCACCCGGGTTCCAGCCCAAACCTAGCGCTGATGCAAAGTAGAGAGGAAGCAAGGGAGCAAAACGTTCAGAGAGGTGAGAACTTATCTCCTTGGTTATTCAGAACAGATGATCTGTCTTGCAGTCTCACGTACGGGACAGTAATATCTGCTTTTCCTTTTTCCCTGCCAGTCGAACACATATTACCTCGTCCAGTACTACGCAGTTTCAGAGAGACGCATTTCCACGGTACCTGGGGTAGCTGAGGGCGTCTTTCTTGGATGCTGTATTTGACCCAGGCCATCACCGCGTTGAACACCTGCTCTTCACTGCGAACGTTTAGCTCATCGCTGGATATTATGTCAATGAGTTGATTGGCTGGGAGCAACATGAACTCTTCACTTTCCATCACCTGTTCAAAGTGAGGTAAGAATAAAAGAAAAGACCTGTGATCATACTGAATTTATCGTCTCAATATTTCCCTGAAGGACTAGGAGGCAAAGCTCTATTCCACAACACAGACGAAGTTCAAAACAGTACCAGCAGAAGGAAAAAGGTTAAAGAGAATACAAAGAAGGGCAGAGCAATTTTTCAGACAATGAAATGTCACGTACAGGACCACAGTGGTGGACATGAGTCCTTACACCTCTATCGAAACACGTACGGTGCACGACAACCCGAGCACCCTGATGTCGATCACGGACTTTGGGCGACAGCAACATGTCGGTGTAGGGTCATCAGTTGTGACAAGGGACCCCCCTGGCACGGATGTGGGCCGTGGGGAGGCTGTGTGCGTGCGTGTGGAGACGGGTGCAAAGGGACTCTGAACTTTCTGCTCAGTTTTGCTGTGAACCTAAAACTGCTCTAAAAATGATGTTTATTTAAAAAGGAAATGAAGGAGAAGTACAGAGGACATAAAATTCAGGGCAAATAATAACTTGTGATTCAAGCAATTTAAGACAAAGGACAACTTTTCCCCCTAAAATGAAGTATCAAAATAAAGGTTTATATTCAATGTTACTAAACTAACTGTACCAAATTATAACTCCAGGAATATAAAAGGCATATAAAAATTCAAGCGCAGCTTCCAGAGGAAGATTAATACTGACAGGGCAGTATCTAGGGCAGAAACACAAAGGGGCCAGTTTAAAAAAAGAATAGGGGTGTCAGCAATTTTATAAGCAAGAATGAATATAATGAGGAGAGTGACACCCAGGGAACCTGAGGACTAAAGCACTCTGATATTTATCTATGTATCTGTCTCACTGGTGCATGTATGTATGTGTGTGTGTGTGTGTGTGTGTGTGTGTGTGTATATATATATATAAATAATATTCATATACCATAAGCACACCAATAATTTATCTTCGCCCAGGGCCAGGGAGCTGTCGGGATGGAGAGGGACAAGGATGTCACCTGGTTGCACATCAGCCACAGATCCCGAGAGCTCGCAGGTCCTGCCGTGACTATGTAGTGTAGGGGGCCAGGGTGCGATGCAGACTGTCCTCCACGTGGTCTGTCTCTCGTGCAGAACACTGCGCCGCAAGGGCTGCTGTGAGCGCAGGGAGGGCGTGGTGAAGAGCTCGATTTCCTGGCGCGTGACCTCTGATGCAGGTGAGGTATTCCCTTGGGATGAGGTTATTTTCATGCTCATCAAAAAGTCAGAATATTTACAGGGATGTGAGATGAGCCAGAGCAATTTGAGTATTTGACTGAGAATGTTTTCCCAAGTAAGAAAAAAATGCACATCCCAAAATAAAACAGTGTAGGACTAAAAGGTCAGTTGTAGTAGAAAATACTAATGAACACTTCAATTTTTATGGCAGAAGGTTTCAAATCATCTGAGTGAGAAACCTTCCAGGGGTCAGGAAGTGAAATAGGTGACCTTTGACTTACAGCTGAGTTGCTCACCCTTAATATGGGGCCTGCCTCCAAATTAAGGGTGCCGCTGCCACAGCATCAGAATTTAAGCCACGCTGCACCCTACTTTCCTCTGAACTTCTTTTCGCTCTGATTTCTTACATAAGTACAAGTAAGGTAGTGTGTATCTCTGTGGAACTTCAGTGCTCTTTGTGGATCTTGTCAGAGTATAATTTTTCCCCGACTCAGTGATTACAAACCACATGCTAAGTCCCAGTGACGACCAAGTTTAAGTTCCTAAGCGAACCTGTCTACTGACAGCAGCGCCACTTCCTGGACCCGTCAGATGGCAAGAGGACAGGAGAGAGTGTGTGAGAAAATATTTGTCTGGCGCTAAGGACAAAGAGTAAAAACATGTCTGATGAAGTATGGCTAAAATGTTACTTCTCCTTGCCACAAACAAGAAAAGATAATGATCTACCAATCGGGCAAACGTGGTGCTGGAGTCCACCCTTGAACCAGACGACCAGGCTAAGAAAATGATGACTTAAGTACCTGCTTTCTCAAACGGCAGTGGACAGGAGAACTGAACGTTAAGGCCCACTACTATGGTAATTCCTTTCACCATAGGGTTATCCCGGTTTTGTTCCTTCCTGAGTCAGTTTTTGTAAATATATACATTTCCTTCCTTAAAATAATCCCCTCCTCTGCATTCCGTGATCCGACGCTCTGAGCTCTCCTCTCCTGTTTATTCCCAGTTCCCTCTGCCAGCTGCTCTCCAGCCAACCACCCTTTAATGTTGGAAAGTCTCAGGGCTCTGTTCTTTCTCCCCACTAGGATTTTTTACCTTGTTTATGGGGCTTTTGTTATTAAAAAGTTTACAATTTTTATGGAAATTTATCAATCTTTTCTTTCATGGCTTTGAGACTCTATCCTGCCTAAAAAGGTTGAGCCATAGTTTAATTACAGTGACTTCATTACTATGTTGATGACTCCTAAATTTTAGTCCCAGCCTAACCTTGTGTCTAAGATATGCAGACTCCAGTGGCCTGCTCTGCATCTCACCAGGGTCTCGAACTGAATGCATCCAAGGTGAAACCCGTGGTGCCGCCTCCAGCACATCCACAGCACAGATTCCCAGAAGTGGGACCGCTGAGTCAACTGTGTGTGGGAGTGTGTCACTCTGATAGACACCACCAAACGTCCTTTCAAAGGGCTGTGTCGCTTTACACTTACTCTAGCGATGTAGCTATTTTCTTCCTGGGCTTGTCAACAGGGTGTGCAATCAAACTTCAGGATATTTACAATGCGACAGATAGAAAATAGTACTTTGTGTAGTTTTACTCCGTGTTTCAGTTATTATGAACAAGCCTGAGCAGATTTTCATCTATGTAAGGGCAATCTGCGCTTCTTGTTTCCTGCTCCTTTTGTTGGTCTAGGTTACTGACCAACAGCGGCCCGTGGTGTATTAAGGAGATTATTGCCTGTGACATAAATTGTAAACACTTTGCCCCAGTATGTCTTTGATTTATTACTATTTTGTTTTTGCCACAAAGAAAATTTTTTTAGACAGCCAAATCCATCACTATTTCTTCCATGCCTTCTGGGTCAGTCAATTAGGCCTTCCTTGCTTCAAGACTAGAAAGGAATTACTTCGTGTTGTTTGGCGTTTTCATGGTTTCATTCTGTATTTTTAAGTCTTTGATCCCCCAGAGGTTATCCCGGTGAACAGTAGGGTAACACTGAAGTGTCAAATGGACCATGTCTTTCCTTTGCTCAAAGCACTTTAATGGTTAAGCTTCACATTCTTAACATGGTCTGTTAACTCCAGTGCAGTCTGGCTCTGTTCCTTCTGTAAAATCATTATGTGACCCCCTCCCTCTTACTGAGTCTCACTAGGTTTGTTTCTAGTCCTCACACAAGTCCTGCTTCTTCTTGTCTCAGCCTTTTGCACGAGCTGCTCAAGAACCAAAGTTAAATCTCCGTAACAAACCAAGGGACCACCCAGGGCCGCGTCTCTGGAGCGGCCGTGTCCGCGCTGTGCGTTCCTGCTGGATAGCAGCGTCACGCAAACAGACACTGTGGGGGCTTGTTCCCACTGCAGCAGCCTTTGTTCCTGAGCAAGTGGCTGAAACACAGTCGCTTCACAAATATTTATTAAGTGAACAAATAAATGAAAACTAATAGGTTTAATGAAAACTTCTTTTGATAATATCTAATTTCATTTTCTCTGATTAGTCACCAAATAACCTCCAACCCATGATCTCCTCTACGGAATAATCTCTGTGATCGGGGGACACACTTCATGTAAACGACTGCCAGTCATCCCACCAGACACATGTCTCCTTAACGAACTGTGCTCTGGCTTACAAACGAGCCTTTTGTGCATATGACTAGGGGCAGCCAACCCCTAAACTTTAACTTTTACTGATAAACACAAAACTGGCCTCTAAAATAAACACCAGGTTTATAATTTATAATAACCTTTTTCTTTAATATTATGAGTTACAATCAGCAGTAAAAGCCCCACTGGGCATGTGTGTGTGTGTCAGTTGTCAGAGCAAACCCACGTTGCTCTCCTGGCAAACACACTAAGAACGCATCCAAACCCTCCGTACAACTCACCTCCTGAAAGTTATGTTGAGTGAACTTGTCTGCTATCCGCAGCAACTCGCGGCATGAATGCGTGTCCGCAAAAGCCCGGATACCCAGGCAGTTAGAAGGGTCTAGCTGTCTCTTTAAGAACTCGCAGCAGGCCTCCTGGATTTCTGCCAGCTGGAGGAGGCACGCAGCGGGGAGGAGGGTCTGAACGTTGCCCTCCTCCACGGTTATCTGGGAGGTGTAGGCGAAGTCGATCAGCAGCTCCATGGCCCTCTCGTCTATGTCTCGGATCACCACCTCCGTCTGCCGGCTCTCTGCCAGCTCTCCCGTGAACATTGCTCGGAAGTAGGGGCTGCAGGCTGACAGAATGACTCGGTGGGCATAGATCTTCTTGGCGCCCACCACCAGCACCACGTCGCACAGCTCCCGGTGCTTCCTCAGGAGGTTAATCACTTCCAAGGTCTGTCGAGGGTGCTTGTCTGAGATATAGGGCATGCGGGCAGGCTGGGGAACCCCTTCTGGCAGTTTGTTGGGGTCTCCAAGGGTGCAGCGGCTTGTCACATCCATTCCAGTCTCTCCTGGTCGAATGCTGGTACACCTGCAGGGAGGGTCGGGGAGAGGGAGGAGAATACGGCAGTTTTAGCGGAAACTCACTCCTGCGTGAAAGTGTTCCTAAGTCAAGGGCCAGGGAAACCTGCAGACGACCGAAAGACAGAACTAACCCCAAAGAGCTCCCTTTCTGAGAATTCTCGAACTCACAGACTTCCTGCAAGTCCCCTGAGGAGTGAAGAGTGTTAGCCTCAAACCAGAACACTGTCCTGTGCCTCCCTGAAAGTGAAGGGCAGCTCCTTCCCGTCCGGGCAGCATCGGACTAGACGAGGCCCTGCCTTTCACGACTGCCCGCAGTACAGTAATAAAAACTGATGAGAGACATTTCTAAATTATGATCTGTGGACTTTAATTCCTTAACCCGGTTTAGCCAAGATCTTGATATTTGTCATTTTCCTAAAATACATAAATGTTACTTCTTATTACTGGGTGTGATATTTTAAACTGTTCTAAAGTTCAGCACAAAGTTTAGAAAATATAGCTCAAGTTGCATGAAAATATCAGCAGGAAAACAGGCCACAGTCCAAAAATTAACTTTATATTTATGTAGTACTGAATTTCTTTTATCCCAAGATGCCTAGTTTTCAGTTTATACAGCTGATCGCAATGGTTCTAAACAAGTAAAACACAAAACGAATCACAAGTAGAGGGTACAAGAAGTAGTAGCGTGTCACTGGGATGCTACAGATAACTGCTTGGGGCCAGACATAATTCAGCAGACTCCAGTTTGTGAATGAGAGGAGAGCTTGCCACAGACGTCTGTGATACTGAAGAGTCCCGAGGTATCAGTTTCACGGGTAGTGTCTGCTGTGTTGCCAGCTAGTAAGAAAAGCTTTGCATACCTTTACTACAATATTCCCAATTCTAAAAAGCTGTTATTAAATCAACAGTGTGTCTTAAAAGTGAGGATTTATAGTAAATAACCATGCATTTGCATTACAAAGGCAGGAACTTGAAAACCAAGAACATGATCATTCCTTTCTCCAACAGCAACCCGTTTTTCCAAAGTACTTGTAAGTTCAAGTTCAATCTTTCTATGCTTGGCCTCGGCCCAGAGGTGGCTGTGTGTTCTAGAGTGCAGACTGTTTGTAGTTCCTGGCGTCTGGAGGAAACAGCACTGTGTGTACTTGATAAGGGAAAGGCTGACACACGAGCTGAACAGGTAAAGGGTAATTTTTGCCACCCTCATACAAGTACAATCAAGCTCTAACCACTGTGCTCACCGGTGCCTTGTACACAGTGGATGCTGAAAGAATAAACCGCATGTGGTACCATCAAGCTTTATACAAACCCACGATTAAAGACAAGACCAATTCAAAAATCCCTATAATAATACCGACTTGCATGTAGAAGTTAAAGCATGTTTGTCACGACCTTAATTATGTACGTAAAGATGGTACTGCTGAAATCAGATATAAGTGTTTTTTTATCTCACCTAAGTACAACATGGAAGCTGATTTCTACATACTTGTTTCTTTTAAAAGTATACCAAAAAAATGCTGTTATTATTGTATTAGTATAGGTTCCAACTTTAAGTAATGGGTAATTTCTATATCCTTATGAACTTTGTGGTTAACAAACCTGGAAGGAATTCTCTTGAATGTGGCCGTTCTCCACAGTTCTGCCCTCTCTGCTCTCTACAGACAGGCCTGGGGCAGCTCACTTGACCTCACGGTTCCCATCACCCGTGTACGAATGGCTCGAGGATTCCTTCCTCCAATTTGGGTAACTTCTGAATTCACATCCATAGGACTGCCCCATCACTCAAACCCAGTGTATCTCTCTCTCTCTTTAAAGATTGCATTTATTTTTTGCAAGGGAGGGAGAAAGAGAAGAGAAACATCACCTGGCTGTGGGCCACACGAGCAGGGCTCAGACCCGCGGTGTATCAAGGATACATCTGACACTGACGGCCCCGTCTGCTCCCTTCCTCCAGGTGTGGCTCTCCTCCGGCCTTCCCCAGACCAGTAAAAGGCAACTTTCTTCTTCCAGGTGCTCAGGCTAGAAATGCCGGAGCCCTTCCTTCCCTTCCACACCTCGACCCAGCCCACCAGCAGCTCCCATCATTCTACCTCCAAGTTATACCTAGAATCTCAGTACTTTTCTACATCTCTCCTAGACCCACCCTGATTCAGGGTGTCCTTACCTTTTAAGATACTATAATAACCTAATAAGTTGTCATCTTCCTTCCACATTTGCCAATTTATATTCTCTTCTCTAAACATTTACTTAGACCTTTTCATTACAGAAGGCAAGGTGAGTCCCCCACCCCCACCCCTCCAGGATGATAAAGACCATTAGACGTGTTTGGTCTGCAGTCTTTTCAGGTTTGCTTCATTCTGAAATGGAAATAGACTTTGAACGTTGGTGGGAGGGCTTGGACTCTTAGTTCACCATCAGGGCCCTATGTGAAGCCCCACTGAGCTGCCTAAAGCTCTGTGAGGATCTGGTCTCTAACCTCTCTTCCGGAGCCATCAGGGCTGCAACAGAGAGACCCAAACTGTTCCGTATAAAAACAGTCATTTCAAAGGGAGGATGTTTTAGGGGGAGAAAGGGAGAATTATAAGGGAAAGGGAAGGGAGGCTTTAAGACAGCGGCAGGTTGTGATCTAAGAGAATAGGGCAGGTGAGAAAACGTTACGGACCCTCCACTGTCCCCAGAGTTTCGGTAAAAACCTGGGGTATTCATGGCAGTCGTGCTGATGAAGGTGAAGAAAGAGACGGTGAGTGTGGAGCACTTCTAGAAAGAGCCTTGGCTGTGAAGAGAAGAGACAGACACTGCTGTGTCTGCTTAAAGAGGTGAAAATCGGAAAAAAACTACATATGAGGGAGAAGTTTAAAAATATAAGAGGGAGAGAATTTAAAAAATGAAGAAAAAAAGAAAAGAAAAGAAAAAACGTAACCAGAAAAACAGCAGAAATGACGGTGCCAGGTCCTCGAGGAGCGGGAGCTGCAGAGCCAAACCGGGGGGCTGGGTCCCAGACCTCGGAGGCCAGAGGAAGGGCTGGGAGGGGAAGCGCAGGGCGGCTCACACCGAGTGGCCCCTATTGTTTTTCTGTGGAGTTGGGAGTTGGAGTGGCAGGTCATTTGCTGCAGAAGGGTAACAGGACCGTGAGAAGGAGGAGCACGGGGGTGAAACAGCTGCTGTGGGAAGGCGTGGGCGCTGACCGAGGCTCAGAGACAGTGATGGATGACACCGGGGGCCCAAAAGACACGAAAGACTTGATGCAACGGCACGAATTCCCCGTGGCCGGTTTTATCCAGTGGTGACCAACAGCCGAAATTGGAGAATATAAACATCTGCACCAATCTACATACAGCTGGGAAATGCCACGGACAAGACAGCTGAGTGATGGGGAGAACATGGCTGCAGTGGCTGCGGAAGTGAACTCTGAAAACAGAGGGGGCCACGGCATGTTGATTTTGACAAAGAACAGATGCAGTGAGCATTCAAGAGGTTACAGTCAGAAAACAACTTATTAGGACTTATGGTTTCAACTGAGAAAAATAGAAAGGAACTGCTGGGAGGGAGTGAAGGTGAAAGTGACAGGAATTTAAAAGTCAAGGGAATGTAGGCAAGGTAAACAGATGGGTCATTCCTGCGGATGTTAATAACCTCCTAAAATGGTCATAAGGGGAAGAATGAAATCATGTGCAGACAAGAAGCAAATCAAGTATGTTTCATGTTTACCGAAAGACTATTACAACTTTGGTACCTCCCTAAGTAATCACCCAAAATGCGTGAGTCAACTTCAAATTTCAGAGCTACCATGTCACACATTCCTCAGACCTGGTGCTCCCAAGTGATATTCCTCAGTGAGGAAAGTCATTTGCTGTAAGTGGCTCTAAGATAATGTGGAATGAAGCACAATGAAAAGTTTAGAAAACACAGTCCCTGCTTCTAAAGCATTTATAATCAATTTTACCTCTTAGTCCAAAGACCCGCAGAATCTTTCCTTAGCTCAGAATTGTTTCCTGTTTAAATGAACATCACTCCTTTCATACTACAAAAATTTTGTTTCGATGTGGAAATTAACAGCCTGTTCTGAGAACAAAGTTTCAGCTGATCTGACCCACATGTAGAGTCCTAAACACACTTGAATTGAGCTAGCAGTTTGAGTATAGAAATCCCTAGAACAAGTAACATCTCTGTTTAGTAAGGACCAGTTCTGCTGGGGACCTGCAGACACTACCTCCCATCCCTAATTCCACACCGGAAAGACAGGCCGTCAACTCTTATTCTGAAAATAGGACACAGATTCTTCAGCCTCAAGACAGCTTACCACTGCTCCTTGAATGAAACGAGGGCCAGCACTGACTGCCTTGGCCCAGCACTCAAGGCGCAATGCAGGAGGCAGGGGATAGGCCTTGCAAGCTGCTCTCCCTGCACGTCAGGAATGCAAAGCCTTCCTCGGAGAGCCCTCAGCAACGTCCCCAACACCTTGTAAAGGGGGCCCCCAAATGGGGATTTGTAACCCATTACAAATCCAGAACTCAGGGTGTCCAAGAAGTTTTAGAAAAAAATACATCTATAGGATGTCCTCACCCCCCACAAGTCTGAGCTGGGGGATGGGACGCAGGGAGCAGGGCCATTGAGAGTTGTTTTGAACAGCAAGAGTTTTTGCAGATAACCTGTAGAATGGCAATCTCACATATCTATAACCTTTAACTGGTTTCACAGATATGTTAAACAGCTGTGGCCATGCTTTGAGCCGGGGGGGGGAGTGACATCAACATATGATGTAATTGGCAGGCAACTCCCCCTGGTTACAGAGCCTGTGTGAGAGCTTGAAGATGATTGGCCCCACACCACAGGGTCACGACTGCCCGGACTTACTATGGCAGCCCAGTAAAGCTGGAAAAATATGGGAATGCTGGCAGCTGTGGCCAATTGTGGGAGGAGTCAGAAATGGTGTGGCAGAGGAAGACTGAGGCTGGGATTTAAACTTAGGTGCGGCAGCCATGCGGTGTCCTTTTAGGACCACTCGGCTTGGGCAGAGAAGAGCCATGGACTTCTATTTCTTTTTCTGAGATATGGTACCCGGGCTGGGCAGAGGGGGAAGGAAGGACTGTGCGTTTGTCGGTATTCTAAAGGAAGCTGAGATCTCAATGAAGATATTACTAAGTCATTAATCTTAAATTTGTATAGCTCTTTACATAAATAATCCCCTTCCTTCTTACCAATCTCTGGCACTGAGAGACATCTTTCCTTGGCTGTAAGCAAGGCAAACCTCGTACGAGGAGGGGGACCCCCGGAGCACAAGGGTGGGTCCATTCAGTAATAGTATTATCATTCGCACCCTGGCCCCAGGTCTGTTCTGCAACAATTTCACTGGCAGCTGTGTCAAACGCCATCCCTGAAGGAAAACATCAAGTTATCAAGCGTGATATTTAACTTCCTTTTGTCTGTGTGGAGGGAGGGAAGGAGAAGGGGTGCTGAGCAAGGCACAGGCTGACCACCGAGCGTATCTTACATAACTATTTTGAAGTAGACATTTTAGACTGACTGGAATAAATAGAAAATTCTAACAATATGAGATCTGAGTGACATTTTTTTTTTTTGTCTTTAGAAGTTGAATTCAAGGAGAAAAGCTTATCTGATCTTCACCGTGAGTGAAAATCACTGATAAAACTCTAGATGCAAAAAACAGACCTAAAGCTTCTTGCTCATCTGGAATCTTTATAGGATTTCAGCTCAGGCTGTGCTGTTAAGTGCCGGCGGTGCTCCCTAGGGTTCTGTCTTCAGCTTCCTCCCTTTCTGTTCTAACCTCATTCACACCTACAACTTCTAAAACCTTCTGTGCACTGATGACTCACGATTTTTTAAAACTCTCCAACCCAAGCTACTCTTCTTCCCGGGCCCCAGATTCCAATCACGTGCCGGCTGTCTCTACCTGGCTGTTTCCGAGGCATAATAAGCTGGAAGTGTGTGAAGAGAATCTGGTTTGGGCTTCCTGCAACCTGTTTCTCTTCGCACCGTTTTTATCTTGTCTTGGCGGTACCTCGTTCCCCTAGCTGGAACGCTGTTCACCAGACCCTCCTGATTTCCCTGTCGAACTCCCAATCCCATCCTCTTTCCTCAATGCCCACTGCCAGGGATCTGTTTCAGGTCCTCAGAGTTCATCTAAGTTACTACAACCCCTTTAAATTAGTTTCTTTGTCATCATTTCTTCCCTCTTTCTAGCCCCTGCCCTTACTCCCTAAATGTCAGCCCAAAGAATGAATCTGATCTGTGTAACAATGTCCGATGGCCCTTCAATGCCTGAAGGGTAAAGCCACACTCTTCCTTGGTGGCAGCCTCGCCTTCCATGACTCTGCCCTCCCCTTCCCCCTTGGCCTCTTCCTGGCACTGCATTCCAGGTATACTTACCATTCCACACATGCCGTACTGTTCAGGTTTTCCTGTCTGTTTTTTGGCACAGCTGTTCCTTCTTTTCACGGTGTCTTTTATTATTGCTTTTCTTTATATTCTTACTTTTTAAAGTACACTTTACTGTAAAGCAAATTCCTATCCTTTCTAGAAGACCCAGCTCAAAGAGCACCCTTTTGGCGAAGCTCTCCTCCTCTCCACAGAGCAGAGATTCCCTCCTCTGCAGTCACCGCCCCACTAGAGTCCCGTTCGTGCTGTGTCACGGTGTCTCTTACACGTCTTCCCATCGCTCCACCTGCATGCATGCGACATGCATGCAGCATACAGGCACAGACCAGGCACCACACACGTTTTTGGTGAGAGAATAAATGGATTCCTAACAAACGCAGGCTCAGCTTCCCATCAATACACTTAAGGAAAGACGGAAGAGGTACAGTGCAAAATGTTTTACTGTCTCGAAATGGAAAAAATGATTAGAAATAATACCTTGGGAAACAGGCACTTTGTTGGTAAGACCAGACTGGTATAATCTATAAGAAGGGGAATTAGTCAATATCTACCAAAATTTTAAAATAAACATATTCTGTGGACAATTTTACGTCTAAGAATTTATTCTGTACTTACATATCTGGATACCCGTAGAATTGGTTGTAACTGAAAAACAACTGAAATAACTTAAATGTCTCTCAAACAGACTGGTGAACTATGGTACATGCAGATGATAGAATTCTATGTAACTATTTTTTTTATTGATTATGCCATTACAGTTGTTCTATTCCCCCCTTCATTCCCTTCCACCCTACCCCCCTGTCCCCACCATTACCCCCCCTTTAGTTTATGTCCATGTGTCTCAAGTTCTTTAAATTCTATATTTCCCATACTATTCTTGCCCCCCCATCTATTTTCTATCTACTGTCTATGCTACTTATTTTCTGTACCTTCTCCCCCCTTCTCCTCCTCCCACTCCCCTATTGCCAACCCTCCTTGAGATCTTCGTTTCTATGTTTCCACTCCTGATCTAGCTGTCCTTTTAGTTTGCTTTTGTTTTAGGTGTGGTTGTTAATAACTGTGAGTTTGCTGTCCTTTCACTGTTCATGTTTTTTTAACTTCTTTTTCTTAGGTAAGTCCCTTTAACATTTCATATAATAAGGGCTTGGTGATGATGAACTCCTTGAATTTGATCTTATCTGAGAAGCACTTTATCTGTCCTTCCATTCTAAATGAAAGTTTTGCTGGATAGAGCAATCTTGGTTGTAGGTCTTTGGATTTCATGACTTGGAATACCTCTTTCCAGCCCCTTCTTGCCTGTAAGGTCTCTTTTGAGAAATCAGCTGACAGTCTGATGGGAACTCCTTTGTAGGTGACTGTCCCCTTAGCTCTTGCTGCTTCTAGGATTCTCTCCTTCATTTTAATCTTGGCTAATGTAATTATGATGTGCCTTGGTGTGTTTCTTCTTGGGTCCAACTTCTTTGGGACTCTCTGAGCTCCCTGGATTTCCTGGAAGTCTATTTCCTTTGCCAGATTGGGGAAATTCTCCTTTATTATTTGTTCAAATAAGTTTTCCACTGGTGGCTGTGCCTTTCCCCCTTCTGGTACCCCTATAATTTGGATGTTGGAGTGTTTAAAGATGTCCTGGAGGTTCCTAAGACTCTCCTCATTTCTTTGAATTCTTGCTGCTTCACTCTTTTCTGTTTGGCCATTATTTGCTTTCTTCTGGTCCACTCCATTGATTTGAGTCCCAGTTTCCTTTTAATCGCTATTGGTTTCCTGTGCAATTCCATTCATTTCAATTAGTTTTGCCTTCATATGTTTGTCTAATTTGTGGCTATAATCAACCAGTTCTTTGAGGATCCTGATCACCAGTGTTTTAAACTGTGCGTCTGAGAGTTTTGCTATTTTTTTCATCCCTTAGATTTATAGGCTCTGGGGCTTTGAGATCTTCTTGAGCCATTTTTGGTCTGTTCACACCCATTAAGTACCAGGAGGGGAGCCTTGGACTCTCTGGTCGCTGGGTTGTGACGCTATATGTGGGGGGCGTGGTCAGAGCGGGGAAATGGCGACCTCCTCTGCTGTTTCTCGCAGCTGGGTGAGGAACAGACAGAGCTTTAGGTGGTTCGCCAGGGCGGGGCCACTTAGGTCGCTGGGTTATGATGCTGTATGTGGAGGCGGGGTCAGAGCAGGGAAATGGCGGCGCCCTGTACTGCCGTCCGCTGTGGGGCCTGCTCAGTCCCGTAGTCTCACCGCCCACTCCCTTGTGGTCTATCTGCACAGAAAAGCGCGACCACAGTCAACCCGCAGCCCTGCTCCCTCACTGTTTCCCCAGGGTCGCTCGCTGAGTTGCTTACTAGGTCCAACCCTGCGCCTGGGTTCCGCACGCCCAACTTCGTCTGACCGAGTTTTTCTGTGCAACCCCGCTCCGACAGCTGCTGGCTTCGCCCCTCTTACAGGTCAGGCTGAAGAATTTGTTGTTATCAGACTTCCGAAAAGTTCAATTTTCTGTGTTCTGGCTGTGTTTTCTGTTGCTAATATTTAGTCGTCTCTAAACTTGGTTGTGAGAGAAGGCACAGCGTTTCCACCTAGGCCTCCATCTTTGTGGAAGGCCTCTATGTAACTATTAAAAAGAATAAGGTAGGTCTGTATGTATTTGTCACAAAGTACACGTTAATTTGTGATGCGAAAAAAGATACAGAAGAATATGCATGGTATGCTGACATTAGTGTTTTTTTAAAAGTTGAGATGTTCTAGGTATGTCTGTACGTGCACTGCAATGTCTGTGAAAGAATGCACACAAACTGTTTACAATGGTTGCCTCTGGGGAGAAAAACTGAGAGCTGAGGTCAGCACTGGGGGACTGACTTCTCATTGAGTGTCCTATTTTATTTTTTAAAATTATATACCATGTACACATAGCAACTAGTTAAATAAATTAATGCAGCTGAGCTTCTTAATAAAATGTCAATTAATTTCACAAAACTTTATTCATTAGAATACCTTTAACAATATTTTTAATCTTGTTCATTGTCCCTGCACCTGAGGAAATGTCTGCAGATACTGTTCGGTCCTTCAAACAATTATTCAGTGATTATTAGGTTCCAGAGATACAAGGACAGAACAGACATTTGAGACTCAAGGGGTTCACACCCAAGTAGCAAAAATGAATATGTATCCACATATTCATTCATAAAAGCTTCTCCAATAGCAACTAAGTATCAACTCTACTTTCCAGAGACTGCCTTTCTGGTTGCAGCAAAGAATGGCAGCCCAACAAGGAAGTACCCTTTGGCAGTGTGACCATGACGTAATGCAGACATCAGATAAACGTAAACCAGACAGCAAAGTGCAGGCCAGGCTTTGGCTAAGCGATAGTGATGAAGGAAGAGCTGTAACTTAATGGTGCCAGAATTCTCCAAAATGATTTTGAATAACTGGTGGTATTATATAATAAAGAAGGAAAAAATGGGTGTGAGTAATGAAATGAATATTTTATATAGACATTACTGATAAAAACATTCCCACGCTGTGCCTTCTCTTTCTAAAGAATAATAAGCTCTTATTTTAGCAATTACATAAGCTATAACATATATGGCAGCTGAGGATGAAAAGCAATCTGTTTTCTGGCAACCATGTTAAAAGCTGAAGTGACAAGTATTAATATGTGTTGTTAATTTCCTGTACTTTCAGTCAAATATTGCTACTATAGTATAAGATATAAATAGGGTAATGGCACTTGTTACATCCATAACATCTTTTCATCTGGAGATCTCAAAGCACATGCAAGCAATCATTAATTCCCAATATCCTGGTAAGAAACATTAGATACAAGTAAATATCCTGGTCAAATACAGGTAAACCAGGGTACAGAGAAGTGAACTGCTCAGAGTGAATAAAAAATCAGTGACAGATTTGGGAAAAGATCATTCTGGTTCTAGCTACTGATTTTAAGTTATAAGTCATACCCCTATCATGAAATGTTTCTTTTCTTGAAAGGGTCTGCTTTTTATCTTTGATGAAAGATATTTATTTATCTTTCATCACAGTTATTTATCTTTGATGTTAAGTAACAAATGATTAAATGTAGTTCAATTAATGTAAAATGAGTTTACAAAATGAAGTACTGAACTGTACTGATTTTGTTTCAAGGGCTGATGTCCTATTAGATTGAGGAAAAAAAACCATGATGACATTTTAGGGTTTGAAGGGCCTATAATTGTATTTTCCCACACACTGTTCTACTTTTCTATGGACTAAGTTACATCCAATATTTTTTTTACTCCTCAATCTTCCCTGCAATGAAGCTATTTTAATGAACAGAACAAATGTATTACTGAACATCAATGAAATAACTAAAACCATAATTAGACATTCAGTACAGTGTATTACAAGTAATCATTATATTCAATAGTTAGTTATATAGCAACAGAACCCTCTACGTTCCACAGGGAATTGAAGACTATAATAAACCCATATATCATACTACACTTAATGATTATCATAGCAAATTACCACACAAAAAGGAAAATTTAAATGTTAACAACCCCAAATTCATAGCACTCTTTAGATATTTAAGTTCTATATATTACCTTATTTTAAAAGCCACTGATTCCTGATACTACTTTAGATTTATTCTAGAACAAGAATCATTAGTTCCAAGCAGAATTTGGTACAATTTGTAAACCTCTTTTTAAAAATTCAGTAAAGCCCTGAATTATTACATGCTGGATTTCCATCCATGAAGCAAAAGGTTTTTCTCCCTAAATGCCTACCTGCGCATTGGCTTTCCTTCCATGCACCATGAAAAGTCCCCTTGACCACACTCTGAAGCCAAACCTAAAGCAACAGAAAAGCAGTAACTTAATAAAAACTACTTCTGATCTTTCCAGTAACTCTATAATCATTTTGTTCAGTGACAACATCACGTCCCCTTCTTTCACAGGCCTTTGGCAGACGCACAATCGTTTAGCCGGTTACCTTCAGGGTGACTATCCTCACTCTGGAAGCTGAACCGTTTCTAAGTGAAGGTAAGGGGAAGCCACTGCACAGTCCCGACTGCTAGGGTGGTGCTGTCTCTCTTCGAAAAGTGCTTGGAGACACTTAACTCTGACCTCGTCGTCACGTGTACCGACCGAGCACTCACCAGACACCCCCAGCAGTACTAACGTGACAGCGTGAACAGGGGATGGGCTGTTTAAAACAGATCTGAAAGCAACGAACTTGTCCAGAAGTGACAGAGGCATGGCGGGCATTTTGCCCTTAAAAACAAACATCTCGGCTTCCTGTCGGAAGCCGGGGCAGCTTGAACAGTACAGAGAAACTAGGGCTCTTTACCAGCACTTGCCTGTCCCCGAAACAATATCCAGTACCCAGTTGTCAAGATCTCGCCAGGGCCCCAGGGTTAAATGGGACGCGTCTCCCGAATTCCAACCCCTGGCCGGAGAAGCTGTCCAGAGAAGCCCAAAGCCCCCAGGCTCCGGGGTAGGGCTGTCGGCCAACCACAGGGCAGTCTGGTGCCCGGCGAGGCCCCGGGCCCAGCCCCAGCCCCAGCCCCGAGCCCCAACAGTCCCTCCTCCGCGCCCCTAACAGGCGGCGGGGCGAAGCTCGGCCCTTGCTCCACCCGGCGACTCGGCAACTTGGGACCAAGGATTCGCCAAGCGAGACCTGGACGCTCTCCACCGTCCCTGCTCTAAGGCGCCTAACTCACCGGCTCTGCCACTTTTCCGTTGCCGCAGCCTCCCCTGCCTCCTCCGCCCGCCGCCTCGTCTCCTTCTCCGTTTCCCCCTCTGCCGCTGCTAGTGCCAGTCGCCTGCCACTGGCTGCCGCTCCTCGAGCTATTTCCTCCGGGCCCCTCGCCCACTGTTCAGCAGCCGGAAGTGGTCCTGATCTGAAAGTGTTCCTCCTGGAATGCACTTATTCCGCCAGAAGGTTCCGGTATGGCCCAGAAGTAACCGTTCTCTTTGCTGGAGATTTGCATCACCTCAAGTACTGCTGGAGTTCGCGTCCAGTTCCTTTTATCCCGAGCGTCACCTCTTTGTGGCTTCGCCGTTGAACTGGCAGTATTTGAGTACTGTAGCCTTCCCATTTCTTCCATGTTGTCCCCAGTAGACGGGAATAGAAAGATGGGAATAGTCATGGAAAGCTAGGAATTTTGATAAATTTGTAGTAGGTCATCTCCCATTCGCACAGTCTTGTTCCTAAATGTGGATTGAATGATTGACGGGCGCATGCATACATGGGGTCGACATATATTTATTGTGCAAACTGCTGAGGCTACACAACCAAACCAGATACAGACCCAACCGTCCTGATTTCCTGCACTTTAGCTTTCAAGACACCAGAATTTCATTCAGGATTCTAAGGTTATGCCAGCTTGCCCTTACGCTTAATATTGACCACTAGATACTTAAGCGAACACTTTGGTGAGCTTACTTTAGTATTGGGGTGCAGTGGGGCCAGCACCTTTCAACTTGTCCTTTTCCTAATTTCCCCACAGCACATAGTCAGCTGATTGTTAGTATATATTTAAAAAGCATACAAGTGATAGGTTAGGGGACACATTTTCAGTAGTATCAGTGAAAGACTGTTGCTTGTTTCCTAATAACTATCCTAGGCTAAGAATGAATTTAACCAGATTTTCTTTAGCTGTTCTACACGCGGGATCTGCAAAGGTTTGTCCACTTGGTTTTGAAAAGGGAAAACTACCTTTTGATAATTAGCTTGTAGTGAGGGGACTGCATGGCCTTCAGGTCCAGACACCCATAGTTTCAAATCCTAGGCCTGTGACCGACTAGCTTTGTGTCCTTGGTCAGATTTCTTAATCTCTTAAGCATTGTGTAAAAAGGAAATAATACCGTTTTTATAAAGTTGTTTTGAGAGGTAAATTATAATGAGGATCAGGGTAGGAAACCCCAAAAAAGACCTGGGAATGTGGAAATTTAGTATGTGATAAACGTGGTATCTCGAACCTGGGGAATATCTGGGCTGTTGCATAAATGGTGTTGATATAAATATGGAAAGAGATAAAGTTGGATCCATTCCATATAAGAAATTGCAGTCTCAGCAAAGACCTCTGAAGACTCTGTGGGAAGCTCTGAAGCTGGACGGCCCTTCAGAGTTGTCCTTGTTGGGGTGAAGGAGTGGGATCTTTATACTCCATGATAACTAAACCTATCAGAAGTCTAAATGCAAATACCAAAAACATAAAAATAGTACAAGATGGAGGGGAGACATAAATGAATTTATTAAGAGTAAACGTCCCTGATGATGACTCAAAAAGAAGTTGAGCTAAAGTCAGGCTATCTTCTGGCCAGTTTCCACCTCCCCCGCCCTGGTTATACGGTCACAACTTGGTTTTTCATCGGATAACATTATCCACAGAAAGTATTTACAGGGTCATGAGCAGAAGGCTTTAGAAAACTCTATCCCTGATTCATACAGTCCATAAGTGAATAAGGGGAGGGTTGGTCATCTCATTTGGAAAAATCACTGGGGATGAAAATGAGAAAAAAGGAAGGTAAGGGGCAATACATAGGAAGATCAACAGGAATTTTTAGGAACATTTCAGTGACTCATAGAAGGTTAGCTTGCCCACAGCTCTTTGATATTCACCACATCTCCCCTGTCAATAACATCAGGAAGAATCAGAGACAGCCAGTTGCTGTCAGGGCTTCTCCCCACAAGTCCTCCAAGCAGGGATGAGGTGCTCTGCCCTCAGCGAACTATGTTCTGATGGGAGGAAACACTCTCGAGGGTACAAGGTATTAGGTTAAGAGAAATACAGAAGAAATACGGGTGGGCTGTTGCTAAGCCTATTTGGTGCTATTTAATGAAACAGATTGATAAATTGGCTATTAAATACTAAGCAGGAAAAGCAAAGGATTTCTTTGCGGAAAATGCAAAGGCTCTCCTCTTCTGCAACTGGAGAGCAGCAAAAGCTGAGGACCAGGTCCAGGACTTAATTGTAAGAGTAGCAGAGCCTCAAAGAAGATGAAGCTGTCATCATCGGCAAGTCTGCTAGGCCAAGGTCAGGGAGCTAGTTGGGAAAGAGTGGACCTTTACATATGGAATGGAGACCTCTGGCTGAGTACACACAGGGTATTCAGAATACAAGGCTGAATAAGGGAGACTTAATCTGGAAGCACTCTCCTGGGACACAGGGTTTAACGACCTGACAAGGATCTCAGGGGATGGTGCAAATGTGTCGCTAGAATGGCTTCATAAGTGTGCAGAGTGACATCCCATGATAAATGAAGGAAAGATGCCAGGATTGTCATGGAAGGCAGTGGAACAAGGGATTAAAGAATTCAAAAAAGTGAGCAAGCTAGAGTTATACAAGGCAATCCTGGAAAATCCACAAGATAATTATATTCCACAGGAGGGACCAGAAGATATACTAAAGGAATTAGGAAGATGGCAGTGGAAGGAATACTCAGAATTACTGGTGAGTTCAGGAGTGGCTGTCCTCTGCAGATCAGGTTGATGGCAGAAGAAACCCACAGAGAACTGGGCTCACTGATTGCAATGGGGATATTAAGTATGCAGATGGCTTCCTTATTTCCTTCTAATATTTTAAGAGAACACTGATGTGAACTCCGGCCCATGGGGTCCATGTGTTGTGGCTGTGATGAACAAATTCACTCGGACTACAGAAGTCCTGTGGAGAAAAGGGACAGGATGGCCACTCTCTAAGAGAGAGAGAGAGGGCCCCAACCCCCTGCCTGGACAGGCTTTTATTGCTTTTCTGGGCACATTACACTGAGGATGGTCCTCATTTACTATGCACAGGTTTGCTGAAGGTGATTACCTTTTACAGATAACAAAGGAAATAATGTTGCTAATTACTTCAAAGAGAAAAATGTTGCAGACCAAGGGGAAAAGTGGTTGAACTGGTTACATTCCATACTTTAGCACAGGCTTTAGGGAGCCATTTTAAAGATATGCAGTATCTTTAAAGATATGCAGATCTACAGAGGACAGCCACTCCTGAACTCACCAGTAATCCTGAGTATTCCTTCCACTGCCATCTTCCTAATTCCTTTAGTATATCCTCTGGTCCCTCCTGTGGAATATAATTATCTTGTGGATTTTCCAGGATTGCCTTGTGTAACTCTAGCTTGCTCACTTTTTTGAATTCTTTAATCCCTTGTTCCAATGCCTTCCATGGCAATCCTGGCATCTTTCCTACATTTAACATGGGCCATCATTCTTGCTGCCTCAATCCAGAGTGATGGAGTTTTAGCAAAAGCAAGCCTCATAGCAGCCTAGGTACAATGCAGACCTGATTCCCCATGGGAGAACCTATTTGTGGGCATGGGTCCTGTGTGCCGACTTGCTCCCCACTGGATTTTCCAAGTGGAGGACTGAGCTACATTTCCCATGCCACGTGGAACAGTTCCCTATAGAACATATTGAAGGTGAAGTAGCTAAAATGTCTTGCCCCTTCACCAACTTCAGTAGGAAATGAGTGCTTAGTAAAGCAAATGTGTTTTATGGTGACTGCAGGACCAACCTAGAAGATAACAAAGCTTCTAGACTACGATTCTTGTCTGTCATGGACCTGGAGAAGGAATTTCTCACATATCTGCTAAGAAGAACTCCTTGTGGTACATGCGTAACTAGTCTAGCAGCAGTGGTTTACAGAGGCCTCTCATGCTTGCTGCATTTCAGGGAAAAGCTGGAGACACAGATGCCATATCTGCACTGTGCTCCCACCACCTGACTCAACATATATTGATATGTTCCTGATATATTTCCATCCATGGATGAGATTTGCTGCATCCAATCAGAAGTGTGCAGCTATATCCTCATTTGTATTTATACTGACCAGTCGGAGTAGCTCCATAATGGTCAATGGAGATGCATGACGCTGGCCAATTAGGATAGTGCTATTTGAGCCAATCAGATTGTGCAATTTTGATGCTGTATTTGCATAAAGATGGATCAATCAGGAGACCGGGTTGGAACTTTATATAAATTGGCTTGACCTTTTGGTTTTTGCAGGAGGCTATGTCTCCCTGACAAGAGGTCAGGTTTCCCAGGTCTGTACACTATTCACCTGAATGAAGTTTCTTCTTTTAACCACAGCCCAGATTGGGGACTCCTGTTGGCATTTGATTGGGGCAGCAACCTTTGTTGACACTGTAATGTCAAACTCTAAAATTTTGACTACTGAAACTTATAAATTAGAAAATTTTAATAATTACAATTTTTAAAATGTCAAATTATTATATTCTAGAAATTCAGATGAGTGGTAGTAATATTTCGCTTGTTTTTTAGGCCAAATGTTCATTTGAAAATGAGGCTACTCAACCTTCAGCTCAAGTGTTCTGAGCTCCTCTAAAATATATAAGGATTTTCTTGCAGAAATGGTAAAGAAATGAATGTTTTCCTTCACCATTTCCCTTCAGTGAAAAAAAAACCCACCTCTCCATCTTCTATCTGCTCTATGTGAACATTTATGTAATTTCTGGGTAAGCTTGGCCCTTCTCTGCTGGCTTCTGTTGCTACCCCTGTCCCACCCTATTTCACCTGCTTTGAAAAAAGTCATCTGTTTTGGCTCTTAAATTCCTGAATCGAGAGAGTGAGTTTCTGAGTTCCTTCCACTCCTGCCATAGCTGGCACTTGTGAGGTTTCAGAAAACGCTACTTGTTGGTGATAGTACGGTGACCATAAACCACGGACAAAGATGTCTAATGCACTAGAAAATTAAGCTGTCCATTATAATTACAATCTCTAGCAGTTTTTAGAATGCATCCTCATATTTCAGGAAACTTCTCCCATTTAAGAATTTAGGATAAGAATTTAAGCTGAATGTAAGACTAAGATGGGCCAGCTACCAATACTCCAATCTTATTTTTAAATTTTACTATTTTAGAAAAGATTTTATTTATTTTTAGAGAATAGGGAGGGGAGGGGGAAAGAAAGGGAGAGAAACATCAATGTGTGGTTACATCTCATGTGCCCTGTACTGGGGACCTGGCCAGCAACCCAGTCATATGTCCTGACTGGGAACCCACCTGGTGACCCTTTGGTTTGGAGGCCCCTGCTCCATCCACTGAACAACCTCAGCCAGGGCTAAATTTTATTTTTTTAATTGTAAAACAAATATAGTACATATTACAGGAAACGTACAAAATAAGGAAAAAGCCCGCACACCACCTTGCGAACACAGCAATGCTAATCATTTTGATTTTAATCATCCAGCTCCACCCATCCTCACCTTTCCACGCCTCGCAACTTGGACCTGCGTGCACAGCCCGGAAAACGGCTTTTGGGGCGGTGCTACGTCCCTTGGCGGCGGGTGCGTCGTCGCCATGGTGACCGCGGAAGCCTGGTATCTCGGCAGCGGTGAGAGGTAGTTTCAGTGAAGAGGGCAAGGTGGGCGTGGGGTGAATGGGCATCTTCCAGCCAGGCTGCTCGGGCGGGGACTGGAAGGGAGGGGGCTCTGCCTGTGCCCGGAGCTTGGCGTAGCGGGTCTCGCCTCGCGGGCGGTCTCAGGGGTTCCGGTAGGTCTTTGCGGGATTCAGGCCGCAAGGCGAACTCTGTTGCCTTCTCCGCTGAACCTTTTGGGTGGTGCGGCTGGGCTCCTGCTCTGTACAGTCTTCCCCGGGCTTCCCCTTTTTTTAACTCTAGGGGCCCAGGTCCGCCTTTGGGTACCATCTCCCAGAGCTGGGGCTTAAAATTCTCAAGAGACTACATTTTAAAGAATGCAGTGGGCTTAAAAAGCCTGTAAGATCTGTTCGTCTACTACAACCGCATGCTGCTTTGACCACCTCCTCGCCCTTTGTTTCTGCTACTCTGGTTTCTGCGTCCTTCTCTTCAGTACTGAAGGGTCACCTGCTCTGGAAAGCCTATCCAGGACCTCCGAACTTGAGTCCACTCTAGATGACCATGCTCGACCTTAAAGTACCCCTTGCTTGTCTCCATATATAGTGCTTATATCCCATATAGCACTCTGTCATTACTCATTTACTTAGGCTTTCCCAAGACTGTAAAGACCAGTGGGGTAGGGGCCAAGACCTATGTGATGTTCACGTGAACTTTACAGCTCAAAGGAAAACTTTGTAGACGGTTTTCCCATATTAATTCAGTAAGGCAGAGCAGGTGCTGTTCTTAGTTGACTAATGAGAGTGAATTTAGCAAAGTCACCTAATTAATAAATATCAGAATCAGAATCAAAGCATGGGCCTTCCAACTCACAGTCCATAGGCCATTCTGCCTTCGTAGTCCTGCCCTCCCTCTCCTCTCCTTCATATTCTCCATGAACTTGTCGTTATAGGTAGTGGGGTGGCAGTTTTCATTCATGTTATGCCTTTCGTGGGCAAAGAAAATGTAGTTCATTTTTGTCTGTGACAGATCTCATTTCTTCCATTTCTTTTATGGCAAAGAAAGTGTAACTCATTTTTGTCTATGACAGATCTCATTTCTCCCACGAGCTCAGCCTGTGCCTGAGGTTTAATTTCTCTTCTCCACAAGTGTTTGGGTTCTCAGATAACTTCTCTGATCCTCTCTTTGAGAGGGTGTCCTGTGGTTCTCAAAGTGTGGTCTGAGGAGTCCTGGGGATCCCTAACACATCTTCATGGAATCCGCCAGTCACATGATCTCCCTGTCCTTAGACAAAGGGTGCCTTTGCGCTGATTGTCTCCCATGTTGCAGTGGTTTTCCAGAGGCTGCAGGAGGTGATAGGCCAGGGACCGTGACGTCACAGTAAATGCAGCAACAGACAGGAGGGTCGTCTGTCTTCTAATACGCCAGACAAGGAAGAGAGTTGCAAAAATGTAAAATAATGACACTTCTCATCAGTATTTTTTGTAAAACAGTTATCTGACATAGGCTATATTTTTTATGTTAGCATGAAATTGTTTTAGGATGAATTACTAGACATCTTAAAGATTTCTCAGGTTTAACTTCTAACGTGGTAAATATCAATAGACATAACCCACATAAACAAAAAGTTTTTTAAGACTGTGAAGAGCCCTCAGATCAGAGAATTTGAGAACTTCCACTGTAACCATGCTAGTTCCGTGTTGATGTGGAAAGTAAGCTCCACTTCAGGGTATACGAAAGGTAGCTTTGAGTATCCTGGCCTGAATCATGTTTCTAGATTTTATCTAGCTTGTCTTCGACTCTCTGAGTTAACCTGGGTTCACACTGCAGAATCACCTGTCTGTAATCCAATGTTTGGTGTGCAAGAGCTGAAGGTTATCTACTCGAGACTCTGTGTAGGAAGACTGTGTATTTAAAAAAAAGAAAAGAAGAAACGATAGCATCGACATATTTTCCTTTTGCGTCATGGTTGCTTTTGCTGGAGGGTTGATGACGGTTCAATGATGCTGACAGGTTCTGCTTACCGAGTGCTCACCATGTGCTTGGTCCAGGTATATTCTAGGGAGGAATCAAGAAACGTTGTAGGAAGAAGGTAGGTTAATAGCTTGGCCGAACTAGGATTTGACCAGTAAGAATGGAGGAGATAAAAAGCTATTCTAGGCCTAGTAGCAGGGGTGTGTTTATGTGTATGTGGGGGAGGAGGGTGGACAGTTGGATGCCAGGAACTTGAAAAGATGATAGATTTCCTTTGTACTGTGTTTATTCAGTAAAATGAAGGAAACATAAGACTTAGACCAAATCTTATGGTGGAGTCGTGGCTGATTGGCTAATTCAACTCACATTTCTAACCCCACGTATCTTGCTTGTTTTCCTTATAGAGGCAGGAAGAAGCTTGCTTTCTTTTTTTTTTTTCCTTTTGTTTCTCTTAAATACAGAGGCACTTGGCCAATAAGTCTGGCCTTTGAGATATAATTGGAGGTTTATTAGGACTTGGTAGGAAAGGTTTTGATTTGCTTTCCTCTTAAAAGGGGTGAACAGCACTAGGAAGAAAAGGGATTCCCCTTTCTTCCTGCCGTGAATGTAGGCACAGTGCCAGGAATTATGACAGCCATATTGTCACCATGAGGCAATGCCTTACATGGGGCAATGTAAGATAACATCTTACACACTGTGATGGAATACAGAGATAGAAAGAGCTTGGATTTAATATTTTTGAGCCAATTAATCATCTTCACCTTTACATTTCTTATGTGAGAAAATATTCTACTTTGAAGTCAGTCTTGCTATTTGTTGTTTGCAATCAAAGGATTCCCAACTTCAACAGCTTAGAAGTCTTATACACATTTAGTGAAGGTGGAGATTAATGTAGGGTTACAGCAAAAAGAGATGCTATTCTAACCAGATCTTCCCTCCTTCTGAATGACCAAATCTTATGCATTCCTTATGGCTCAGCTTCAATGCCATATTCTTTACTAAGTGTGCGATCCCTTTATTCCATTTTCTGCGTCTTCCTAACCCACCCCTGGGGACACTGTCCTGAATTGTGTTTAATCTTCTTCTACTTCTCTTAGAAGTAGTGTTGCTGAATTTGTATTCCTAAAAAGTCTATTTTAGTTTTAATGGCTTTGAACATCACAAAAATATGTCTTGATGTATATAATTTTTGGGATTTATGCTTTTAGTATTACATTGCTAAGATTCACTCATATTATGCACCTTGGTTATTTTTGCTGTGTACCAAATTACCCCGAAACTCAATAGTTTAAAATAGCACACACTTGACATCTCATAGTTTCTCTGGGTCAGGATCCAGAACCAGGGTCTCTCACAAGGCTTCCAAGTGTCCTGCGGGGCCACAGTTACCTCAGGGTTCAACTGGGGTGGATCCACTTCCAAGTTCACCCAGTGGTTGCCCGTGAATTTAAGTCCCTCGCGTGCTGTTGGACTGAAGGCTTCAGTGCCCTACTGGCTGGTGGCCAGAGATTGACCCCCATTTCTTGAAAGGCAGCCGTCTCCATCATAGCGCGTGGGAAGGGCCGGGGAGAGAATACCGATAAGACAGAAGTCACAGTCTGTTGTAAGTGGATTCTGGGAGTGACATTCCATCGCTTTAGAGGAAAGTCACCATGTCTAGCCTTCGTTCATGAGGAGGACCCAAAGGTGTGAATGCCAGGGTGCAGGGTGAGGGGCTTTTGGAGCCTTTCAGAGCTGCCTAGCATGATCTGCATGTGTAATTTGTTCACTTTCGCTACTATATGGTGTCTTGTGTAAATATGCTATAGTTGGTGCTCCAGTTGGTGCCTTGTCTTCTTTCCCCACCCAGGATTTTTGCCATATGAATAGTGATGCTATGGGCATTCCTACATATATGAGGGGGCCATGACCCTCCTCTCTGAACCATTTCCAGTTTCATATGTGTTCTGCCAGGGTGGGCAGTGGAAAGACTTCCTGGCTTAGGTCGAGCTGGAATTAATCTTGTCCCTTCTAAATTTCCAAAGCACTTCATCTCTTGTGATACTTACCATTTGTCACCTTGTATTACACTTATTTTATACATGTCTTTTCTCCCTTGAAAAAGGAAGTTGTTGAGGGCAGGAAATAAATTGGGTTCTTCTTTGTAATTTGCATGATACATTCCCCTCACTTAGTTTACAGTATTAGAAAGCTTTCGGGAAGCATTACCATGTGACTGAATTCTAAACATCAGCACCTAATTTTTTCACATCTTAATATTCTGGCTCCAAGGATCCAGCTGTGTTTTTTTACTTCTCCCCAATAGGGACTCAGGTGTAGGCAGGTGAGTCTCTCTAATGTTCTCTTTCGATCTTTTCCCCAGTGAATCCTGCCCACATTGCTCTTCTTATTATTGAATTTACTATTTAGCATTTTAGTATATGTTCAGGCAGTGTGTTGACTGCATTCACTGATGGTAGGTGCACAACACAGTCTTTAATTGAATGGGTGAAGTATTTTACTTTATAACTATTTTCAACTAGTTGAGAATTGTCATTCCATCTAGATTGTCAGTGGACTGACTGAATAAAGAAACAAATTCCGATTTGTCTTGAGTAGATTTCTATTACTTTTTTCTTTTTGGTCTCAGGTAATCCCGGAGTTAATGGAGTCAGAGGGACCCCCGGACTCAGAGAGTTCAGAAAAATCAGCATTTTTATCCCAGCAAGAAGAAGTTGAAGAAGGAGAAGAGGAGGAGGAACAGGAGGAGGAGGAGGAGGAACAGGAGGAAGAGCGAGAGGAAGCAGGCCCCGTGAATCCCCTCTTGCAGCCTGCTCTCACAGGGGATGTGGAAGGCTTGCAGAAGGTTTTTGAGGACCCTGAGAACCCTCATCATGACCAGGCCAGGCAGCTCCTCCTGGAAGAAGACATCGTTGGCAGGAATTTGCTGTACGCAGCTTGCATGGCTGGGCAGAGCGGCGTGATCAGAGCTTTGGCAAAATACAATGTGAATCTGAATGAAAAAACCGCCAGAGGTATTGTCTTTTTCTCTCATCTGTGTTATTCAGGACTAGCTCAAGATGTATTATCTTTAAAGTTGGATGAATTGGCTGTGCCTTCTTTATATTGTGCATGTATTATAAGGATGTATATATACATATGTATATATAAGGACGTGTGTGTGTCAACATGGTATAGTGTAGCAGTTAAAAACACAGACTTCACTATTTGCTGAGAGACTTGGGCAAGTGCCCTAGTCATTTTCTGTCTCTTGTTTCTCCATCTGCAAAACGATGCTAATAATTGTATTTTGCTTATAGAGTGTGATGAGTATTAAATAAGGTAAATAAAAGTATCTCATACTCTGAGGCGCATAATAAGCTGGTGAATGGTAAATGCTCAATAATAATATTGTGCGATGAGTCTCGGAGATGGTGGTGGTCCATCGGACCTGGCTGTCCCCCCATTCTGTTTGTCAGGTTATACCCTCCTACACTGCGCTGCCGCCTGGGGCCGTCTGGAAACTTTGAAAGCACTCGTGGAATTGGATGTTGACATTGAAGCTCTGAACTTCCGGGGAGAGAGAGCTCGAGATGTTGCTGCTCGGTATTCCCAGACCGAATGCGTCGAATTCCTGGACTGGGCAGGTGAGGACACACACAAGGTGTTGGCAGACTGAGTGACTCATCCATGCACTTTTCTGTGTGTATGTCATGCGTCCATCAAAGGTCAAAAAGCCACATGCTCTTTTGAATTTTACTGACATTTTGCGTAGGTCATTTTCCAGGGCTTTGGAAATGCCCTGGAAAGAAGAGTTCAGGAAGGTACACTTTTGTAATTATGCATTTGTACCTTGGTTGAAAAGTGAGTAAAGGCGATGTTCATGGCATTCTTTTTTTTTTCTTTTCTCTTAATTTAATTTATTTATTTTTATTGATTATGCCATTACAGTTGTTCTATTCCCCCCTTCATTCCCTTCCACCCTACCTCCCCGTCCCCATTACCCCCCCTTTAGTTTATGACCATGTGTCTCAAGTTTTTTAGATTCTATATTTCCCATACTATTCTTGCCCCCTCCATCAATTTTCTATCTACTGTCTATGCTACTTATTTTCTGTACCTTCTCCCCCCTTCTCCTCCTCCCACTCCCCTGTTGCTAACCCTCCTTGAGATCTTCATTTCTATGTTTCCACTCCTGATCTAGCTGTCCTTTTAGTTTGTTTTTGTTTTGGGTGTGGCTCTTAGTAACTGAGTTTGCTGTCCTTTCACTATTCATCTTTTTTTATCTTCTTTTTCTTAGATAAGTCCCTTTAACATTTCATATAATAAGGGCTTGGTGATGATGAACTCCTTGAATTTGATCTTATCTGAGAAGCACTTTATCTGTCCTTCCATTCTAAATGAAAGTTTTGCTGGATAGAGCAATCTTGGTTGTAGGTCTTTGGATTTCATGACTTGGAATACCTCTTTCCAGCCCCTTCTTGCCTGTAAGGTCTCTTTTGAGAAATCCGCTGACAGTCTGATGGGGACTCCTTTGTAGGTGACTGTCCCCTTAGCTCTTGCTGCTTCTAGGATTCTCTCCTTCATTTTAATCTTGGCTAATGTAATTATGATGTGCCTTGGTGTGTTTCTTCTTGGGTCCACCTTCTTTGGGACTCTCTGAGCTTCCTGGATTTCCTGGAAGTCTATTTCCTTTGCCAGATTGGGGAAATTCTCCTTTATTATTTGTTCAAATAAGCTTTCCACTGGTGGCTGTGCCTTTCCCCCTTCTGGTACCCCTATAATTTGGATGTTGGAGCGTTTAAAGATGTCCTGGAGGTTCCTAAGACTCTCCTCATTTCTTTGAATTCTTGCTTCTTGACTCTTTTCTGTTTGGCCATTATTTTCTTTCTTCTGGTCCACTCCATTGATCTGAGTCCCAGTTTCCTTTTCATTGCTATTGGTGTCCTGTGCAATTCCATTCATTTCAATTAGTTTCACCTTCATATATTTGTCTAATTTGTGGCTATAATCAACCAGTTCTGTGCGGATCCTGATCACCAGTGTTTTAAACTGTGCGTCTGAGAGTTTTGCTATTTTTTCATCACTTAGATTTATAGGTTCTGGGGTTTGAGATCTTCTTGAGCCATTTTTGGTGTGTTCGCGCCCTTTAAGTGTGAGGAGTGGCGCCTTGGACTCCCAGGTCGCTGGGTTGTGACGCTATATGGGGGGCGTGGCCAGAGTGGGGAAATGGCGACCCCCTTTGCCGCTTCTCACATCTGGGTGCGGAGGAGCAGTGCCTTAGGTGGTTCACCTGGGCCGGGCCCCTCAGAGTCGCTGGGTTATGACACTGTATGTGGAGGTGGGTCAGAGCAGGGAAATGGCGGCACCCTCCCTGCCGCTTGCCGTGGGGACCCGCTGGGTCCTGGTCTAGTCGCCCACTCCCTCGCTTGTCTATCTGCGAACGAATGCGCGACCACAGTCAATCTGCAGCCCTGCTCCCTCACTGTTTCCCCACGGTCGCTCGCTTGGTCGCTCACTCGGTCGCTCACTAGGTCCAACCCTGCGCCTGGATTCCGCACGCCTGAGTCCGTCTGACGCTCCGACAGCTGCTGGTTTTGCCCCTCTTACAGGTCAGGCTGAAGAATTTGTTGTTAACAGACCTCCAAAAAGTTCAATTTTCTGTGTTCTGGCCGTGTTTTCTGTTGCTAATATTTAGTTGTCTCTAAACCTGGTTGTGTGAGAAGGCACGGCACGTCCACCTGTGCCTCCATCTTGGCGGAAGTCCTCCATGGCATTCTTTTTGCGTAGTGATTTGCAGTCATATTTCATAGCAGGCGTTTATTAAATGCTTACGGAGCACTGTTGTAGATACAACTGATTATTCCCGCCCCGTGGGCGGTTGTTAGGTGGGGGATGATAAACTATAGGCACACCCTGCTGTTAAGTGGCGGCAGCAGAAAGACTCCAGGGAAGGGTTAAAATGAGCACGGCAGGTCGTACCTGCTGTGAAGTGACAGAGGCTTGAAGTCAGAGTGTGTTGGAGTTGAGCTGGGCCTTGGAAAACCGGTGGGATCGTACAAAGCACTTCGCACAATGAGTGGCATGGGGTCATCGCTGGAAAAAATCTGCTGCTCTTATTACTGCCGGATGGCTCCCTTCATTATAGGGCTCAGGTTTTCACTTTGTTTCTGTGGCCACTGGGAGCCGGCGAGAATTTTTAGGTAGAAGAGAAAAAGGATGAAAGTGACATTTAGGAAGCTTCATCCTGGTAGCAGTAATCACCTCGCTTACCAGTGAAATAGAAAGGGGCTGGACAATTAATAGAAACAAGGAAATTGAGAGAAGGAAGCCCATTGGGAAGAAAAAGGTGAATTAGACTTTGTGGATTGGTTTGTAGGTAATTTTCCTCTTGTCCTACATGTTTTCTAGAGGCGTTATTTCTGTCAGTGCCTTCAATTTTATAATTAGCTCTGTAAGTAAAAGGAAAACAAATCGCAAAGAATTTAATTGACCCCCCCACTTGAGAAGTTGTTTATACTACAGGCGATATTCACATTGTATAATTTAAAATCTATTTTTGCTTAGAACACGCCATCCAGGGACAAATTGTGCTGTAACTTTTCTGAACAGAAACTGTTTGGGGCTTATGGGTACCGAGTTTCATTGGTTTCCTCTCTCCAATATCCATCTGTTTCAGTTAGGGTCCTTACATTCTTGGGGAAATTATACCTAACATTTCCTAGTGATGGAGATAAAAGATGATAATACTATAAACTAGTATCGTGTTTCCAGATTAGTGATAGAATTATAAGGATTGGAGCTTCCAGTGAATGTAGCTCTGGAGCGTCAGAAACAAACAATGCAACATAAACTTGAACATGTGTTGAATTCAGACTTCTGAGTGCATAAACCTTTTCCCTTCCTTGTCCTGGTGATGACAGAGGGAGGCACCTGGAGAAGGTTTCAGGAGCTGGGGACTCTGTACCCCAAAGAGCCCTCTCCATACTGCTGAAAATTCCACTATTAGAGGTAAATGTCTTTGGGTTTTCGAGGTTCGGACACTCAAGAGTCTCCCATTCAAAGAAAAATATATCATCGTCCTCCGAGCAGCAATTAGCTGACAGCTCAAAACTCTGAAGCGATGGAACAAACATTTGTGGAAATGGGGGAGGGTTGTGCTGGGAGAGAGTGGAAGGAAGGAGGGGAACCTGGGAAGTAGGACCATAAATAAACCTAATGACCCACGATAAACTAAGACAGGTGTCATTCTTTGCCGTTACTTGTAAAGGCTATAGAATTATCTATTTCTGTTTCAAGGATTGTTTAAAAAAACTTTTTAACAGTATGTTATGGACCTGGGGTTTTCATATATTTCATATATTTCTGGGATTTTTTCATGTTTTTAATCCAATCTTCTGTCCCAGTCTCAGATTAGTCTCCCAGGTTTTGCTGGATGATATGGTACCTGTCCTTTAAAAAAAGTTGTGGCTGAGCAACAAAACTCGAAAGAATTAAACCCAAAATTAAAAAGGAATGTCGATACTCAAATTCATCGTTTACCATACTAAAAATGGAAAAAATTATATTTAAAACATGGATCTATTCCTTAATACTTCTGTACTCTTTTAGCAAAGGACATCTGAGTTGGGAAATTAAGTCTTTTTGTAGCCATAAAATTTGCTCAGGAAAGTAAGAAAAATCACAAATATTATTTAAATCAGAGATTTATTAAACCACTGAAGATTCTATTCTATGATTGGTTAATGATTAGTAATGTAGTACATTAAAAAGACTGAAATACTTAAATTTGAAGTAGTAATAGTGTACAGTCTTTTTCCCAGTACTTTGGTAATTTGGATGTCTTTTTTTTTTTAATTCTCACCTCTAGATATGTTTATTAGTTTGAGAGAGAGAGGAAGGGGGGTGGGAGAAATTAGTTGGAGAGAGAGAAATATTGATGTAAGAGAGAAACATCAATCGGTTGCCTCCTGTCTATACTCTGAGAGGGAATCAACCCCACAACCTAGGTGTGTGTCCTGACTGGGGATCGAACCCATAACCTTTTGGTGTATAGGATGACACTCCAACCAACTGAGCCACCTGGCCAGGGCAAGGGCGAAGGTCTTTTTTAGCTGAATAGAAATAACTTTTCAACCCAGACTTCTTTGGAAAATTTCAGTAAAGAATGTAGCAAAAAATTACAAAGGCTCACAGAGAACCATTTTTAACCTTATATGAGTTCTCTCATAGAATTCTTGTGTATCTTCATGTTGCATCAAGCTGGATTCACATGTGGGTGTTTATGGTACCGTCTCGCTCTTCGTCCATCCTTCTTCTTCAGTTTTCGGTGCTTGATGCTCTTCGCTGTGGGGCGGTGGGATGCCTGATTCAGGTACTCGGTCATCACTGATGTTGTGGCCAACAGTTTGCAGAGTAATTGGTCAATGTCATTGATGGACTGGCTTTCTAGTTCATTACCTGCTGTATCTAAGGAGGCTTGTTTTTTCTGCTAAAAGGGGGAAAAGCAAATTATATTATAGGTGAGTTTTTTTTCTTACTGTACTTCAAATGAAGTTTTCTGGAGATCTATACTTAAACTTCTAACACTACACATTATTTAATTATACAAGAGAAAGTTTACTACAGAAAATGGGAACAAGAGCAGAAGAAATGCTCTTTTGTGTAGTTCATGTGAAAGATTATAAGTATTATCACCATCAACAAACATTTAAAAAGTGCTTTTTTATAGCTAGAGCATTCATCTAGGAGAAAGTATTTGAATGTTAGCAAAATAGATCCCTCTTCTAAATAGCCTCGAGGCATAGTCAATAAAACCATAGTCATTTTAGAACAATCTGATTATTGTAAAGGTCAATGAGCTTTTAAAATGGTGCTGTTGGCAAAGCGGGGAATTAGTTCAAGAGTGCCATTCCCCAGAAAGTTACCCTAACATGAGACGTTACAGTTCATTTAGAAAATACATGCCAACCTGTATATACTTCGCTTTCTTAGATCTGGAAGGAGTCTAACGGAAATCTGGTTTCTGACCCATCATTTTCTGGGTGAAGCATCTGAGAAATGCCCAGTGACTCACCTCTGGGCCCAGACATATAACTTCATTTGCTGTGCACATTACTCACTGTAGCTCGCTACTTTCTTCATGTGTTTTGTAGTTTGAAATAGAGGGGTTGGACTAGATCGTCTGAAGGACCTTCTAGTTCAGTACTCATTTGCTGAGCACCTAGTACGTGCAGGACGCTGTGCAGAGATGCTGGGGGTGAGTGGCAGGGGCCGGGCGAGGTTACAAAGAGGAGTAAGATGTGGCACTTTCCCTCAGAGAGGCTGGCAGTCTTATGTCTTAGACTCCGACTTTCTATAACTATTTCTATTTGCATCTCTAATTTACCTTTTTCTTGTGTTTCTTCCATTTCATCCACAGGTAATGCACCGACAAAGCAGCCAGAATTAAAAAGATGGCTTGTGCTAAAATATACATGAGATATAAAAAGCCCTGAAATATGTCCATATTAGCAAAATGGCAGCCTAGTTTGTTTATAGGGTAAGGCAGACAGTGAGTCGGAGAAGGCTGAACTCTCAGATAAGGCATTTCTTCTGGGAAAATCTCCCATCCAACCTTGGCCCAGATAGTTCCATCACAAATGCAGAGACTTTCCTTTAATAAGCAGATAACCAACAGAGGGAAGATTGGGGATAGTTCCTGAAGGGACATCTTCCTGTCTCATTGGGACAAAAAAAGTCTGTAGCCAAAAATGCAGTTGGAGGCAGAGTAGAAATGTCCTCAGCATTGGACATTGAGTGTGGTCTTCATAGTCAGAGATACATACACCACTGATCATTGTTACATATTCAGTCATAGTGATTCAGAGAGAGCCAGTGACATCATAACCACACTGGAACTAAAAGGTGTCACCCAGCCAGTCACTCTGTGTTTCTTGGGGAAACTTTTTCTTGCTTTTTTTTTTTAATCAGAATTATTTGAGCATCTTCAATTTCATAAAAAACGAGGGCCGTACTAATATCTTGCTAGCTAATAAACTGTAATCATATTGATGAAATTTCATGGAGGTAATTTCATGGAACCCTAACCCTTCACACCCTTCTGTAGTGCAGCTGTTTTACATCTTTGAAAGTATCTGTAGCCATACCATTTTACACAACCTACAACCTGCTCCTGGTTTTTTGTTATTTTCCTTTTTTTTTCCTCATTCTGAAAGATCCTTCCTTTCACATAGTTAAGCAACAAAAGTTCTGCCCCCTTGTAGCCTCTGTCCCCTCGGTGGCAATGCAGTGCTATCAGGTTGGGGGGAGGGGTGGGGAATTGGGCACAGTAGTGGAAAAGAGGTAAGGTGGTGAGCGGGTGTGGTACACAATGAAAAGGTGAGTCACAGACCCTGCCCTTAAGGATCTTACAATTGAGGTAGAAGCAAAAAAAAAAAAAGTAATAAAAATTCCAACACACTGTAGACGAAACAGAGCTAAATCAAGTCATAATCATGTAACTGTTGATAGTTTCATTTGAGGGAATTAGGAGTTTCGCAGACATGTGTTTAAGTAAGCTTTGAGGAATGAGAATTTTGGTAGGTGGATAAGTCATCTTAGGTTGAAGAAACACAATAAGCAAAGAAATTCTGTGTAAACATCCATGTCACAAATCGGTATCAAGCACCTCCTACGTGCTGAATACTGTTCCGGGAACTCAGAATGCATATGCAACTAGGCGCGAGACAGAGCATGTTCACGGAGCTTCCTTTCCAGTGGGGAGCCCTAGAAATAGTGCCTTAATGGATGTATCTCTGGGGTGCTCTGGAGAAAAATAAAGTGGCATGGTAGAGGGATTCGGAAGTGGCCAGCAAGCGGAGGACTGAGTGTGCGTGTTATGTTATAGAAGGCACCAGGGAAGGCCTCTCTGAGAAGGCGGTGCTTGGGCGAGACCCGAGGCACCAAAGGAGTGGGCCACGCCGATATCCGGGGGGGGGGGCAGGGGGAAGAAGACACAAGTAACGGCTAGACTCTGTGGGTGCACATTAGAAGGGTTAAAGCCGGATGGATGGCTGGAGCCCCCTTCGGGGGCCCCGTGTTTTCTTCAGTAATGAACATGGAGTCTCATTGAGGGTTCCGAGGGGAGGCCTGGCACAGGAAACATATCGAGGGCTTTACTGTGCGCCAGGCACCGTGCCTGGATACTGGCACGCCTTATACGACATTTAGCTTCACCCTTACGACGAGCCCAGGAGGACTGTGCCTTATTACTTACATCATGCGGAGGGGAAAACTGATGTCAGAGGGGTTCAGGAATCGCAGTGGTCTGAGTGTTTGTGTCCCCAGAATCTCACACGTGGAAATCCTAATACCCAGTACAATGGCATTAAGAAGGGGGCCCTTCGTGGGGGGGGGAGGTAATTAGGACATGTAGGTGGGGCCCTCATGAAGGGGATTAGTGTTCTTTTAAAAGGAAAGTGATTCAGATGTTGGTACCTGGAAGTGAGGTGCAGCTATGACAAATACATGAAAATGTGGAAGAGGCTTTGGAATGGGTGATGGGCAGATGGGAGAGTGTTGAGGTGCGTGATGCAAAGAGGCTTGAGTAGACTGTTGGAAAGAAACACAGACATTAGCGATGCTGCACAATTCTAGGGACATAATGGATGCCCCAAAGCGCCGTGGGGGTTGAGTGTCATCGTTGCTGAAGTTCAGGGAAAGCGCCACCAACGATGTCGCTGTAAAGCTCTGGGTTTGTCCTAGTGCATGGCAGTCGACAAATCCGTCTTACTGTTGTACATTTTATTGCCCTGTTCTTCAGATGCAAGGCTGGCCCTGAAAAAATATATTACAAAGGTCTCCACAACTGTCACAGATGCAGAAAAGGGACCAGGGAGATTCCTTAAAGAAGACAAGGTACTGCGTCGTGATCCTCGCTTGTCCTAAAGTCTTCTGAGACGTTTGCCTGGTATCTTTACTTTCCGCACTCACCCTCCAGAGGTGGGGGGCAGTCCTTCCTGCCCCCCTCTCTCTCACTTCCCTTCCCTCCTCCCCTTCCTTCCCTCCCTCCTTCCTCAATGAACTGCTCAGAATGGATGGACTAGTAAAGCTCAATGAAATAATATTGAAGAGTGGCAGAGAGAGGTACTCAGTATCTTACCCAACAACGTGAATGAAGCTTGGGAAAGTAGGTGTTCAGCCAAAGAAAATCTGCCACAGACAACCTAGATTTTTACAAAGCTCAAAAGCAAGCAGTATCAAACTGTGTTGTTTAGGGATGCCTACCTATGAGCTAAAACTATTTTAAACAGGGAAGTAAAGGTATGAGGGCAGATTGTGGTTACCTGGTGGGGGTGGGCGGGGCCGATGGAATTGGGGAGGGGCACAGAGGCATTCTACCTGGGTCTTCTGTTGATTAGGAGGACCCACTGTTGCTCATTATTTTGCTTCAAAACTTAGATATACATCATTTCTTTCCGTGTATATGTATATATGTATTACATGCTTTTAAGGTGCCAAGTTTTATGCAATGAGAAAGAGGCACACTGATGTACAGATAGCTCATTGAAAGCCAGCTTGCCATGTTTAGTAGGTTCAGTCCTGCACGTGGACTGGTTTATTGCTTCGGATGTACACGCACACAAAAGATACACTTGAGGTATCAGGGATGGTTTTAAATTATTTCCTGCATTTCTCTGCAGGATGTTCTGTGAATTTCCTCACGACTTTCTAATGAAAGAGAATTAGGTGTTGCTAAAGTGTTGATGTTACCAAGTCTGCGAACATGATAAGTTCACACTTCACTTGTGGTCCGTAACGTGCTTTACAAAATCACATATGAAACAAAACACGGGCAAAATTAAAAACCATAGAGACATGCAGTGGTAGCCACCGTCTTAGACCCAGGGGCCACGCGTGTCTCACGGTGGCTGTGTCAGGCAAGGCGGGTACAGAGCATCATCACATGAAGGCCCGTCGGACGGTGTTGGTTAGAGAGACTACAGAGTTTCGTTTTTCGGTAAATCAGTGGAAAGTACATTTTCTGTTTCTGTTTCTAGAATACCATCTTTGGTGCATGCCGTGCGAAGAATGAGTGGTTGGAAACCCATCTGGAAGCTTCTGTCAGTGAGCTTGTGGAGCAGAAACAACAGTTAGAAGAGATCGTGACTCCTATCTTCATAAAAATGGCTACACCACGTGAGTTGTAGAGAAAAGTGGTTTGAATGTCAGAAAAGATGAATATTGAGTTCCGTGTTGTTATTCTGAGTTACTCTGATTTATAACAATCTTTAATAAGTAGTTACAAGCGCTGACCTGCGATATTACTCCTGAGTTGTATTAATAGTTTTAATATTAATAACTTAACATAATAGCTGAATTATTTCTGTAGAGAATGTCTAATACTAATCGTAATGTTATTACATTCATTAATCATTTAATTTCACATAATTTCCTCTGCTTTTGATTTTAACCGATTTATAACTAGGAAGGCATGTTCTCCTAGGAGATAGAGTAGGCAAGTTTGAAAACGTGTTTTTGGTATTTTAACTCTATAATATTTTGGACAACCTGTTGTGGTAATATGGTCCCTGTGAATGGGGAAGGTGCAGTCCTCAATCTGGGTGGCAGATGTACCTAAGATATTAAAAAATATCAACTTTATTCACTGATCATTCTCATATCATGAAATTATAGTTTTTAGTGTATTTACAGAGTTGTGGAATCATCGCCACTGTCTAATTTTGGAACATGTTACCACCCCCAAAAGAAATTCCTCACCCATGAGCAGTCACTTCCCATTCCTCCCACGCCCGTGGCAGCCACTGATCTACCTCCTGTGTCTGTGGATTTGCCTGTGTGAGACACGTCTCGGTTAGAATCATACACCATGGGGCATTTACAGCCTACCTTCTTTCACTTACTGTGGTGTTTTCAAGGTTCACCCCTGTTGTAACAGGTATCAGTGTTCCTTTTTACGGATGACTAATATTCCATTGTATGGGTTCAAATTTCTTCATTCGTGAGTTGATGGGCATTTGAGTTTCCACTCTTCTGACTATTGCAAATCATGCTGCCATGAACTTTGGTGAACAGGTTTTTGTGACCACGTGTTTTCATTTGTCTTTGGTGGAACTGCCGGGAGTGGGATTGCTGGGTCATTTTGTTCTCCTGAGGGCCCGTCAAAGTGTTTCCCATTTTCCACTCCCACACGCAGTAAAAACGTGTGTTCCGGGCTCTCCACACCACTGTCAACAGTCGCTACTGTCTTTAAAGACCAGTCTAGTTCCCCGAGCAGGTGTGAAGTGATATCTTAAGGTAGTTTTGATTTCCGTTTCCTTATTTACTAATGATGCAAAGCATCTCTTTATGTGTTAACTGGCCATTTGAATATTTTCTTTGGAGAAATCTTTCTTTGAATCCTTTGCCCATTTTAAAATTGGACAGTCTTTTTACTGTCGAGCTGTGAGAGTTATTTATGTGTTTTGGATTCAAGTCCCTTATCAGATATATGATTTGCAAATATTTTCTCTCATTCTGTGGATTACCTTTTCCCTTTCTTAACTGTGTCTTTTGAAGCACATGGCTCCAAGTTTGGTGAAGTGCAGTTTCTTTGTTTTCCCCTTTTGTCGCTTGTGCCTTCAGCATCGTATCTGAGAAGCATTGCCTAGTCCAAGGTCACCAAGATTTACTTTTGTAGGTTTTTTTTTTGGCCAGAGTTTTGTATTTTAGCTCTAACATTTAGTTCTGTGATCCGTTTTTAGTTATTTTGGTGATTATGGTGTGAGGTAGGGCTTCAACTTTATTTCTTTGAATGTGGATACCCAGTACCTAAGATCTTTAAGTTTATGAAAAGAGGGGCTGTGGTTTTTCAGGTTAGGGCACTTGTCTAGCAGTATGGCAGCTTGTCCCTTGCCTAGCATCTGTGCCCAACATCTATAGAGCCGCTGCACAGCGCTCTCCCAGGTCTCCTGAAGGGAAGTGGACGCTTCAGACCGTCCTTGGCTTTAAGGGGCGCACCACCCAGTTTGTGGGTAAACATGCAGAGTTGAAGAGGGAGACTGAGGGCAGTGTGTGCCCAGAGAGGTTCCGATGTGGGACTAGGGAGGCATTCGGTATCCACATGGCTGATTGGAGCCGAGTCTGTGTTAAGCAACAGTAGAAAATAAGGTTAGAAAGTTCAGGTGATCGTTTCATTCAAAGTGCTGAGTGCCGAGCTTAGAAAGTTTGGGCTTTGTTTTCAGGGCAGTGGGTTGCCATTAGGACTTTGGGGTGGGAGATAAGAGGGAGTAAGCAGGGAGAGTACCCTGGCCCTCTCTGTAAGGCGAACTGGAGGGGGAGCAGTGGGAGGGAGAAGGGGAAGACCTGAGTTATTGGTGACACAGCCTGATTCCCCCTTCTCCTCCTCCTCCCCCCACCCCGTTAGCCCAGCCCAGCAACTTCCCTCCTTCCCCTCTCACACCGAGGAAGAATCGCCTCTCTCCAAGCCCCTGTGTCTCGCACCTTCACACTGTGGCAGTGTTAGATCTTGATGGAACCTCCGAAAGGTCCCCTTCATTTCGTAGTGAGGAAAGCGCAGACGTGAGAGGTTGGGCAGTTTATTCAAAAGTTCCTCTAGTCCACGGCAGAACGGGGAACAATAATACTCATTGTATGGGAAATGTGAACCTCACAGCTCTAAATATTTTTAAAAAGCGTATGTGGGGGAGAATACCCCCCACATTGAATTGACATACCAACACCAGGGTTTAATTAACGACAGGTTCCAGCTGGGGCATACTGATTGATTTTTACGTCTATTATTTTCAAAACTGGCTTCGATTCACGACAACATGGATGGATCTGGAGGACATCATGCCAAGTGAAATAAGTCAGACGGAATAAGTCAAGAACCATCTGATTTCACCCCCATGCGGGATATAGCACTGGTTGAAAGCAGCCAGTGAACAAACAGGACAGACAAACAAGAACTCACAGACAGACAGCAGGATGGTGGTTACCAGCGGAAAAGTGGGGCAGGGGGAAGATGAAGAGGGTGGAAGGGTTCAGATAGATGGTGACAGAAGGAGACTTGGGGGGGGGGGTGAGTGCACAATGCAATATACAGGCGACATATTACAGAATTGTACACTTAAAACCTATACAGTTTATTAACTAACGTCATCCTGATACATTTAATAGAAGGTGAAAAACTGGCTCAATTGTAAAAGCTGGCTTACTTTTTGTTTTATATTACAAGGTAATTAAATGTGATTTTAAATATCTGCTTCCTTTCAGGCCAAGTGAGAAGCGCGAGATCTGTGACCTAGGCCACAGCTGGAAAACAAGCCAAGACCATACCTTCTCCTGCACATGTATTTCCTAAAAAGCCACACTTTCCCCTAGTATTTGTAAAGGCAAACCTATTCATGACAATTGAAGCTGGGAAAACCGAGACAGGGTTTTATAAAAACGTCTGAGTATGAAATCGGACTGGCCCTGTTCTGTTCTCCCTTTGCCAGTGTGCTCACGTCCAGACCACCCGGCCTCCGCTCTGCTCCCTGCACCCCACACCCCACCACGCGCGACCAGTCCCCTGGGTGGGCGTTCCGAGGCTCCTTCTGGACAGTGCTTGGCTATGAGGCACAGACACTGCATGGAAACTTCAAAAGCTGGTTAGAGAGTCTAATAACTTTCTGTACAGTTGAGACAGGAAATTTCCATCCAGTTGAAGAATTCTACGGAGAAAGACGGAGTGGCTATGTCCCGGGAGATTTCGTTCTCCCTCTTCCAGAAGGAAAACTGTGGGATAGCCCTCTGGAGCCGAGAAGCACAAAGGACAGTTTGGGTCAGGGTCCCCTGTCCACACAACTGTTCCTTTTTATGTCCAAATTAAAATTTACCTGTGAGGTGGGATACAGTTTCTTAGTAAAACCTCTGGTCCTAAACCCCTTCCTGTCTTTAAATTAGTAAACAGAAATCTGTTCAGTTTTAGATTTACATTTCCTCTGTTCTGTAGGTTTGGTAATGCAGATAGGTATTAGAACTGGCCTCCAGGTCACTTTCCCTTCTGTTTTGTTTGATGTTTTCTAGGTTTTAGATATCATTGCTAGTTTCATATTACTGATTTGGAATAGTCTTTTTCTGTTTTATTTTTTCTAGTATATCTAAAAGCTCCTAATCTACTACGCTGTGGCTTTCTGGAAATGTTTTATAGGAAGAAAATGGTTTTTGAAAAACCTGTTTACTGCATTTGTCTTTCTTATGCCTCTCTCTTTTCCCACCCTGAAAGTGAGCTGTCACGGAAGAGGGGGAGGGAAGGAAACCAGCCGTTCAGGGGTTCCATCTCAGCCGTGGTTTTGGGGTAACACTGTTTTAAATTTGTCTCACAAATTTTAGTCTTAGATTTTTTTTTTTTAAATGTATGAGTAATTCAGTTGCTGTCAGCAAAAGAGCAGGGCATTGACTCCCACCCGCTGTGCTGCAGGTCCTGCGGAGTCTGGGGAGTGGTCCAGAGAAGGAGCGCTGTGTTTGCTGCCCTCTCACACTGCTGCGGATCGCGGGAAGTCCATTATCTTCAAGCACCGCCCTGATGTGGGGAAAGGCCGGGTTTTTGTTGTTAGTACTCCCATTCTGCATTTTCTGAGCCTTGACCTTGATATGCTATTACTTTCTAGGCAGGTGGTCTTGGTGACTAGGAGGGATTCCCAAGTCTCACTTCAGAGTGCTGGGAAAGACAGAGGCTCCGTGGAGACCCCTGCTGCAAACTCCACCTCCCCCCCACCTTTATTCACCTTTTGGTCATTACTTGCCAACTTTGTGGAGCTTTTGATTCATTTGCTAATGCTGACTTCTTGAAGTTCTTTGTATGGGCTCCTTTATGTTCTTATGGTTCCATTACCTTCTTACGAACTGCTTTTCTAACTCTTTCACCAGCTGCTATGGTCTGAGTATTTTTGTGTTCCCCCAAATTCATATGTCGAAATGCAACGCCCAGTGCAACAGTATTAGGAGGTGGGGGCTGTGGAAGGTGAGTAGGTCACGAGAGTGGAGCCCGTATGAGTGGGTTTAGGTTCTTACAAAAGAGGTCCTAGCCCTGGCCAGGTGGCTCAGTTGTTTGGAGTGTTGTCCGGTACACCAAAAGGTTGTGGATTCGAATCCGAGGGCAGTGGGTTTGATGCCTGGTCTGGGTGTGTATGGGAGGCAACTGATTGGTGTCTCTCACATCAGTGTTGTTCTCTCTCCCTTCCTCTCTCTCTAAAATCAGTAACATATCCTTAGGTGAGGATTTGAAAAAAAAAAGGCCCTAGATAGCTCCCTTGCCCCTTGCACCATGTGAGGTTGCAAATAGAAGACAGCTGTCCAGGAAGTAGTCTCAGCAGACGCCGAGTCTACCAGCACCACGACTTTGGACTTCCTCACCTACAGAACTGTAAGAAATAAACATTTTTTGCTTATACAGTACCTGGTTTATCTTATTTTTCTTATAGCAGCCCAGACAGACTAAGATACCACCTCCTTTTCTTCATCTTGCCTCCAGCTTGACTTCTCAAAAGTCAGTCCTGTTTTATAATTTTATATGTCGATTATACCGCAGCAAAGCTGAGGAAGAAGTCAGTCCTCACCTTGGGGCAGTAGTCGGTACGCTCCACCCCATGACCTTCTCTCTCTCTAATGTCAGGAGGAAGGGCTCCCCCTCCTTGGGGGCACCATGGTGCTGGTGGCCTCGTTCTGTGTTCTGTGTCATTTTGCTCATGTCTGTATACCCATGTGACTTGTGAGCTTCTTGCAAGTAGGGACTTTGTCTTGCTTTTCTTCATGCCAAAGGGCCAATAGGTAAATGAGTTAGTAAGTAATAGTGGAGTGAATTCTCTTTGGGTGCTACCTTATTCACAGACCTTACTGGACTTCATTAAGTTACAGAGCTTGTTCACCTTATAGAAATGACTCCTGAACCCTATTCCGCATATCCTGCTCATGTCAGCACCCCGCTCCATTCCTGTCCCCCCCGGCAGACAAGCCACACACACCCTGTGTGTCTTGTTTCTTCTCTGACCTTCGTCTTGAAAGCTGTGTTACTGTTGAAGCATCCGAACTTGGGGATTACCAATTCTCCTTTCAAGAATTCCACTGATGTGAGGGTCTGAGTACACATTTGCATCTATCCATCTATATCTTCAGTATGTTTTAAGGCATATATTGCTTCTGACCTATTGTTGCATTGAATTATAGATATATGCAGAGGACAGTTAAAATGCCTGTATGTTTTGAATTTGGGCTGTTAAACAGGAAGTTGTGTGAACACTTATAGAGTATTTCAAGTGCATAGCATAAGTTAAAGTGCATTATTTGAGAGTTGGTCAAGGAGAGGCTAAATTCAGTGTTTTAGCTTCTGTGGTGTTACAGTGGTGTCTTAGACGGTTGTATTTCATTGATTGGAAAGATGTGAAAAAATAAAGGGGGGAGCTTGATAGGACATCATTAGGAAGACACCTACTGACTGCTGTGACTCTCATTTAATAAAAGACATTTTAACACCAGAGAAGAGGGGATGACGTGTCCAGGTATGAGGCTCTACCCTGTAAGTTGGCTAAATTAAGCTTTATTATAGACCGTTATATTTTTTCATTTGGCCATGTCTGATGCGACTTTTGTCGTGAATCACCACTGGCCTGTGGTCCAGCCTTTGAGAACTACTGCTCTGGACGTCTGTGGCTAATGCAGGCAGACTGCTATTTGGGTTAACACGACACCCCAGGTTATGAAGGGCTGGCAGTCCACCCCAGTGTTTGATCTGCTATGTGACAGATTGTATTTTTCTTGGCGACCACATCTCTTATCCCACATGCTCTTCCTAAGGTGTGATCCCGGCATGCAGAGAGGCAGGTCTCCATTCTCTCCTGAATCTGGGCAGGCCTGGGCTCTCTTGCAAGTTGTACTATGCAGTTTCCATGGGTCATAAAAGGTGGTAAGAGGTGAGGTAATTTCTTCCTGGTTCTCCCGAGATGCTCACTCCTGGAAACCAGCCTGTGGGAAGACCATGCAGACAGGAAGAGAGGCCCCAGCCCAGAGCCCTGGCTGAGCTCCAGCCAGTGGTCATTCCCCAACCTGCCAGCAGATGAATGAGCCCTTTTGGAAGTGGATCCTCCCATCAAGCCATGGAAGCTGACGCCGAATGGAGCAGAGACGAGCCTTCTCTGAGGGGCCCTGCAAAACAGCAGGTTTGGGCTAAATAAATGATTGCTGTTGTTTTAAACTACTTAGGTTTGTGTCTTTGTTATATTGCAATATATAACAAAAATTGGGAGCCTGAAGTGAGAAATTCACAGCAAACCCTAAAATATGTGGCATCGCCTTTTTAGGACAGTGAGGGAGGAGGAAACCAGGAGGACCTCACTGAGAGTGTCGCTGAGAGCCCGCAGGGTCATCACTAGATTATTGGCAGCATCTTTCGGGGCTTCTAGGAGGCCATGTGTGGGAGCATACAGGAAAGAAAGGAAGAGTGTTGTTAGAAGCTGGAGAAACGGGGCCCTTCCTATGTGATGAAGGTAAGTTTGACCCCACTGTGTTACAAGCAATGAACTCAGTGATGTTGAGGAAGACTTTTCCAAACAGCGATCAAGGGCTACTGCCTTCTCCTAAAATGCAAGAGGAGAAGGAGGGAATGAAAAGGAACAGTTGGTTTTCAAGTAAAGCTAAGATACTTGGCCAGAAGCCCGTACTTGGTGAGTGTGAAAGTGAACTGTTTCTCATTCCTAGGCTCTCTGAACAGCAGAAAGTTCTTAAACTAAGAGGTGGCTTCTGAAACAAGATGAAATCTCAGGTGGGATTGTGAAGCCACCTTGGAAGATGTTTGAAGTACCTAAGGTGGTACCTTGCGGAGCATTTGACAAAGCGTGGCGTAGGGATGAGAGAGCAGAATTTCATTGTCTCAAAACAACATCCTTGAAAGGAAACTAAAAGTTGATCAGTGATGTCCATTGGTATAAATTCATACTGTATTTGTTTTTAGTGATGGGGTCGAGGCAAAAATACATAAATTAGGCATCACAGAATTTGGGATGCATTTGTTTGCCAATGAAGAGTGGGTGATATTGTGTCTTCAAATTAAGGACCAAAAACCAATGGAAAATAGGAGTCGAGGAGGGACATGGGGGTGAGAAAGTCCCACTGAAAAGGGAGAGGTAGAAAGAGAAAATGGAAAGGATCAGTGGTAGAGTCAGAGGGGAGACAAGATAATGTTGAAGGGAGTTGGTCAGGCAAAGAAAATCAGTTAGGACAGTTGTGGGTGTGAACAGCTTGAGCAGTAACAAAGCAAGCTTCCCTGGAACTGGGTCACTTAGCTGCTTCCAGATTGGTGGTGGGGGATGATGTATGTAGCCAATCAGAATGAAAGTGAGTTGGGAAGAAACCAATAGGAAGTAGGCATGGACATAGCTTTCAGTGTGGTATCAGTTGGCCATACTGAGCCCAGCAAACAGACGCAGAGCTGAGTGAGCATTGTCCTTTGTGTTTTTCTACAGCCTTCATCTGGATTTCAGTTTGAAACCCGCCAAGCCTTGGAAGCAGACACTGCTGGTCTTGGAGAAGAGCTTGATTTGAGAGTGAGGCTGTAGTGACAAGCAGGTCAAGTGAGGCTGAAGATGACAAAGACCTGAAGACAGGTGAAGCGATTTGAAGAGGTAGCATTTCAAATCTCTTTTCTGCCCTGCCTTCTGCTTCCCCCAGAATCACTGTGGTTTGTAGACCAAAGAGGCCAAAACAGAACCAAAAATGAACTCTAAATATGATTGGGGACACTTCAGGAACCTCTAGGAATTTTTAGGTTAAGACTAGATGCAAGGAAAACTAAAACAGATTGAGTCCTCAGCAGCACGGAGTAGGCTGTGTCCTTCAGAAGGGCACCAGTGTATGGCAGTATTGAGGCTGAAAGCCAGTCTGTTCATGTGCCAAGCCATGTGCCTGGTTGTTAGGAAAGGGAACTTTTTCTAATTCACCGAAAGACACCATATGATCAAACCTCATCTTTAGTTCTTCCCCGTTTTTTTCAGGTTATTCAGCCCCCATCTTTTCCTTCTGCACCTAACTGGTGTGACTCAACTTTGACCTTGGTCCCCCTTTGCCATTTAGGTTTTGGAGGGGTCCTAGAGAGGAAAAGGGGACACAGGATTGCAGTAGTAGCAGTGATTTCTGCAATGACTTGTACCCATGGAGAAAGAGTTTCCCCTTCAAAGAGTTCAGTTCATCAGTTATTTAGGGAGAGCCCAGGATGTGCCATGGACTGTGTGCCCAGCCTTAAGAGAAATGAATGTTCAGCCCTAGCCCTTCAGAAACTGTGCAGAGGGGAAGGCAAACACATCACCATAACATACAGTGGCAAGGTCAATGCCACACAAAGCCCTCTGCCATGTGCATGTGGCCGTCAGAGACGCACTAACACTGCTGTCTGCTTCCCGCAAAATGTTACCAGGGCAGGGGCTGGAACGGTAGGTGTCAGTGTGTGCCCTGCGGAAAGGCACGTGCTCAGCTCTGAGTACAGCCCAATGTTAGATGGAAGAGCGGCCATGTCTGCGTCGGGTCTCATTTTCTCCTTTGTGCACATTATCCCAGGTTAGTCTGCACTCGAAAGTGTCGGTGACAACTCAACTTGTGAATTCTCCAGGAAGGCCTGAAAAAGCAATGGCAACAGTGAATTCTACCTTCTGGGGACAAAGGGAAGGCATCAGACCTGATTTAGTCTGTGGAAGATCGGCGGACTACATGGCTGTTCCAGGGAATTTTGCAATGCTCGCCTGTTCCACCATTGTTTTGGGAGGTAGGTGGTGGCTTTTGAATCTCACCTTTCCTCTGCCCTTGGAGCCTTGGCCAGTGCAGACAATGATCACAACCACATCCAAAGAAGGGCCCAGTGAAGTCATAGACGTGAGTAAGTGCTGTCAGTCTAGCTCCATTTAATTATAAGTAGCACCCACCTTATGTTCCTTGACTCAGTGACATTGGCTGAGCACAACAGCGTGGTCGGCATAGGAGAACAAGACAGTCCTTCACCTCCAGGAGTCCCTTCATGGGGACAGTGGGCAAACACATCATTGCAATGCAGTGTGGGTAGCGCAGCGAAAAGGCATGGCCCACGGTCTCTGTGGAGGGGGAAGAGCCTCATACTGTCCGGCTGCCAGCCAGGCCTAACCTGACCAAGATGGCTGGGATGAGGGGAGGCAATGGGAGCGAACAGAACCTAGACACAGGATCACAGTTTCCGTGGTTGGAGTCATCAGCTCTGCCTCTTGTGTTATGGGAAGATGAACTACCAACCCTGACCCCTGTCGAGAAATTTGGACAGGCCTCACAATAAGGATTTTATTTATTTACTTTTAGAGAGAGGGGAAGGGAGGGAGACAGAGAGGGAGAGAAACGTCAATGTGTGGTTGCCTCTCACATACCCTCTACTGGGGACCTGGCCTGCAAACCAGGCATGTGCCCTAGACTGGGAATACAAACCAGAGGCCCTTTGGTTCGCAGCCCAGTGCTCAATCCACTGAGCTATGCCAGCCAGGGCGGGAAGGGCCTCTTAAACAATGATTAAGAATTTGGTGGGAATGGTGAATGCTATTCATGCAGATAAAAACATTCAAAATGCAGGTGCTCGATTCCATAATTCAATATGGGTGATTAGAGAAGTTTCTAGTGCACTTTAAAATTTTTTACTTGGGAAAAATGTCAGCTGCTTTAACATCCTTTCTTGGATTAGGAAGATGGTAAAGAAACAGACAATGAAGCAACTGTGCATTAAAAAACTTGAATTTCACTCATTGTATCAGAGAGTGAAATTGCTTTCTCTGCGGTCTTAAAATCCAAATGACCTTGGTGCCTGTTGCCACTACAAGTGCTGGTGACCATGAACTTTACTAGTTCTAGATCTTTGGAGATTCCATAGAGACAAGTGGCCCAGCAGTAAAGGGCATTGCAGAAATAGTTTGAGAAACATTTCCTTTGGCCTTACGAACAAGAAGTATTCCATACATATTTACTGATTTGGCTGGATGTCAGTCAGTGCAGAATCTGGGATGCCAATGAATCTTGCCTGAGGTATGAATTAGTTGGACTGTGGTCCCTACATTACTTCCGGAGGAACCGAATCTTAGAGCACACGGTTTCAAGGTGAGAAAAGGCACGTAGACAGAAAATTAACAAGTGTCTTTGGTGACTTGTCTGGTGAAGGCAGTCTTCACAGTGGGTAGAACTCGGTTAAAAGTACTTCTGGCTTTTAGGAAAACTGTCCGATATGTGTTTCTATAGTTTGGGATGAGTAATTAATAATATAAAGTGTACTATGTAGATATGAAGTTTGGCTTTTCATAATTTCTCATCAGTAGAGCCATAGGTAAGTGACACGGGTGGGCAAAGGGGAGGTTTTTGGAATTTCAATGTTCTCCAAGTTCACTGCTAAGAGATGCCTCAGTGTATGGGTCCTACCCTTAAGAGGCAGCATTGGTAATGAAATGACACTCAGAGGAAGTTTTTTTCCCTGTTAATTATTTATTTATAATGATATATCACTCAGAATACATCTAAAATGAAATAGAGAGGTCATGAAATTGTTTTGAAATGATACATGCTATCTAAATAACACATACCTTTATTTCTTTAGGATTTTTGAGGGCCTATTTAAAGAATTCTGAAGTTATTGTGTTGACAATCCTTTCCCTAATTGGGTTTGTGGTGGGACGGCTGGCCTACAATTTTATTGAGGTAATGTATGTACCACAGATTAGAGAATCAATGAAAGAACAAAGACCCCCCCAAACAAGGTGCACTGCCAGGCACCCCTGAATGTATGAATTTATTTTTATGTGAACAGCTGCTGAAAATATTCATGGGGCAGTAAAATTTTTGAAAGTGGAAAACCATTAGGTAAAGGAGACCTCAATGAGAGATGGTGGAGAAAAAGCGCCCATTTGGAATGAAGGACAGTTTGGTGGCATTCTTGGGTTCTTCATCTCCTTCCTTGGGAGCCTTGCCCCTGGGTCCCTTCCCTGGACCTGCACTGGCTTCTTCTGCGTTACTGCCTTCAACACCTGTGCAGACTCTAGTTACAAAGGCAGAAGTTACCATGGTGATGAATTGTGGCTGCTCTCTTTTGTCAGCTTCCAGTGTTGTATAGTAGAGTATAACAGAGATATATGACACATGTCATATATAATGTAGATACCAGACACATTTCATTAAGTTATGAGCTTATTAACTCTTGATTTCAATTGCATAGCAGTGTGATTAATAATAATGTCTCCGCTCTTTTATTTTTCAAATGCGGAGACGATGCTTCTACCCACCACTGCTTGCTAACATCATCTGGGTATTTACTGTGCACCAGGCTCCCTTTTAAGTGCTTTGCATTTATTAATTTATTAACTTGTTATGAACTCTTGAGCTCATTCATTCATCCTCATGCTGACCCAATGGAAATGGTTACTCTATTCCCATTTTACAGATGAGGAGACTGAGGCGCGTAGAAATGATGAAGATTAAGCCATTAATTGAGCTGAAAACCTTTTAGGAGGGAATATTTGGGGCACTTCAGTCATTGTTGCTGTGTTATCTATTCACAATCTGTCCTATTATCTATATAGAATTTTTCTCTATCTGACTCACTGGAAGATTTTAAAATCCTAAGCAAATGTCTATAAAATCATAAGTACCTGTGCAAGGCTTTTCCCCCCTCTTAATGCAAATTAAAATAAATTTCTAACAACTGAAAAATACTTATCTCCGAGCCACCTAAGGTCACCTCAGAGAACACCGATTACTTGTCCCAAGCAATGTTCATGGGGCCCAAGCCCTCACAATAGGGGACTGCATAGACCTCGCCCGGACAGTTAGATCAAGAAACCCCCTCAGGACCCCCAGGACTGGCCTTGTAGATAGTCTCTCATACATTGCAAATTGGGTTATTCTAAAATTTATATTAATGGACACACCATCAATGCAATTGCTAATGCTTCATGATGGCAGCAAACTAATTTCTTATTTGCTTTCGTTAGTTTAGGTGTTCCAGGTTATCCACCCTCTTCTCAGAACACCAAGTTTTTCCCTCTTTTGTTACATTGCACCTTTAATTATATTTCTGGCTGCCTTGGAGGTGGACTTTTACATCCTCAAGAACGTGCTTTGGCAGGTAAACAACACATTTTAAAACAAACTATGCTTGTTCATGTTGACAGAGAGTATGACGGATGATGAAGAAGGGTAATAATAACTCACAAACCCCGGGTCTTGGTTGTTTGGCCCTCCTTACTCTGCAGAACCGTCATTACAGAGAGTGGAGGGGAGGGAGGGGCGTGAATGTTTCCTGAGCAGTGGCTGTGACTGGGCACTGAGTAAACGTCCCCGCCCTTTTACAGACCTCAGTTCAGGTGGCACAAACGAGGCCGACAAAGGGCAGAGCCTGGATTCTGATTTCATAGCTGACTTTGTCTCCCTGTGTCTGTAGATGGCAGTTCCTGTTGCTAAGATTGTTTCATTGGTGCCCTCTCTCTCTTTTTTTCTTAGCCATGTTGCCAGACTGTTTTATTTTTCCTTTCAAAGAACATTTTTATCTCTTTTTGTGTGTGTGTTTTGTACATTTAAGGTTTTAGATGGTCCTATAACTACTTTTTCAGTGTAATCCCACATGTTTTGGTTGTTCATGTTTTTGTCACCTTCCCCAGCCTATCTGCATTTTATTGTACTTTTCTCTTTGACCCATTAATCATTTAAAAATTGTTTTGAAATTTCCATATATGGCTTTTCATGATCATTTCTCTCATCACAGTGTGGCCAGAGGATGTGCTTTGTAAGGCAAACCTTGTGTTTCATGAAGATGTGCTCTATGGCCCTAGTATGTGATCAGTTTTCCGAAATGTTCTGTGTTTGCTTTAGAAAAATGTATATTCTCTAATTGTTGAGTGCCGGGGTCTAAATTTGTTCAGTAGATTGTTTTGTTGATTATGAAGTTTGACACAGTGATGGAATATTACTCAGCAACAAAAAAGGAACAGAATACTTATAGGAATAACATGGAAGAATTTCAAATTCAAGTGTGATGCTAAGGGAAAGAACACCAGGCTCAAAGGCTGCCTATTGTACAATTCCATTCACACACCTCCCTTCTAGCAAAGGCAAAACTGCAGGTTTGGAGAGCAGATCACTGACTGCCGGGCACTGGGGCTGAAGGAAGAAATTGACTACAGAGGGGCATCATGGGACAGTTCTTAGGATCTGTCCCCAAGCAGATGGATCTGCTTTGGTTTTAACTGTGGTCATGGCCAAATGACTGTATGCATTAGTCAAAACTCAGATAACTGGACCCCAAAAGAATGAATTTTATCATGTGTAAATTAAAGGTAAGTTTAAAAAAAAAATCAAAGAAACTAGATTTGCATTGACTTCTCCCATATAGTTTTTGTACTTTGTATTCACCATGGTCTTCCTTTGCTTTTTCTCATGCTTTTCCCCTTCTCAGTCAAGTTGACTCACGGTTCTTTATCCTTTCTGTCCCTTCTGCTTGTTTTGAAGTTTTACACTCTAGTTCCATTTCTGAGGTAGGCACTGCCAATTGCCTATTCATCGAGACACATTCCCTCCTTCCCCCTCGCTAACAGAAATTTACTATTTTTGTTTGGTGTGGTAGTCGGCCCCCTGGAAAACACAGCATTTTCCACATTAGAAAAGCGTGGCCAATGAAAAGTGCTATACAAGTTTTGCTGAATGAAGTTTCTCCCAGAATATGTTTAATCAGGGGGCCCAACCAGTAGCAAGTGCCTTTCGCCCTTTGTTTTATTTCTCTTCCCCCTGGAGGCCTGCGGATGGAGACATGGAGGGAAGCAGGAAATGTTTTACGCAGAAGCAGGGGAAATTTGCATTTCGTTTGAAGAACATCATTCTAATGTGGAGAACTATTTATTAAGGGAGAAGAGAAAGTGGGGCATTGGTCTTTTCACAAGAAAGTAGAATCCCATTTGTTTGGAAGGGATGCTCTCTCTGAGGCAGGTGAACTAGAACACCTTTTACAGTGACCTTCCAGAGGAATCGTAGAGAACGCGCATCACCGGGATCTGATTGTGACGGAGGACACGTGGTCCTGCCGTCTTTAGATGCTAACTCTAACACTGAGCGATGGTTTGGCTTCCCAGGTCTTACTGACCGGATTAATCAGCTTCTCTACCACGCTGATCATCACTGGCTTTGTGGCCATGAAACTCAACAAGGAATCCTGGGACCTGCAGTGCTGCCTGCTGTTCAGCATGACCATCGGCCTCACAGACCCCATCCATTCTGTGAAGTCACTGAAAACCATCGGTACGTGGGAGGCATTTCTCTCTCGCCTCGCAGATAGGCAAATAAGTCATTTGCGTTGGGGCAGATGCGTGCACTGCTTTTCTTAGAGATGGAGCCCTGACGAACTTGAAGGATGAAGGGCAAATAAGGCCCCTCAGGATCTGGGGTGAAGAACACCCATTATAATCTCTAGGGAGTTATTCCAAGGGGGAAATGTAGCCTCTCCAGGATGCAGTGAAAAGCAGCATTCATGTTCCATTCCACTGAGGTCTAAGCAATAAGGTAGAGACTGTGTTTTACCCCACGGAAGCTTTTTCAGGGCCTTGCTACCTCTTGCTGGAACTCCGTGATGAATGGGCTAGCCTTGTACTTGACTGAGAGGAAATGGGGGAAGAAGCAGCCTGGCAAACGTGTTATTCGATGCAAGCATATTCCCCAGAGGGGGTGGAGGGTGGGGGTGCTGTACTGCTTCTCCTCTGATTTGGGGGGAGATGAGTTCACTCTGAGATTCCTTCCTTTTGCCATGTTTTATTGACTCAGCCATACAAACATGAAATAGATGCTATAGTTTCTGTTTTTGACTCAGAAATATGTCCCTAACCAATTTTCTGGTATTGGTTATATATTTTGGGGGGAAGATATTGGCTTATGATTGGAGCAGGACACCGCCAAGCCTTTTAGAAAGTGATAGTCCAATTTTTTTAAATATTTTTTTTAATTTTTAGAGGGAGGGGAAGGGAAAGAGAGAGGGAAAGAAACATCAGTGTGTGGTTGCCTCTCACATGGCCCCACTGGGGACCGGGCCCGCAACCCAGGCATATGCCCTGACTGGGAATAGAACCACGACCCTTTGGTTCACAGCTCGCGCTCAATCCACTGAGCTACACCAGCCAGGGTGATAGTCCAATTTTTATACCCACTTATCTCTACAGTTGTGAAAACAGAGAAGGTTGTAAGACACTTGTGATGCTAGTATTCCAAATACTCAGTGAGTCTGGTCCCATCTTCTTCTCTTTCTCTGGTTTTTCTAAGTTCAATTTTTTTTCTCTCTTGCCTTCACCTGCCTTTTTCTTTTGGAAAAACTATATATAGTATATATATACTATATATACTGTATACTGTAGTATATACTAAAATACTGTTAGTATACTATTAGTATATAGTATAATATATAAACGGTATAAATAGTATACTGTACTATATACTATATATAGTTTTTCTATATATGGTCCATAAAGTATATACACTATATAAAGTATATAGTATATGAACTATATAATTTATTAATTGCAGTGTCCATATTCAACAGTGTTTTCAGCAAAGGAGTCGGATAGAAAGTCCATTTACTGAAAAGACAGCTAGCGAAGTACTGGCTCTTAGTACTTTCTTAGTGTCGGAAAGGCTTAGGTGCTACCTGGGTTCTGGATCCAATGACCTTTTTCCTACTAAGGCAAATTTGCCTATTCTGGGCATTTTGTATAACCCAAACCACACAATGTGTGACTTTGGCATCTGCTTCTCTCACTTAGCGTAGTGTTTCGAAGGCTCATCCACAGCTGCCACGTGAGTCAGTTAGAACTTCATTCTTTCCTGTGTCTGGGTGCTGTTCTGCTGCAGGGTGAGGTCACGGATGTCGGTCCATTCAGCCGCTGATGGACGATGGGTCGTTTCCACCTCTGGTGGTTACGAGTGATGCTGCCGTGAATGCGCATGTGCACGTTTTTGCGTGGACAGCTTTTCCGTTCTCTTCGGTGTACGCATGGAGTGGAATTGCCGGGTCACACTTTGTACTCATTTCTAAAATGTGATTCTTCAGGAGTCTGACGATTCATGTTTATCCGAGCTAAAGGTCATGCCCTGCGCAGTGTCTGGTCTCATTCTGGAGCTCAAACGCGGTCTGAGGCCACCCACGGGCACCTCAGGCAGTGCCGTGTCCGTGCGCCTCTGTCTTTGGAGACACAGAGGCCCCGTGGAGAAGTGAAAAAAACAGTGCTTGTAACTGTCCCGCGGCCGTGGCTGCCCGCTCTGTTTTCCCAGCATTCTCTTTCTCTCCGTGTTTCTGTGTTTCCTGTGCACGAGCCATGTTGTCATGGACCGTATGAAGTTATACTTTACATTTCCCGTTGCAGGCATTTCCAAAATGTACACCGACATCATTCGGGGAGAGTCAATGATCGTGTGCTGTGTCACGTGCATCTTTTTTGGAATTCTTCGGAGCAACTTACCTCACATGTTGGTGTTAAAGGGTAGGAACATTTTTTTCCGTATATTTTTAAAAATCATACGTGCCTGGTGCATTTCAGTCCATCCTGAAATTAAAACACGTTCAAGATGACTTTCCTGCTTTCTCTATACTTGACTCTGGGACCAATTCGAACAGCCTATCAGGCAACAAGAAAATAGTTACGTCATCTTCGTCTTTTCTTGGACAGGAGGAGGGAAAGAATGTTAGATTCATCCATCTCCTTCAGTATGCACATGTGCTTGTGCACACACAGACAGTTTCATCTGGGGCGGATTTACTCCTTCCCAGGATCAGCCTGTATCTCACTGTGGGGGGTGTGTGTGCAGAATTTGCTCGGTCCTTGTGAAAGCAGAATGGTTCAGGCAGCACCAGAGCATCAGGTCCTCAAAGTGCTAACAGTCAGATGCGCATGATTCAAGTTCACTGGGCCACGGAGCGTGGCCTCTCGCTAGGTTGCCGGTGATGGTAATAGCAGAGAAGAAATGGGGAGCAGGCATAGCAGGAAGAGGCAGAAGGTGTCCTCCTGATACACTGCTATGGCAGCCGTGAGAGGGGAGGGGGCTGAAAGGAGAGAGAAAAGGTGGTGGTACAGAGGGGTTTGCGGTGCTTCGTGATAGGCATTTGGGATGCAGCACTCTTTGTCATTGAGGATGACCCTCGGCGTTGCCTGAAATTTGCTCACTGTCACTGCTATCCCAAGTTGCTGTGACTATAGAGAATTTCCCTTGTCCATTCTTCAGATGCCACCCAGGCTGGGGGCAGGGGTCACAAATGGACTGCAGCTTGGTGGGGATCCTGGACAAGGTTTGCTTGGCCCTGATGTCATTTATGGAAAAATTGAATTTGGATGGACCTTCAGGTATCTTTTGGATGGGTATTCACTGTCCAGCTTGCCTGAGACTTCCCATAATTCTCTCTGACTGGCTCTTGAAGACATTTGAACATTCTGTCCCTGGGCAAGAAACCTCAGGCTGCGGGTGGTAAGGGAATGTCCCCAGAGAGCCTCTTTCATCAGACTTTCAGGGGAAACTCCCATCTGCTGAAAGTCAAGGTCTTCATCTAAGGTCTATGAGCAAACCAAAGTGCATAGACCAAAATGCCATCAACAAAGGAAACAAAAGTCATAATTCAACGTTGTATTTTCTCACTTTCATTTTCTAGAGTTCACCATAATCATGGACTTCCTTTTGAGCATTTCGGGAAGCATAATATTTGGATACTGGTGTGCCAGAATCATTGAGTTTGTATTGACTGACCTGTTTAGCAACACGCTGACCGATGTCGTTCTTTGCATTTCGGTGGTGTACATGATTTTCTACATTGGTAAGGCAGAAACGGACCTGGCCAGTGCTCATCTCCACGTGAACCTTCCACAACTCCGTTTCCCCTTGATCTCGAACCCAGCTGCTTCTCCCCATCCACTGCCCCTTTGTTGTGGTCCCTCTGTGCCTCTCATCATCTCATCTCTCTGCCACCTCCCACTCTTCCCTGGTCTCTTTTAATGTCCCCTTAATTTCAACTCCATGCCCCTTCCCTCTGTGTTCTTCCACTGTGTTATAACTCTCATTCCTTTTGGGCTCCATAGTTTGATTTCACACGGAGTCACTGGCAGGCCCTGAGGAGGAATCAGCTCTTGTGGTTCCTGCTCTGACCCTTGGCCACCTATGTCTCAAAGCAGAGGGTCTGGAGAGGTGTCCCTGAGGCCTCTTCTGGCTCTGCAGTCTTTAACTTCATGAGCCCCAAGCTGAGGGCACTGCAGACATGGTGGCCCTCACCTGAGGCTGGGGCAGGGAAGGGGAGGGAGAAGTCAGGTGCACCTGTGTCTGGGGGTGGCGACTGAATCTCGGGAGCCAGAGTGCCGGGCACTGGCACACTTGCCCTGGTCCTCTGCTAGTTCAGTCCGGTGAGAGTGGGAGGGCTTTCAGTGCCTGGTGGGCGTGGCCAGTCCCTAAGGGCCATAGTGGCTGTTGGGGAACTGCCAGATTTGGTTTCTTCCCTGGCCTTCCATGGCGGAAAAATTCTGAGAAGGCAAAGACGAGCAACCATCACCTATAAAGCTATACAATAAATGTGATCACTGATACATTTTGGTGCACATTTTTGCACCTCAGCCTTTAAAAAATACATATAAATATACATACATATATTAATGTCGACATTCATGCCCGGTATTCAATGGCATCGGGATTGCACCAAATAAGATGACTTTATTTTTAAGATAAAGTTGTTTGGTGGTTTTCTCATTGCAGAAGTTGTCTCTTAAGTAGTGACTGTTACTAAAAAAGACTGTGATGAGCTTTATAATCTAGTAATACTGATTATAGAAATTGGAAATAAGATTTTGAGAGAAATTTTTCCTATCCAAGTCCCCAGCGCTGCTGGTTTTACTGCCATTGGTTGCTTAAATTCGATTTAGATTCTGTCTGATGTGTTTACAGTGTTCTCTCTGAAGGCTCTGCAGCTGAGAACTGTTGGTGTTAGTGGTATTCACACCTCCCTCAGAGCTGTGTTCCTGCCCCAGACCCTCCTTACACATCTGTACAGAGCCCCATGGGGTCTATATCCGGCAGAGGAAGAGCAGGCTTCAGGACCCACTTTCACTGGGCTCAGCCCGCAACCCCGGGACGTCCCCGAGGTGCTGGGTGGAGGCCGTTCTGTTTTTCTCTTGGCCCTACCCTCCACGACCCTCTACAGGAGGGGTGAGCAAACTGTGGCTTGTGGACCAGACACTCCTAGTTTGCACAGCTTATGAGCCAAGAATGGTTTTCACCTTTTATGGTGGTTTAAAAAAACACGCAGAAGAAAAATATTTTCTGGTATGTAAAAATGATTGGAAATTCAACTTCCTCTGTCCTTATTTATTGGGCCCTCATTCCTTTGCATGATACCTACGGTAGCTTACGTGCTTCAGCAGCTGAGTTGAGTATGTAGTTTCCATGGGGACCATCTGGCCAGGAGCCAACCCCTGAGCTCCAGGGTGAGTCTAATCCCTTGAAGCAACTTTCCAAGAAATATTACTCTTAAGTTCCCCACCAATCTTTCACTCAGTATATAAGTACCTCGGTGTGCACATTTGAATGCAACTAACTTTGTTTACTTTTTTTTCTCTCTAGTGGAATTTTTAAAAATGTCAGGTATGATTGCTTTAGTGACCGTAGGACTGAATTTAGATTCCTTAAGCTTTAAACCGAAGATGGAGTTAATAATTACTAAGTAAGTCTTGTGTTCTTGGTATGTGGATCTCATAGAATGTAGTGCCTAACTGGTCCTGCCTCCCTGGACACGAGTAAAAGTCCCGTTAGAACTTTTTTCTACCTTTTTATTTTTAATTTCACTGTCAGCTTTATTGGATGGAAAAGAAGGTACCAGTAGTGATCAACATGAGTGAACACTCCCATTCTGAATACTGCACAGTGACTCAGAGACCATAGCTGTTTTATACATTACTCTCTGGTAAAAATTTACTTTGAATTGTGGGAAGTTGTAGCAGAAAGACACAACCCCGGCCGACCTGTCAGCCGCGCTTTCTGCCCGGTAAAGCCGAGTGTCGTATGGAGCTTCCAGACAGAGGAAGACCTTCCTGCGCAGACAGACGGGTCAGCCTTCCTCTGAGAGGCTCCTGAACTACAGCATTGGTTTGGGATTATTTCACACCAAGTCACAGTCTAGTGTAGAAATTCTCACATCGTATAAAAGCAAATGTGAAAATGAGAAAACTCAGCCATAATCCAGAGTTTTCCCATGGAGATTCATTTCTTCGATGGAAAAGCCTGTCCATGGTTCTGAAATGATGGCCTGCCTACATTTTTGGTACTGAAAATGTTCTCTTTTTTGTGACATTCCAGTGATAGAAGATGGTATTTTTTTTTTTTATAGCTCTACTCAGCAAAATTTTTAAAAAGTTGGCACCTATAACTATCCTAGTTCTGGGTATTTGTGAATGACACTTGATTGGTTATTCTAATCCAGAAGCCTGGGAATAACTAATTCGTAGGACGTATACTTTTCGGTCTGGACTTGGACAGTTTCCTGAGCTTCATTGTGCTGTCATTATGAATTACTCACTTTCTTGACTCAGTTGCTTATTCTTTCGCCTGTTCAACCAATCCTCGCTTAACGTCTGCTGTGGCCTGGACCTTGTATCTGACTGAGGTTTGGGCTATGAAAATAAGTCCCTTCTGAGAAGGCACTCATTGTTCAGTGGTGGATGTAGTTATGTAAAAACTAGCAAGTGTAAATAATTACATGCTTATTGGGATCCTACTTTATGTAAGGAATATTTGTAAGATCCTGTAGAGACATTTTAACAAGCATTGTACTCAGTCAGTTATCCCATCATTGCTAAATTTTCAGAAAACTGAGAATTGGGATTCGAGGTCCCACTCATTCTCTTCCCTTCCAGAAGTTCGGAATCAATTGAATCAAAAGATTGGATTTAGATAGAGGATCAGACTGAGGATCAGAACAGGGTTTATATCTGCAGCTAAATTGAGGCTTCTTTCCAAGTGTAGATGTTGAGAGCCACCTCCAGGGAGACTGGTTTGTGGGACAGACGCATTCACCCAGTCAGCTGAAGGGGGACACTCCCAACAGAGGACCCAAGAGGAGAGGGGACTTGAGATCCACCTGGTGAGGTCAGAGCTGGCCCTGACCCACGTGGGTCCCCACACAGAAGCACACAGCTCCACTCCTGAACCTCGGGGCTCCGATCTGCTCAGTGAGAACCTCAGAGGGCGGAGCTGGCCCGAAGATGCTTGGAGAGCAATCTGGGCGATGCTTCGTGCTCTTCTCTGCTGGTGAATGGTGTAGATCATTGGTACTGTAGGAACCAGCAGTGCGATCACCTCCAGAGACAGTGCTTAGGATGGTTTTGTGATGAACACTCAAGTAGAACTGGCCTGGCAGGGTATTTAGGAAATCAGTTAGATGGAAAAGCAGACAGGAGGGACTTCCAAGGTAAGGGACTTTCATGTATCCCATGAACGGAGAAGTCATGTAGAGGGCACTGAGGTGACCCAGTCCACTCTCTCAGAGTCAAGGTTAACCAGGTTTGGCTGTGGCAGGTCCACAGTTGACGTGATGCCAGCTAATATCAGCAAAACTGCCACATCACCAACCTGGGGGTAGAGGGTAGGGGTCCTTATTTTTCTACCTTGCTCTTATTATTCTGCTGTGCAAGGCAGCCAATGGGTACTGGCACAATGAGGGTGATGGGTAACAGGGAACAGGGTGTATTTTACTTCCCTCAAGCTTTTCAGTGCTGATGGTGATGGTGACAGAAGGGAAGGCTTCTGCTGAGACCAGAATGGCAGACAGGTGATGCAGGCTTTGATGTGAAAAGGAAGCTGTTGAAAAAATACATTGCTGAGCATGTGATTTCCTTTCCATTCATTCTAGGTTCTTAACAATGTTTTCATCTGTATTCCAACATGTAATATACACTTTCTTTGGCATTATAATTGGATGCGGAAAACCCACCAATTTTCAATTTCACATCGTAACTTTCACGCTGATCTTATTTGTAACACTGAATTTTGTAAGGTATGGATTCTATTTTAAAGTTTGCTTAGTGGCCTTAGGTTCCCAGGCTCCCCATGACCATTGGGACACAGTGGGTTACTGCAAAAAAAGGGCTCTGGACGTGCAGTCAGGAGACCCGTGTTGTCCTCAATGTCCTGGCCATAGCTTGGTGTGCCCCGAGGGCTGTGCGTGTCTATTTATTTTTCAAGATTTCATCTGTAACACAGGAAGGAGAAGAACAGCAGCATCAGCGTAACCTATGTGCCTGACAGAAATGCTCAGTCAGGGTCCCATCCCAAATTATCGAGCTGAATCTCTGGGGACAAGATTCAGGGAACTGTTTCAACATGCTCATCAAAGTTCGAGCCTCAGCAGACCTGATTAATGGCTTCTAACATTTTGGGGACTTTGTTAACTTTCATCATCATAGCTATGATAAAGCCATTTATTAAGCAGTTACCATGTACATTACGCCACTAATGCTAACACAATCCTAGGAGCAGGCATTATCATTTCACGGGTGACACGTAGAGAGGTTAAAGCTTTGCTTAGAATCACCCAACTGGCAAGGGCAGAGTTAGGATTTAACCTTGACCCCCACCAACACGCTTTTTCTAAGTCGCCATGGCCCACCTGTGGTAGTCTACCATAAGAATTGATGGCAGCGTCTTTGAATGTTGTTAATGTCATTCAGGATGGGCCTGGCCAAGGGGGCTCACTTGTTCTCATGGGACATGGCTTCTGCTGACTCTGCAGGCGCTGCCTGCTACTCAGAGAGCCCCTCCCCCACAGAAAGCCAAGGCTCGAGCTCAATTTCTTCACACCGTGGGAGTTCGTGTGCAAGCTGAGAGAGGTCAGAGAGCTGAAGAAAGACATCACGTTTTCCATATTGGTTGACTCGGCTGCGTATCCGGGATCTCATCTCATCTTACTGACAGCACTGGGAGATAAAAATTCTTAGCTCCATTTTATGGATGAAAAGACTGGCCAAGAAAGGCAAAGTGCTTTGTCCAAGGTCAAAGGCTAGCGAGTTCCAGAGACGCCGTGTCAACTGATGGTTCCACTCGCCAGAAGAGAGGCTTTCACGGAGAGAGGCATCCCAAGGGGTCCTCCGTTTATGGCTGGGGTTTCCATACGAGAGTTACTTGTTGAGAAGAACATTTCAGAGAGGATGAGTCAAACTAAGGCCTGGACATAATAATTGTTGCTAATGTGCTGAGCACCGACCACATTCAAAATGTCATTCCAAGTGCTAGGAATGTTGCCTCATTTAATTGGACCCTCCTAATGATCCTCTGAGGCAAGTCCAATTATTATCATCGTCTCCATTTTACAGAAGAAACCGAGGCTTAGAGAGGTTATATAACATACTTCAGTTTGCACACTTGGTGAAAGAAGCTTAACTTTGAAGCCAGGTAGTACGCCAGAGCCTTTCCTGTACTGCCTCCCCGTTTTTGCTACCAGGACACAACCCAAGTTCTGTTTTGGCTGGACTAACTGGTATTTTATAGAAAGATAAAGAAAGATGATCTAGTTAAGGCTGAGAATGTTGGTAAGAATTCACTTCACAAAAAGCTTCAGTGCCAGTCAGAGGAATGTGTCCAAATTAATCATCCACCTTATAGATGGCAATTACCAGTTTTCTGTTTTGCAGTGATAGGGGCTCTCTAAATTGTCTCGTGAAATTCCCAGCATAGCCACTGATGCGCAGTATATTTTTTGAGGCTGAGAACTCGTCAGTTTCACTTCTACTGAAATCTTATTTGAAGAACAGTTCTGATATTCTTTTGGTGCAGATTCCCTAAAGATGGAGCCTAAATTTCAATGCAGGATCCCACAGAAAAATGATCTGTAGGGGAATAAGGCACAAATCAAAATGATGTGTTTGGCATTTGGTGAATGGCTCCTGTGGGAACATGAGAAACGTGCTTGAGCCAAGTTTATTTATTTTTTATTTTTGTTTTTGAAGATTTTCTGTATTTACTTTTAGAGACAGGGGAAGGGAAAGAGAGAAGGAAACATCAATGTGTGGTTGCCTCTTGAGCACCCCCACTAGGGACCTGGCTCACAACCCAGGCATGTGCCCTGACTGGGAATCCAACTGGCAACCCTTTGGTTGGCAGGGCCACACTCAATCCACTGAGCTACACCAGCCAGGGCTGGGTGAGCTAAGTTTATTAATGTGTCGACCATCATTTTACTTTTGGATCATGATCTGCATGTCCTCCAGGGTAATTTCTGAATGCAGGCATGGCTACTCAAAGAGGGGAGACAAGCTTGGGGATGTGAACTGAAGAGGTTTCCCTAAGCGAATTTACTACCAAATTCAAAACAATACACACTAACGTAAACGATGATTCCTTAGATTTTTATAGAACTTCCAGCATTATTTTTCAAGACTCATGTATTATGTGCAAGATAGTTGATTTGGTTACTTCCAGAAAGTTTTTGAGCAGCTTATCAATAAACTGGATTGTCTTTCATTTCGTGAAAAATTGTGTATGAGATTTAGTGTTTTTGTACATGGTTTCAATGGTGAATAACATTCATGCATAAAGTGTGATTAAAAAATTTTTTTCTCTCTCCACAGGTTGTTTACTATTGTGCTAGTGAGTCCGATTCTGATGCATTCAAATTACAAATACAACTGGAAGTGGGGAGTTATTATAGCATGGTCTGGAATTAAAGGCATTTTCAGCTTGCTCTTGGCTCCTGAAATTTATAATCTGTCTGAACAGAAATCCCAGGTGCCAGAAATGGTAGGAAAAAATTATGTCTCATGATCATTCATATTTATTCATTTGTACTGACTTTGTAGCACTTGGCATGGTACCCAGTGATGGAACTAGGTTTAAAAAATGTGTTAAGGAGAAGGGAACTTGCAGAGGAGAGTTTACTGATGTTGACAATGGGAAAGGGACCACCGATCAAGTAGAGATGATGGACCTGGGGGACAGGCGGACTTGGGATCAAATTCTGGCTCCACCTTTCACAGACTGAGTGACCATGGGCAAGTTGCTGGCACTTGCTGACCCTCAGTTTCCAGCCGAGGATTGAGATGATGCTCCGTATAATACCTGACACTCAGTAAATGCTCAACAAATGATTGAGTACATAAATGCTGTTGTTTAATAGGTGCCAGAAAGCATTAAATAGTACCCTATCTAGGGTACTTTCTAATCCCAGTAGCCTCTAGAGCATTCCAATCCCAATAGCCTCTAGAGAAAAACCTGAAATGGTAGTTAAATATACGCTAAGGGAAGGAAGATTTTTTAAAAGTTTGAAAAGCACGTCCGATGCTCTGTTGTTATCACTCAAGCTTGGGAAACCAAGCTCCCCAAAGGACATATTGCTATCAACTCTATTTTTCAGTGAAGGACACCAGGGCTCCAAGTGATTAACTGGCCCCAAATCCCATGGGTAGTCAATAGCAGAGCTGAGAACTGCAAGGTGGAGGTATTTCGGCTGCCACAGGGCATGCCTCCAGCCCCCAGCACAGCTCCTACCTCCTGCAGAGCCTCCTGTCTGGTTGCAGGAAGTGCTCTGGCAGGCGCACTTCCAGACCCACCCTGGTCCCCACTGCCTGCTGTTGCAGGGGTCTCTCCCCCACCCTGTCTTTGATGGCTCCCATCCTGCTGGCTTTGTGTGGCTGCAGGCTCTCCGTGTTGTGCTCTCTCCCAGGAACTACGAAATCTATTGTTTTCTCCCTCAGATTGAAAACTAATCTCTGCCCTGTATTATATGCAAGCAGTGCTCACAAAACAACCCTTTGCTTCAATGATCAGAGGCAGGATTTAAAAATGTGGATTAAGATAGAATTCTGGTTTTGGTTAACTGAACAATGATTCCCTTGGGAGAACTTATTAATGTTTTGGTTCTGTTTGTGTGTTTTGTTTTTTAGTTTCTATTATATGTACAAATAATATCATTAATGACTATGGGAATAAACTCAAACATGATGACTTATTTAGCCAAGAAATTAGGTAATGTATATCTACCTTTCATTAATTAATTGGGGAGAATAATGTAAATAGATTATTGTTGGGGGTTGTGGGGACTTTTTTTATAGAGCTCAAGGAGTTGGTTATGAAATCATGCATTTTCTTTCACTTGTTATTTATAGATTCTGTATTAATTGAAATATTGGTTCAGCCAGTTTAACAGATGCCACATTAACAGTGGCTTAAACAAGACAAAGGTGTTTTCCCTTCCTTCTACCAAAAAGTCCAGAAGAATGAGCTAGTTCTGCCCCCACGAAGTTGTCCAGAGAAGCAGGATTTTTCACTCTCGTTGTTTCCCCACTTCCTGGGGTGCCGCTCTCATCTGCAGGCATGAAGCTGGTTCATTACCTCTGTATCTTCAACCCAACCAACTGGAAAGAGAAAATGGGGGAGGGTGGCCATGTAGGGTAAGCAGCTTCCTTTTAAGGGCACAGACTAAATGTTATGTGTATCATTACCATTCACATCCCATTGGCCAGAACTTAGTCACATGGGCAGGGGAAGCTGGGAAATACTGTCCTTACTTGGCTGGCCATGAGCTCAGCCCAAACTCAGAGTCTATTGATACAGGAAGAAGGGGAGAACACCATCAGCATTCACGGAGTAGGCTCTACCCCAGTTGCCTATGTCTAGAAGCAATCTGAGGCTGTTGATAATCAAATGTGTCAATGCGATAGCATCCAGGATAAGATAGTTGGGCATGGAGGGGTCAAGCGGGGAGGGAGAGAGCAGGGTAGGACTACACACACAGTTTTCTCATGGGGACTTAACGTCATCTAACACCCCATGGCCCTGCCCTCGGCTTGCTGATGCAGAGAGCTGATTCTGTCAGGGTTTCTAGAATTGGTCAGTGTCGGGAGGCTCTTCGATCAGTCTGCCATGGATGAGAATAAGTCTACCAAGACATGATCTGCTTGGGGAGGAAAGGTGGCCGATTTTTCAAAGGAGAAGGGCCAGGAGCCTGTTCCTCAATGGACTTTTATTGGGTTCAATTTATTTATTTATTTATTTATTTATTTATTTGAATTGATTATGCTGTTACAGTTGTTCTATTCCCCCCTTCATTCCCCTCCACCCTGCCCCCCCAACCCCACCATTACCCCCCTTTAGTTTATGTCCATGTGTCTCAAGTCCTTTAGGTTCTATATTTCCCATACTATTCTTGCCCCCCCCATCTATTTTCTATCTACTGTCTGTGCTACTTGTTTTCTGTACCTTCTCCCCCCATCTCCTCCTCCCACTCCCCTGTTGCTAACCCTCCTTGAGATCTTCATTTCTATGTTTCCATTCCTGATCTAGCTGTCCTTTTAGTTTGCTTTCGTTTTAGGTATGGTTGTTAATAACTGTGAGTTTGTTGTCCTTTCACTGTTCATGTTTCTTTAACTTCTTTTTCTTAGATAAGTCCCTTTAACATTTCATATAATAAGGGCTTGGTGATGATGAACTCCTTGAATTTGGTCTTATCTGAGAAGTACCTTATCTGTCCTTCCGTTCTAAATGAAAGTTTTGCTGGGTAGAGCAATCTTGGTTGTAGGTCTTTCGATTTCATGACTTGGAATATTTCTTTCCAGCCCCTTCTTGCCTGTAAGGTCTCTTTTGAGAAATCTGCTGACAGCCTGATGGGGACTCCTTTGTAGGTGATTGTCCCCTTACCTCTTGCTGCTTCCAGGATTCTTTCCTTCATTTTAATTTTGGCTAATGTAATTATGATATGCCTTGGTGTGTTTCTTCTTGAGTCCAACTTTTTTGGTACTCTCTGGGCTTCTTGGATTTCTTGGAAGTCTATTTCCTTTGCCAGATTGGGGAAATTTTCTTTTATTATTTGTTCAAATAGTTTTTCCACTGGTGGTTGTGTCTTTCCCCCTTCTGGTATCCCTATAATTCGGATATTGGAGCGTTTATAGATGTCCTGGAGGTTCCTAAGCTTCTGCTCATTTTTCTGAATTCTTATTTCTTCATTCCTTTCTGTTTGATCATTTTTTTCTTCCGTCTGGTCCACTCCATTGATTTGAGTCCCAGTTTTTTTTTTCATCTCTATGGGTTTCCTGTGGAATTCCATTCATTTCCCTTAATTTAGCCTTCATATGTTTCTCTAATTTGTGGCTATAATCCACCAGATCTGTGAGGAAGCTGATGACCAGTGTTTTAAACTGTGCGTCTGAGAGTTTTGCTATTTCTTCGTCACTTAGATTTATCTCTGGGGCTTTGAGTTCTCCCTGCGACATTTTTGGTCTGTTCTGGCCCTTTAAGTGGGAGAAGCGGCGCCTTGGAACTCCCAGGTTGCTGGGTTGTGACGCTGTATGTGGGGGCGTGGTCAGAGCGGGGAGATGGCGCCGCTGCCGCCGCTGGTCCAACCGCTCACTCGCGCGCAATTAGGCAACCACAGTCAATTCGCTGCCACCGCCTCCCCACTGTCTCCTCTGTAGTCGCTCACTCGGTGGGTTGCTCGATCGCTCACTAGGTCCAATCCTGGGTTTGGAACCCGTGCGACTGGATTCGCGCGTCTGGATTCCGCGCCCGGGTCCGATCGAGCCCTTCTTTGTAACTCCTCACCCGACGCTGGTTTCGCCCCTTACCGGTCGGGCTGAAGAATTTGTTGTTAGCGGACTTCCAAAAAGTTCAGTTTTCCGTGTTCTGGTTGTGTTTTCTGATGCTAATATTTAGTTGTCCCTAAACTTGGTTGTGTGAGGAGGCACGGCACATCCACCTAAACCTCCATCTTGGCGGAAGTCTATTGGGTTCAATTTTGACAGGAATACAGGTAAAGCTCATCAATCATTGTCAGGCAGTAAGGATCAAACAATTGATAACATACAAAGAACTATGAGGGCTCATTCTGAGTCAGGGTCAGTTAGCTAAAGGGCTACAAAACTTTGGGAAACAAACTCATTTTCTGCGTGGACCCTTATCAGAAAACTGAGAGCATTCTTAGCAAAGCAAGTTTCACAGGATTTTACATATTCTTTCTTAGGCCTGATCCACCTGGGCAACCCACCCTTTCCAGCACAGGGCCACACCCACCTCCAGCATTGTTTCAGGCTTAAGTGAGTCAGGGGAAGTAAGGCAGCCAAGAGATTAGGAGACTTCTTGCAGATAAAATGAGGACTCAGGTTATGTCAAAGTCAAGGGGTGAGGGTCCATCACCCCCTTTTTCTATAGCCCCCCAAGTCCTTCCCTGAGGGCCCTTTCTCAACCATACCTGTCTTAGGTCATCCCTCCCTTGAGGAATCTTACTTGTCATTGGCTAAGCAGTCAGCTGTCCAGGGCCAAGCAGGGTGAAGGAAAAGGGGGCAGAGGCAGTGCCCCTGCCAGGGAGATAAGCTTTGTCCCCTTAGTGGCTTATGGTCCGAAGGTCTCTTTATTCAGCCTTAGCCATGGGGGGGGGTTACAGCTTCTAAAACCAGGCAGGGCGGTTCCCAACAGATCAGATTGCTGCAGATTTGTATACACTGCACCTTTAGGACAATATGGATAAAGCAGATAATCCATGTATTAGTTTGTAATGAGGATGATTTCTTTCTCTGTCTGAAATAATTATGATCATTATTCAGGGTACTTACCTTTACATATCCATTTCCTTGATAAACCAAGTTAGAATCAGAAGGTTTCTTGGAAAACACGGAGTGGAAGAAATATGGTGAAGGCGAGTTCCTGTAAACAGGGACCCAGGCTGGTAAATCCTGCCTCATCCCTCTGCCTGTGTCTTCTCTCAGTCCCGCCCATTCCTGAAGCTCTGCCCAATCACCACCGTGGCAGAACCTTCTGTGACTTCCCACCTCACTGCCAAGGGGGCCACTACGTGAGGGGGGCTAGTATATGGGGCTGAGTTCTCCAGCGATGGGTTCATTCTTGCTTGCAGTAGCCAGGTGTGCTGGGGTCAGCAGCAGCCTGCCCTGGAGCACAAGCGACCTTAATGTGACCCCCGAAGGCTCGCCACAGCTCCCTTCCCAGCAGTCTCTTTGACCCCAGGGACCCAGATCTGATCTGCTCTCTTTACTCAGGACAGAACTCTGGGTTTCTCCAGGCTCCCCTGCTTATGATTCCTCTTCCTAGCATACTCCAAGGCAAGATCAACAAGGGGTTTTACTGTCACGGTAATGGCTTGTTTTTTTTCCATCTGGTATGAAATTTTTATGCACTAAACCTCAGAATTTTTATTATGAGACAAAAATATATGGCAAGTCCTTTATCCTCTCAGAACCCATGCTCATCCTTTCTAGAAATAATTTGTGGCACATGTCTTAACAGGCACTTGATAGAATTGAGTTAGTTTCATTGTTTTGTGTTTTTTGTGGTTTTTTTTTTTGGTAAGAGTTTCAAATCAACTTTCCATCTGGTCTAATGCTTTTAAAAGATCCCTCCTCATACTCTTCCAGGATCAGCCTCACCGTGGAGTTCATTCAAACTTCCTGCTGCCACCTAGTGGCCCATGTACACATCACGTTTTCTCGGAGCAACTGCCATGGGGCTGTGGGGCTGTGGATGTGGGTAGGACGTAATCGGGCACAGGCGTAAACTCTCCCTGAGTGGTCTCAGCCAGGGGAGCCTTACATCCAAAGCTTACATCTTCTAGATGGAGTCAGATGCATCTTCATCCGGGGCCCTAGGGAACGGAGAGGGATGGGCCTCCAAACCTTTTGGAATCCCCAGAATTTCAGGCACGACTGTGGCACCGTGTGCCCTTGATGGCCAAAGAGAAGGCCATCAAGTTAAACTGAAACACCGAGAAACCACATACAATTAGGAATGGAGAACAGTTTCACTGGGACAGACCTTTGTGTGAGTGGGCTAAGCTCACTCATTGCAGGGGTGTTAAATTGGAGAGATCTCTATTGCCGTTGCTTTTACATTTTATTACTGTAAGACTTAGTCGGAGCCCTGCTAAGATGCGGATTCCCAGTCTGCTATTCCAGCTACAGACTGGAGCCCAGGAACTGGCGTGGTTTCATAAAGCAGCCCACCTACCTGCAGAAGACTCAGGGAATTCTCCACACTTTGGGAAACGCCCTTTGGGTGCCTTGAAGTGGCGAGTCATGTCTCTAGCTCCAGGGAATGAAGGGAAACTAATAAAACATTCTTTAGTAGTTGAGTCAGCTAGAGTTAAATTATACAGCCCCCAGGAAACAGAGAGCTGAGTACTTTTCTGGAGCGTCCTGGGCAAAACGTTGTCTTTGCCCTCAGCCACGCGGGTGATGCCAAGATTTGACCACGTCACGGACCGTTTTTGCTTCCCCTTGCCGTCTCTGGTGCACGCTGTTCAGGCTCTTGCGTCTCTCTGCTACAGGGATGTGCGCTATTTCTCTGCCGAGACAAATGGCCATGCAAAATGCCATTAGCCACATACAGGAGATAATAGAAAACGCAAGAACGTTATTTAAAACAGAGAAAATTTTGACAAATGTTGACTGGACCTTAGTAGAAGAAAAAACGACAATTAGATACAGCATTCCTGTGAGTTGCTGCCTGCCCCCACCCCCAAATAATCCTTCTTTCCTTCCTTGGGTCTGCCTCTCTTGCTTTACTTGTTTTTGTAAGTTTTTATTATAAAAAATTTGATTCTGCTAATTAAATGTCAGAAAACTTAGGGCGGTGGTGGTAAATATATTTTACTAGCTTTACTATCTCGGTGAAAAGACTTGTTTGAATTCTGTTTCTAAAGAGAAGGTCTTGGTGGTCTAACATATTTGTCAAAGATAGGGGAATTATTGTTTTTACACACTGGCTCAGTAACTGGGAGTGAACTCAGCAAACCGATGCTTCCTACTGATTCAGGAACTGGGCGACCTCTCCGCAGATAAGTCTTAGAAAAAGCAGAAAAAACCAGGCTGCTTCGGAGAGGCAGCCAAGCACAGTCAGTGTGGGGGGCGCATTTCACGCCGACGTCTCCCCAGATGGACAGTAGTGACTTTGCCCCATTCAGAGCATCATTTCTCATGTGGAGAAGGTTCTCTGTGTACGCATGACCCTTCATTTTAGAAGTTTTTGATTTTGGTATTGAATTCTTTGTCGAACGCCTCATAATTTTTACTTCTTTTTTAACTTTATCTTTGTATGCTTTTAAAACAGTCTGGTGCTTGTCAGCTTCTCTCTGTTTCCCATGGGGAGGAAGAGCAGGAGTCCCCGACAGACGAAGTGTTGATAGAAGAAGCCAGACTGCATGTAGCTATAATACAGATGGTTGGTACTGTTCACGGAATATGCTTTGACCTTTGTTCTTATCCTAGCAATGCTTTTAATTCTTACATATGGTTTGTCGGTGACTAGAGGAATGTTTCTTCACCTTTTGGTAGTCTTTTGGCCATTAAATTTGTGTTTGATTTGTGCAAGTTAAAGACTAAAAATTAAAAATCTCAGGCTTTAAAGTTTAAGTAACAGATCTTACTATTCTAAGTCTAGCAGAGTTTAGTAGTTCACTTTTCAGGGGCTTTTGAGTAATGCTTGGTGCCATTTACATATTTAGTAAAGTAAAAATCCTCAAATAGTTGAGACTGCTTTTATAAATTTGACGTATTTGAGTTCCTTTTATATAAAAGTCTCTCAAGTAATCATTATTGTGAATCCAATAAGTTAAAATAAAACTAGTGAATCAAAATTCTCTTAAGACATTTCGGATTTAATATTTCATGTTCTAACATAAATACAGGAAGATTACAAGGTAAAATTTAATTTAAGATTCAATTTAAAAAATCAAATTAAATCAATTTGTCACATTGCACATATTACATTTTGGTTATATTCTAGTAAAACATTATACTCAATAATACAAGTGTATAAAATACACACTCCTTCCAGTCTTTTTTTTTACTTTTATTTTAAGATGTTACTACGAAAAACTTCTAACATATACAAAAGTAGGTGTGGTGGTTTAGTGAATCCCTACGTACCTGTCTTTAAAAGCCACGCACACAGGACCGACCCCACTCCATCCACACCCTCACTCACCCCCACACTTTCCAAATTATTCTGACATCTTAGCATTTCATCTGCCAGTATTTTAGTATGTACTTGAATCTCTAATGTTTAAAATCTTTTAAAAACCGTTGTAAAACACTAATATATGGCACCTAAAAGTAAGAATTCCTCAGTAACATCAAATATCAAGTCAGTGATCAAATTTCCAATTGTCTCCTGAATGTGATCAATGTGCATTTTCACAGTTTACATTTTTAAAAATTGGATTTCAATGAAGTTCACACGTTGCAGTTCATAAGTACATCCTTCTCAGAGTTTGGAAGGCCCTTAGCCAGAGCCGTAAAGTACAGTCACTTCCTTCCCCCCATCAGATCTCGGCTGTTCTTGTCGCTTGTTTTAACCAATAAAATGTGGAGGAGGTGGTTTTCTGGAGCCTAGGCCTGGGGAGGATTCAAAGCTTGCACAGTGAGTCGCTCATGAATGATGAGCACAGCAGTGGGTACATGCATACAGCAAGAGAGTGTGCTCAGCGTGTGAGGAGGTTTAGTGAGTAAGGAACTAGTCCCAGGGGGTAACTTGAACCTCCGAGTTTAATATCCATGGCAACATCCAAAGGTGTGACTTTTCACCTGATATTTTTTCAGGGTGAGGGGTGACATGAGACTATAAAACAGTTATATCTATAAGGTACTGTATCTTAGTAAGATAAAGGGAAGGAATTAAAGGAAACCGTAGAAAAAATAAATAATAAATCGAGACAGCAAGAGAAGGCAAAAGGAACAAAGCAATGAAAAAAAAAAACAATGGCAATGATTCTCATAATTATCTATCAATAATTACCTTAAATGTAAGTGGACTAAATTCTCCAATCAAAAGACAGACTGGTTGAATGGATTAAAAAAAAAGAAGGTCCAGAACACACTGTTCTGCTTGCAGAAAGCTCCCTGAGCTTCAAGGACACACACAGGCTGAAAGTAGAGGACGGGAAAAAGATGATTCATGGGACAGCCACCAGAAGGGAGCAGGCGAGGTTACACTTCCGTCAGATAAGAGAGACTTTAAGTCAACACTGGCCATGGGAGACAAAGAAGGTCTCAATACAGGGAAGATGTCAGTCAAAGTGAAAACTTTCCGTCATAAAATAAGTTCCAGGGACCTAACGCACGGCACGGTGACTTCAGTTAACAATACTGTACGACACGCTTGGACGTTGCTAGGGCAGTGGATCCGAAATATTCTCACCGCGCATAAAAAAGTATAGGTGTGAGGTGATAAATGTGTTCTAACCTTACCGTGGGAACTGGTTTGTGATATATTTATGTATCAAGTTCATCGTGCTGTACGCCTAAAACTTTCACACTGTTGTATGTCAGTTATAGCTTGATAAGCCCGGAAAAAAGTCATAAGAAAAGGACAGTGTACTTTTATCTCTTGGTAGTTCTCAGGGAAGCTGAGATGAGGAGCTACCCTTTGAATCAATAATTCGAGTCATCTATTCTACGGTGGAAAGACGGAGTTGCGGATGCTATTTTATATCTCTAAAGTAAACTCTGAGCAGTGCAGAGTTTGAGTTTCCTGAAGCCAGGAACCTTTGTGTCTTTTAAAACATCTGTGGCCGTACTTTGCAAAAAAGGAATATTCAGTAAATATTGAAATGGAATAAAATGTATTTCTTGCTATATAGCAATGTTTTGATCAAAGACTATTTTCATGTAATGAGTTCACGAATAGTAGGATTAGTAATGTAGTAGTAATACTCTACAAGTCAAACAGAGCTTACTGCATTCATGTTTCGGTCCTCAGTAATTTTTATTTAAAATTGTATGTTTAGAGTAGTTTTGAAAAACAGTGTCAAGATGGAATCCTCGATAGAAAAGCAGCCCGGATATTAATCGGTGCAACCAAAAGCTATTGCCCCATCCAAGGGAAGTAAGTGTAGTATTTATTTAACTGGTATTTCCAAAATGAATGAGTATGTGATAAGGAACTGAGAGTTAAATGTCCAGACTGATCAATCTGTTTATCTCATCTGTCTTCATTTACTTTGTTGTCCATCCATCCATCCATCCATCCATCCATCCATCCATCCATCCTTTTATCCACATCCTATTTTAGTTGGTTGAATTTTTTAAAGAGTCATGAAAGAGAACCCAGATGGTTTCATTACTATTCTAATTACTTTGTCTCTATGTCCCATTCACAAAATCGCTGGGTAGGGGCGTAGGGAAGCCTGGAGCCCACTGTCAGACTGCTCCCCACGGTGGAGCAGGATCTGGAGGAAGTGACTCCGCTGAGGATGCTGACAGATACAATTAAACCTGGTGGGAAAGGCTCAGGATCTCAGAGATATATTGGCATCTGGTCACAGTCCGGGCAAGCATTAGCTAATGGATGGCCTGGGACAGCAACAATGGCGGATCCTGTCTGGGTGAGAGCTAATGGTTCAGCTGTCCGGTAATCCATTTGGGAGGCCTAGTCTGATGCTAACATTGTTCCTTGACCGTGACTATGAGTGCGGAGTGGATGGATTCAGAGGCTCAGCATGTTTAATGTGCCCATATTACATTTATATTTAGTATAGCTCTCCCTTTTCTATTAACCCCAGAGGCTAGCACTTGCTCTTCATTAAAACATGTGTGTGTATATTTTTTTCTGTTAGATTTATGAGTATTTATGATGTTTCAACTTATGTAAAAGCTAGAAGTTGGCTTATCAAGTTTAAAAACATTTTAACTCTCTTGGAATATCGTAAAGATAAGATACATTTTATTCCATATGGGTGAGTATTGTGATCCTTTAACAGCAACGTACTGGAAAATAATGACTTTTCTATATATTACCTTGATTTTTCTTGTTAAAAAAAGCAACTAATGTGATGGTCGACTGTTACCGATTGAGAGGTGTCTGAGCAGAGGGATTCCTTCTCGTTTGCCATTCTCTTCCAGCAGCTTCATGGACTTCTTTTTAATGATTATTTATTGAGTTTTAGGGAGGGAGAAGAAGAAGGGGGAGAGAGAGAAAGCTATCAAGAGAGATTTACTGTTACACTTATTTATTCATTGGTTGATTCTTGTATTTGCCCTGACTGGGGATCAAACCTGTGATGTTGTACCCAACTGAGCCCCCTGGCAGGGCTCAACGACTTCTCTATGAGAGAGTGGGCAGGAAAACACAGGGCACGGCCATCTCGGGACTCCTCCAGTTTTATTTGCCATGTGTTGGAGTCATAGTGCATCCTGAGCTCCTTATGTATTCTACTGCTATTCTCTGTGTACCATTGAGCTGGGCTGAGGAATCCGAAAGCAGGTGGCTGTAAGCTCTCTGCTCAGTTCCACGGGTGCCTTCTGGTGGTGCTGCTGGAGTCCGCACTTCGGAAAAACACACCGTGGCAGTACTCACATCTACCATCGACTTTCCCAGACAGCACAAGGGACAGATGTTACCTAATTTGGGTAGATTCTTTGCTTTGTTATGTAAGTTGTGAACCTGTGTACTTTTTAGAGCAGGAAGACCAGGCTTTTTTTGACTAACAGAATGTGTTGAAAGCAACCAGGGGCGTGGCATTCCTAAATTTTAAGTGGATGTTAACATACCTTTCATAACAAATTTTGATAAATTTTTACTTTCTTCCATTTATTAAGTTTAAAGAGAAATGAAAAAGTGAAAACCCTAGGGTCTTGACATATAAAGAGTTAACTTTTAGTTGGGCTTCACTTTAGATGGGTTGACAAAATTTAAAAATACATAGTGGTAATGATTGAATAGAATATTTTTCCATTTTTCATTTTAGACAATGCTAATGTTTTTCTCTAAACTTGTTATTTTCTTTCAATGTATGAATCTTTGCTTTTTTCCCTATGTACGCTTTGCCTTAGTTTTAAAAGATGCTCTCTGTCCCTGACGTCAATTAACAAAAATTTTTTTATTTCTCCATTATTTTTTGTATAGAAAGTATGTTTATATTTTTGCTTCTTTGTTGTTTTATATTACTTATACTTCCTTTAAATTACTATTAATGATTTGTTGATACAAGTGTTGAACTTCACATGTTGTTATACTTTGAAAGTGATCTGACATTTTATTCAATTTCTCTTTTTTCAGGAAAAATAAATTTCTGAAATTTATATACCACGTTGTATTTTCAGAAGAATTTGAATATGCAGGACATATCATGTCATTAATATACATTTATCCTATTATAACTCATCTATGGCCAGTGGCAAGAGAGTTAAATGTGTTAACACTGATATTTGTAAACTACTATTTTATATTTTTATATGCATTGCAGTCAGCATTGAAGGTACTGTTTAAAATGGAAACGTATCCTATAAAAACAGCAATTCAGTTATGGTGAACTGATTTTTGTCATGTTTTTGAAATAACTTGCTACTAGAAGCCACTTGCTGTAACTGTTGATAGAATCGTAGAATTTTAGTAATCTTTTTGAATTTTGTGGGTTTATTAAAAAAATAATCAGCATAATAACCACAGTCTCAGATAGCAGGCAAATAAAGCAACTCTCCCAAAAGTGGTGAGAATCTCAAAATCAAGTAAAAAGAACTGAAAATACAGACATGGATGTTTCCCTCAATTCCTCTCTGTAATGGTGCCAAAAATAAATAAGCGAATACAAACTGGTTCTCTAGGTTTGCCCCATAATGAGAACCACCTTTTCTTTCACAGATACGGTTGATCAGAATTACTGTTCTCGTACTTTAATTACTATCAATAGTTTCACAACGAACCTGTGGACTGCTCTTTTTCATGGCTTGTTTTTGTCATTTCAGACTCATAGATTATACATTTTGAATTAAATTATGATTTTTGATATTGGGAATTTAAAATATTTTATTTTGAAATTCCATGGGAATAACCGGAAACCCAACTTTTGGAATGTAACTCATTGGTAGTCGGAGGATGTGACTGTTAATTTCCAAGACACCCCCCCTGCACATACCTGTATAGGCACTATGAAATGACATCTGTTCTATTTGTTTTCTAAATAGATAATAATTTTGAAAAGGAAGTATTTTCATCAACATTGGAATACTCTGGAGTTTCTTATCTTGCTCATTGGAATTGTTGATATCGTTTGCGTATACTTCGTCAAATTCAAACCAGACAACCTAGTTCTTATTCAGATTACAGTAGTAATAGGCTACTTAAGAATACTTCGATTTATTCCTCTCATTAAGGTAAGTCTCCACATTTGATAATGCTGGGTCTTTTGTGCACACTCTTTGGTAAAGGTGTTGAGAAGCCAGCACTGTTTTGAATAAGTGAGGGAAGGCGCGGTCTCTCCACTGGCTCCCCCACCCGGCACCACCCTGGAACCTTCTCTCTGTGGGGATCTGCTGGGTTCATGTCTCACCTCCTGAAGGTCATTGCTCCCATCTCTGCCTCCTCCCGAGGAACCCCCAGGAAGAATGGCCCTGCCCTCTATTCCCCCCCCACCCCCCGCTTCCCGCCCCTCCTTCCTGACCCCGCTCCCCTGTGTCTCCCCGCTGCATTCTCCCCTTTCCCCTGCGCGTTCAGCGCACCGTCCTCGGGCAGCATCTTCGTTTCGGCCACGATGTCACCCTGCAGCTGTAGAATGAAGACTAACCTGCAGTAAAGCTCTGTCCAGTGGATGACAGAGCTTTCCAGAGAAGCGCATCTCTAGGGGAGAGCTTGAAAAGATATTGGAGACTTGAAAGAGTTGGGTCCTCTCAGGAACAGCTCGGGGGTGTCAGGGCGTTGTGGAACACAAATTGTAAAACTCCTCTTTAAGGTCTCCCCTTCTGTCCAAAGTTTCACGACCCAAACAGCAGCTGAAAACACCTCTCCCTTCTGGGCCCTGTGAGTCCTGCGCTGGGGCGTTCTTCCTCTGTCCCCGCCTCCCTCCTCAGTGACATGGCTCCCCAGCGCCTGCCCCGCACTCCCCGGGACTCTGTCTCTGGGGCTGAGTGCCCTGCTCCAGTCTGCGGGATGGGTATGTTACCCTGGTTGTACAGAGGAAAACGCTGAGTCCCCAAGTCACCGCATAGCTGGGCACAAGGTCACAGAGATAGTGTTTGAATCCAGGAAAGTTCATATTTAAAAATCCCAGTCTCCTCGGTCACTACCTTCTCCTGCCTCCACTTAGGAGTCAAGAAACTTAGAGCTAAGAAGTATCTTCGGTACCCCAAGCTCCCTATCTTATAAGAGAAGAAACTGGGCTGCAGATACGATTTCTTCGATTAGTCACTGTCACCCAGGCTAGGGGACCTCTTCTCCCGTCTCCTGAAATCTAGGGGTATGGAAAATGGGGGGAAAGTCCCCATCACAGCTCCAGAAGCAAGTCATTCGCTGAGCCTCTGTTTCTTTAGAGAGCGGCTCTCAAATTTGAGAGCTCAGAGTCACCTGAAGGGCTGGTTAACCACGCCCAGTCCCCGGCCCCACCCCCTGGAATTCCTGGTCCAGCAGGTAAGGAGCAGGGCGCCAGGACCTGCATTTCCCACGCGCCTCCGGGTGGCGCTGTTGTCGGTCTGGAGACCACACGTGGAGAGCACCACCTTAGTCGGCGCTTTCCCCTCCTTTCCTGCAGACAATCATACCACTGCTGATACGCGTGGCGGACGTGCAGATCAAAAAGCGCCTCAGCTTGCTGTATAGTATCACCAAAGGCTATGTCAAAAGTCAAGAGGATGCCAAGTTTCTAATAAAACAAATTTCTGGCCGAGGATCAATATATCAGGTAAGAGGCAAGCAGCGGTCCTTTGGCAAAACAAAACAAAACAAAACAAAACAAAAAGCCAGCAAAACCAACTACTTAGGTGTTTTCATTCCACAGAGTCGCTCCATGTATTTGGCTCGACCGGTGAGTTATAACAAGTGAGGGGGGATTCAGTTGTTGATTGTAAGAGGTGCTGCCAAAACCGGTCTCGGCTCTTTTTAAGTTTCAGCTCTTTATTATCAGACTTTATTATGATCTTCATGGAAGGAAGCCCACTATTTATTTGCATTTTCTGAGTGCAGAGCAGAGAAGACATTGCGTCTGTCTCGGCAGCCCTCTCTGAAGGTAGTGAGGGTTCTTCGAAAACACTTCAGGCAGGAGCTGAGACTGGAATAAGCCCTCTCCCCCCGAGGAAGGGCAGGTCTGGAGTGGCAGGAGGCAGAGGAAAGGAGAACTCAGCCCCCACGGTGGAAACTTGTGGTGCCAGCACTGAGACCAGGAGGGCCGTGTGAGCGGGGAAGGCAGCAGGATCGTGCGGCTGGCAGAGCTGAGCCACAGGTCCCTCCCCTGAGTCGCAAACTAGATGAGATTTCTGCGACTATACCTTTCCCTCAGAAAATGCGCTTGCTATAACAAATTAATGTTTTTCCTAACTTCTTACAGAAATTATATGAAATTTTGGAGATCAACAAGCGAGATGCTGTCAGAGAACTAGGTAGGTCGCTGGAGAATCTGATTTCCCCAAGTCACACCTTACATGTGTGTTACCTGCCACTGAGTCCCCAGCCACTGACTCCTGGGGACCCTATGTTGAGTGACATCCACAATGTCCTGTCCGCAGCAACCATGGACTCCCAGACACTCCTCCCTGTGGCTTCTTCTATGGAGACGTTCCATCTCATATTTGGTCTCCTCTTTTCCTGCTGCCTTCTCTTTTCTTCCAGCATAATTCTTTTCCAGAGAATTCCCGCTACTCATGACAAGCCCAAGGTAGGGCAGCTTCCGTTTTGGCCTGATTGCCTCCAGCGGAGCTGCAGGCTTCATTTGCTCTGGGGCCCACCGTCCCCTCACTGAACCAAAGAAAGGCCGGTTCGTACTTTCATTCAGTTACACGGTCATCCGTGCACTCATCCAAGCAGCACTTACTGAACGTGTGTAATGGGCCCGGCATGCAAAGAGTGCAGGGCCTAGAGGAGGGTGTGAGCATAACTGTAGGTAACTGCAGAAAGTTCGAGGAGCCCTAACATCTGCTACAGGAGCGCAGAGGGAAGAGTGAGGGGAGCAGGAGATGGATTCAGGCGACAGGATCAGATTCCTTAAGGTTGTAAGAAAAAGACCTGCGGAAATTGCCTTCATGTAACAAAGGGTGGTTTGATTCGGTTGTATTTTGTTGGCAAGGATGCTCAGGAGTGTGAACCTGCGAGGGGCGTCATTTCCTGAGCACCCACAGTCGCCCTGTTTGGGTTGAAGCACACAGCCGGCGTCCTAGGATCTTACACAAAGCGTCTTGGGTCTGCTTTCCTCGTAAGGGGGCTGTGGACCGGGCTTCTAGTGTCTGGCAGAAAGTCTGGACTAGAGTCGGCCCTTAGTAGATGGAAATTGTTATACAAGAAATAAAGTAAAGCCACTTTGCACTTATAACCACACTGTAGGATGCCATGTGGATGAATGAGGATCATACTTTCCAAACCAAAATAGAAATAGCATTGTCTAATGAATGGAGTTTCAACTCTGGAGACTCTAAGTCAGAATATTTGAGCCCTGTCTCAGAAAATCCAGGGCCCATTGCTGCCTTTATACATAGACAGGTTGTTATTGCTGTGCTTTTAAAGATCAGGGGCCTGGGAGCTGCTGTCTGACATTGTGTTTTAGATTAGTGTGAAATATTACGGAGTTTCCTTGATCCAGTCCTGTGTGAGGGGATGTCTCTTCCCACACAGTTACTGCAGCAGGTTATTGAATGCTGCTCATGCCAGGAATGTGCTAGCAGCTTTATTTATGGACATTACTGCACTGACTGCTCATAACTACTCTACGAGGCAGATACTATTGCCATCTTCATTTATGGATGATGAAACTGAGGCTTAGGGAGGTCAAACGGCCTGAGGTCACACGGCTGGTAAGTGGCGAGCTAGACAGACCTCAGGCCTAGGTGCGCCCAACACCAGAACCTGCTCATGACCCTCCTACCCTTCATTTTGCTGCTCACTGCAGTTGAAAGGATGACTCGAGCACCTTCCAGGAGCCAGGCATTGTGCTGGGTGTTCAGATTACAAGGAGGGAACAGTTACGCTGTTAGCCTCGACTGCAGCCCTGACCATGACTTCTCATGGAGGGATTGGGTCTCCGACAGGCCCACCAGCCAAAGTCCAGGGATCTTTAGATCCAGTCATTTATTCATCTGCCCACCAAAAGTTACATAATTTCTCTAAGGCTGTAATTTATATAAAGTTATACGTGGAGAGTGAGACAAGTATAAGTGGCGATACTGCAGCAGAACGGGTTTCATAATGTAGCTACTATATTTTGCCGTGTATGATGAACAACCATGTTTTTGTGCTCATTGTACACAGGATTATTATACCCATGGTATGCGATCATCATACCCATGTAGAATGCACATCCTCATTTTTCCCTCAAAATTTTGGGCAGAAAACTGTGCATTATACACAGCAAAACATGGTAGGTCACAGTGCCACCGGCGCTGGGCAGAGAGCGGAGTTCTCCTCGCTCGTGGGCAGAGCCTGTTTCCAGTTCTCTCCTCCACAGAGCAGAGAGGAAACTAGCTCTGGTCCCACCGGCCTCCCACGTTCTGCATGAAACAGGAACGAAAGGATGTTGCACCAGTCCTTTGGAAATTGCAGCCTGTTGTACAAGTGTTGGTTACTGTTGCGGCCATTTCACTGTGGGCTTACTGGGGGTGTCATTTGCTCCAGGCCTCATAGAGCATGAGGGACGTGACGTCGTCATTGCTCTGAAGACCAGGCAGACCATCCAGACGGTGATCGCCAAGTCTCTGAAGCACCTCTCCTTCCTTTGGTCAAGGGGCATCATCGATAAGCATGAAGGCATCGAGGTGAATAAGGTAGTAACTCGATGTTTTATGTTGCTCGGTTCCCTTGACCAGGCACCCCGCCTGCACTGCTTCCCTAGTGACCTCATGTCCACCTCTTGTTTGCCTACAGCCTTTGCCACTGCCAGGGCCACCAGCCCAGGTGCTGCCTGGTGCACCTCGGGTCAGAACGACTTGGCTGCAACTGAGACACTGACCTGAGCTGAGTTTAGCACAGAAGTGGGTTCGGGAGACTTAGTGTAAAAACACAGAGAGCCTTGCAGAGCCTGCAGGAGGCAGGCCAGGTGGCCAGGCCCTGGGAAGGGACTTGAGTGAGGACCCAGCCGCCTGGCCTCACTCTGCACACGCTAGATTTCTCTGCTTCTCTCTTCTCTGGTGGGCTACGGACTGCCCAGTTCCCTTAGCTGTGGCCAGGGGGCTGGGAGTCACACAATGTTAGCTTGGTGGGGAGGGACCCGCCTGCTATCCTGGTGGGGTTGAGGAGGGGGCTGTTCTAAGAGGAGCGGAGCAGGGGAGACAACCTAGTCAGTCAGCTGATAAATTGACTTTTGGAAAATTATAAATGCATCTGTGCAAAAATCAGGAGCCTATGCCAGAGGGAAAAATGTTGAATTCTAGCACTCCACACACTCACCATCTGGACTGTGTGTGTGTGTGTGTGTGTGTGTGTGTGTGCAGGTAAGACTGTTCTTTCTCTCTGACACAAGGGGCTGTCTGCTTCCGAGCTCGAAGCAGAAAAGTGGAGGTTCTGGTCCTGCGTCCTTTCTGTGTTGCCCACTGATGAGCTGCTTGTGGGTGTCACAGGCTTTTCCTTGCCATGGATAGCTCCCAGCCATAGCCACCGAGCCCTGGGCTTCTGGACAGTCCCTGGACAGAGTGCCCCTTTGTGGCCCCAGCAGGGAAGTGGGGGTGGGGCAGGCCAATTCTCTCCTTGGTGGCTCTGTCTCTTGGGTGTCTTCAGCGTCATGGCAAAGGACCGAATGGGTGATGCGATTTCCCCTTCGTGTCTGTGAGAGGGAAGGGCCACTTCAGAGTGTCCTTCAAGTTACACCTCTACACACATTGTGTTTGGTATTGTTTGCATTTATCCCTTTGAAGGCTTTGAAGGCTTAATACTCACAAATAAATAATAACCCTTATGAGGAGAGAGACTTATTTTTTCCTATTGGTTTGTTTAGAAAGCTTATGGGTAAACAATCATTCCATAGCTAGTGATTACATGCCTACTGGTTGTCAAATTGTCAGCCAAAGAGATATAATTATTGATCCCAGGGCATAAGGTGGCTGGTAAGTCTATTTGATTTAATTAAGTAAATATGTAATGGATACTTCCAATGGAGCTCAGGATAATTAGTGAATACAATCCTGACCCCAAAGTTCACGGGCTCTCCCCAAGTCTTTCACTTTGCCATTTGTTCATCCAATCAATGAAAGTTACATAGCGCACAGCGTGAAACAGTTCCGTAAAAATAAGACCACTGCAATGCAATGAGTTCCGCAAGGGAGGCCTGTAGGAGGTGCCGTGGGAATAAGACAGATAAGTGGTTATCTCTTACCTGGTGAGGGGAGCCAGAGAAGGCTTCTCAGAGTCCACAAAACTGGAATAGTATCCTCCAGAATTAGAAGGCTTTAAAGAAGCAAACCCTACACATAAAAAAGTTGAGAGCATTAAACATGGCGTTAAATCACATAGTAACCAACTATGAAGTTTAGATAATTTGAAAGTAAGACAGGAGAGAATATATATGTCTGTGTGTGTTAACTGGAGTGTAAAGAGGGTAAGTTGAACTTGGGATAATAAGTCAGTGAAGATAGTAATAAGGGGAGAACATGGACCAAAAAAGTTGGAGGACAATTTAAATGGGGTGAAGGAAACTCTGAGTCAAAAATCAAGGTTAAGCCCTGGCTGGTGTAACTCAGTGGATTGACTGCAGGCCTGCGAACCAAACCACCGCAGTTCGATTCCCAGTCAGGGCACATGCCTGGGTTGCAGGCCAGTTCCCAGCAGGGGATGCATGAGAGGCAACCATACATTGATATGGAAAGAAAAATCAAGGTTAAGTTTGCGTAACAGTTGTTTATTTAGATTTCCTTAGTTTTAACCTAATATTCCTTTTTCTATTATAGGATCTGCTTACCATTATTTCGATCATTCGTTTTTAGGTACTTCTTTCCAAAATAAAGGCACTGAACAACTTTCCCATGGCAATCCCGCCTCCTACGCCTGACGATTATCTCCATAAGATCGTTTGGCTGGAAAATAAAGAGGTCCTCATTAAGTTCTTCAAGGTAAACAGTCCGTCTTCTATTCTGTCTCAGGTTTGATGATCGTTATTTTTCATGTTTTCTACTCCTTAATGCCAAATGAACAACCACCACCAAAGAAAACTAAAGCAAGGATCCCATAATGGCCAATAAAGGGCCAGTCACAATGGAGGCCCAGCAAAAACATTTCATTTTGATCCTAAAAGGCAGATTCTTTTTTTTTTTTTACAATGGATTGTCTGTTTAGGATGAGCTACCTCTGTTACCTGATTTTGTTACTAATCCCATTTTATTTTATGTCGTAGAATTCTGGACTCCCAGACGCGCTCCCTGAAAAAGACTTTTTAGAGCAAATTTAAATGACTATACAGGCCAGGAAGATAATATCAAAGTAAAACCGCTGGGTGTAGTGTAATGGGGGACAGTGAATACTGTCATATATTCAAGAGGTCATGCGTGGTCTAAAGGCAGCTGGGTGTGGCTGTTGGAATTTGGGCTCTTTTAACAAATATGTATTGAATATCTTCTATGTGCCAGAGACCATTTGGGGTTTGGGGGTATGGCCGTGGATAAAATAAATGAAGTCCCTGCTGTCATGGGCTTCATATTATATGGCTGGAGGTGGTGGTTTATACCAACACGTAAATAAATGCTGTGTAGAAAAGGAATATGGTCGGGCAGCTATTTTATATGACGTGGTCAGGGAAGGCTGATCTAGAAGATGACATCTGCCAAGAAATCTGAAAGACGGGAAGGACCAAGTCATGTGGAAGGGAGAGGAGCATTCCAGGCAGATGCAGCGCCTCGGGTGGAGTGCACTTGGAGGTCTCCAGGACTCCACCGAGGCCCTGCTGGGCTGGTGGGGGCAGGGATGGAGGGAGGAGGTGAAGTGGGAGCTTCTGGAGAGAGCCCAAGGTTGTAGAACTTTGTAGGCCATTGTAAGGACTTGGGCATTTTGTCTGAATTAAATGGAAACCCCCTGGAAGGTTTGGAACTGAGAGGTGACATGATCTAACACGTTTGAGTAGGACCACTGATTGTTGTGTTGAGAAAAGGCTGCAGGGGGGTCAATGGCAAGCCAGGGATACTAGGAAGAGGCAATTACAGTGAGGGAGGCAAGAGATACTGGCGATTTGGACTTGCAGAAGTGGTGAGAAGCCATCAGACTCTTGATGTTTTCAAGAGAGAGCTGATAGATGCTGGTGGAATGAGTGCAGCAAGGAAGAGAGCATAATGTCTAGAATCTTCAGTCTGCATAGAATGGAGCTACCATTTACTTAGATGGGGAAGAGAAGATTTATATGATGGTGGTGGGCCAAGAGTTTGATTCCAAGTACATTACATTGGGGAAAAACTATTAGAGATCCAGGTGTGGAGTAGGCAGTTGAATGGATGACTTGATCCCAGGTGGGAGGCCAAATTGGAGACAGATAGTTTGGAGTTGTCAGCCTGGAGAGCCATATTTAAAGTCTTGAGACTTGAGATAACTTAGGGAATTATTATGGACATGCAAATATTGAGTCCTGGGCTACCCCACATTTAGGAGTGCGGAGATAAGGATGGAAAGAATGAAAGCTAGAAAAAGAGATCAGATTTGTGGTTACCAAAAGTGGAAGGCAAAGGAGGCTGGGAGAATTGGGGGAAGGTGGGCAAAAGGTACAAGCTTCCAAGTGAGATGATTAGTAAGTGGTGGGGGACACTGTACAGCATGACAACTACAGTTAACCCTGATGCACGGGATATTCGAATGTTGCTGAGAGTAGATCCGAAAAGTTCTCATCACCTGTTCAAATCTCTGTTAGATTTTTGGAACCAAGAAAATTCTGTGACAAAGAACGGCACATGTTTCACCACAAATGTGATTGTACTGTGTCTTGTGGTCCAGGCATGTAGATACACGGGAGGCATCTGTTTGACCATAATAAGGACACTTTCCCTGGTTTCCAGAAAGACAGCAATCATTGTGGGGCTCTCCGGAGCCGGGGCTGTCTGATTCCTTGTAGGCCATTGCTAGTGTTTTCCCTTCGTGCCAGATGTGTGTGAAATTCTCTCTGGAAATCAGTAGTAGTGAGTGCTAACTGTTTTACTATTAAAAAACATTTTCCTCTGCCTAAAAGTTCTTACATTCCTTCTGGTTTGTAAAAGAAACTCAAATATTGTTGTGAGTCCCTAAAATGAGTGTGAACCCTGGGCACTGTGCCTACTGGGGCTCAATGGAAAACTGAACCCTGGTGTCTGCCACTCCCTGCCTGGGACACACTGAGTCCCTGACACACACTGAGTCCCTGCCTGGGACACACTGAGTCCCTGGGATGCACTAAGTCCCTGGGACACACTGAGTCCCTGACACACACTGAGTCCCTGCCTGGGACACACTGAGTCCCTGGGACACACCGAGTCCCTGACACACACTGAGTCCCTGGGACACACTGAGTCCCTGACACACACTGAGTCTCTGCTCACCTTGAACAGGTGTTCTGTTTGCTCCTGGGCCTTTGTATACACCGAGCCCTCTGCCCAGAATGGTCCTCGGTTCATCGAATCGTGCCTGTCTCTAACTCTTCCCTTCCAGGAGGCCTCAGTTTAGCTGTTCCTTCCCCTGTAGAGTCTTCTCCGGACACCCAAGACACAGTCCTGTGGCCTTTCTGGATTTTTCCAGAACGTCCTGTCTCCGTCTCTTTTACCAGAATCGTCACACTTTATTGTAAACATCTGACCAGCCTAGCATTTATTGGGTTTTTTTATCAGTCATTGTGCTGGGTGCTAATCACAAGTTTTATAGGTTTTTTGTTTTTTAAGATTTTATTTATTTTCGGAGAGAGGGGAAGGGAGAAAGAAAGAGGAGGAGGGAAACATTGATGTGAGAGAGAATCATCAATAAGTTTGCTCTCACATGCACCCCGACCTGGGGCCAACCCTGCAACCCAGACACGTGTCCTGACCAAGAATCGAACCAGCCACCTTCTGTCCTGTGGCACCGTGCCCAACCAACTGAGCTACGCTGGTCAGGGCCGCACAATCTATAGTTTACTTGCTTGTCCCTAAATGTTAATGAGGCATGTCGGTATGTTATTACACTTCATTAACAAACCAAAGAATCCATCTTTTTTTCATGCTACTTTAAAAGCCATTTTTGCTTTAAAATCTTATTTCTCCTTAGAAAAGTAGACTATGAACCTTTTGTGTTGATTTTTTCTTTTACCCTTTTTCTTTCTTTCTCTCTTTCAGGAAAGAACCAAACTCGCCTATTTTGACTACGGAGATGTCATTTGTAAAGAAGGTGAAATGCCACAAGGAATCTACTTAATCATTTCAGGAATGGCGATCGTAAGGAAGTATCTTATTCTTTACTTAAAATGCATTTGAACTATGTAATTATAAGGAGAAATTTAGGAACCCAGAAAGTTTCAAAATTTTAACACGGTCTCTTCTGTGAGTAAAACCATTTCGGAGTGAACACTGCGGCTGAGAGAGGGCACTGGACCCGGAATCTGGGAGGTGCTCCCCATTGAACGATATGCTTGTATAGTCATTACTCCCCGCCCAACAGTGCTGGGAGGAAGCAGACTTTTCCATTGCTTTGACTACAGAGCCCTGTACTCGGTGTGGCTGAGTCCCTCACCTAAGGAAAAGCAGTCAGCACCACCGTGGCCCATCCTCTCAGAGGTCAAAATAGGATGAGGATGGAAAATATGACTTTTTGTCTGACTGATGGGAAGCCTTTGGGTGACCAGAGAAAGACGGCAGTAGAGTGACAGGGGCGAGAATCCCTGAGAATCCGGATGCTAGTAGCCGAATGCCTAGGAGTGCCCCAGCTCCCGACCCAAGTGATTCCCAGATCAGAGGAGGTTCCAAGTGACAAACCCTTATCGTAAAGCTAATAATGTATTTGGCTTTCCGTTTTTTGGAGTGGCTATTTCAGACCTTAAAACCACCCAAACTGATTAGGGAAACAAGCTGTTACGATAGGCCTATTATAACGCAGACACGTGTACTTTGTAAGTTTCTGGCCCTGTCGTTGAGCAGATGTCCGCTTCCTTACGACCACGCAGCATGCGCCGCGCAGTCTCGGCACAGAGTTGGCAAAACAGATGAACGTCCCTGCCTTCTCAGAGTTTCCTCTCTAGCAGAGGCCCAGAAGGACATGGGACACTGAACAACATAAGTGAGTTAAGCAGATAGGACGTGAGAGGGATGGAGAGATGAGGAGGTTGGCGGTAAATTTGAACAGCGCCGTCAGGAATGGCAACATGTCATGACATTTAATCCTTACGACACCCTCATCTGTCAAGGCCACGGATGTGCAGAGAGTAATTCACATGTCCCTCCAGGGCACAGAGTGAGGGTCCAGGAGGGCTTCAAGTCCAGGGGTCTGTCCCCCATCTCTGTCTCTGTGTCCTCAGCCATCATGCGGTGCTGCTCCCGTCAGAATCCACATGCTGAGCCTCTGTGCTGAGTTCCCACTGGAATCCGTGACAAAGATATCCTGCCACTAGCGCTTATTAAATATGTCAAATCAAACTCTCAAAAGCTGCCACGCACGTGTTCCTTTGGGGAATTTCCCTGCCGTGATGAGACTAACTGGGGCTTCTTAAAATATAAGTCCAGTGAGATTTTGGCTGAATCTTGATGCTGTAGGAGTGTTCTGTACGTGCCAAAACAGACCACCGAATTTAGCAGCTTAGTTTATGATCTCACTGCCCCGCAGGTCAGCAGTCCTGTGGGCTTCGCTGCGTTTTCTAAGATGCTTCCGTGGAGTCTCAGGAGGCCAGCGTCAAAGGGTCCGCACGGCAGTGTTCCCTGCTGGAAACAGGGTGCCAACTCCATTTCCAGCTTCACCGAGGCTGCTGGTAGAATCCAGTTCCTTCCAGCCGTGGGACAGACGTCCCTGCATCTTTGTGGCTGTCCGCTGGGAGCCAGCTGCCGTGGCTCCTAGAGCTCTTCTTTGGTCCTTACACGTGGGCACGCAGGCACACCTCAGATCCCCCCTCTCTCTGAGGAGCTCCTCTTCCTGCTCTACTGTGGAAGGCTCTTGTGATTTCCATGGGCTCACCAGGATAATCCAGAATCCTCTCTTTAAGACCAGGTGACTAGGGACCTGAGTGCCACCTGCCACATCCCTTTACGGCAGTACCTAGACTTAGGAGTAACAGAACAAATGGTGGCCGTGGAGGGGCTTCTTTCAAAGGCTGCCCACCTCTGCTCAGCGGGCCTTTGAGTGAAGGGCATTAGAGATGAAATGCGAGAAGTCCAGGTCCTCCGGAAGCACAAATGCCCGGAAAAGCCTGAGTGGGAATCCCTAGGAGAGGGCGTGATTTTCACAGCGACTTCTTCAGGGGCCCACATTTCCCGATTTCCTGTCTGGAACAATAGTCATCCTCTTTGAGGTTTGCAACTAAACTTTCTGGAAAATTCTGTCATCTTTCCGGTTGATTCCTGCAGCTTCCTCCTGAAGTCTGATACCTCCCCCCCCCCCCCGCCCATGTCTACCCGTCCTTTTCCCGAGGGAACTCAACCCTCTGTGTTCACCCTAAACCCTTTTTCTTTTGTCAGCTCCTGGCAACTATTCTTAAGCATCTTAAAGGGGAATGAGGCTTTTACTGAGGTCATGGCTCGGCTGGGAGGTTTATTAATTCATGATGTCTGATTTATGCATTCATGCAATCAAAAGATTTCATTTCTTTCCATCTGAGCCACGAGCCCATCATGATAAGAACCTCTGATAGAGTCAGAGAGGGAGTTACATTAATTGTGAATGGCAACCACTGCTTTTGGCGGGCGTTTACGTAAGGAAGGCTATCAGCAGAAAGCTGTAAAGCTAAGGACTGGAAGCCATCCGTGCCTCAGAGAGTCACAATGTGAGAGGAATGGTGATTTTTGCGAGGCCTGATTCCCACTGGGCAGGATTCACAAAGCATCTTTTCCTCCCATTGGAAGCATTGCCAGCTCAAGTCGGGGCCTCAGAGGTCAGGTCCGGTGCCTCCCTTTGGATTTTCCTCTGCAGCTGCACAGTTCGCCGCCCACCTTCGGGATCAGCCAAGCCCTACGCTCAGGCAGAGAGTCCCAAACCTTGTTCACTGAGTTCTTCACGTGTGGGGACATCATCGGGGAGCTGAGCTGCCTGCTGAAACGTGAAATCGAGTACACCGCCATCTGCGAGACGATTCTGCAGGTGAGGCCCCAGTTCTGTGTTCACGAGTTAACTCTTCGCAAGGACATGAGGATGGCGGTGTGTTTTCCTCCCCGAGGTTCTGGTGTATTATTTAGCTGCCAAGCAGCCACGGCAGAGGCAGAGCCAGCGTCTGACGTCCTGGCCCCAGTGTTGGAGCGAGGTGTTCTTAGGCCCTTTGAGTCTTTGTGTCCTTGCTCATCAAAGGGGAGTTTATCTGACATCTGAGGTTATGAGGATGGGGGAAAACACCTGTGCGAAGCCCCTGGCAAGCAGAGGCGCTCAGCAAATGGCCTGCATGACGAAAGCAGTGTGTTTAAAGGGCGCCTGTTTTCATTTCAAACTCCCTTTCTTCCATTTGTCACTTGCTGGGTAGGATGTCATCTATTCAACGACTCAGCAACCTGACACCCCACTAGCTGTGGGGGCATTCAAACGAAGCAAGCCCGATTCTCAAGCCTTTGGGACTCACAGATGGGACGGGCGGGGCCGGAGTCTTAGGGGTGCGTGGCTCAGGGGGAGTGTGGCCCTCCCCATTTTGCATGGCCTCGTTTCTGGAAGAGGATAGGAGGCATGAGTCTGGTCACGGGGCTGGGCTGAATTCACCGAGGAACGTGGAGGGTGACTTCTGAAAGCCTAGTCTTCCTGACTCTGGTCAGCAGTTCGCCTCTGGAAACAAAGAGTAGCCATGAGCCCCCTTTCCCTGCTGTGGTGGTGGAAGTACATAGATGACGGCCTTAGTTAGTCCCGGAATCCTGGGCTCGTGACCTCTGTCCGCATCATAGCCATTGACGAGTGTGGGTTTCCCTGGCCTGTCTGTAGGTCTGTGGCTTTCATTGGACTGCAGATTGTGTTACCTTGAGCATAACAGCCTCTCCAACGATGCAGTGCTTTCGAACGGCGGGGTGTCATCATTACAGGGGAGGCGATGCTTTTCTAAGAGGCGTGGTGAAGGGTAAACCTGCAGGCCTCTCGTTTTTCTGCCGGTCTTGCACCTGGGCTCCGAATCGAGCTCGCTGCCCGGCGCCTTGTGATTCCAGGCCTGCTTCATCTCCCTGGAGGATTTATACGAAGGCTTCGATGTCTTCTGGCCATTCCTGGAGTACAAGATATGGCTGAAGCTTGCTCTCAGCACCGCCCACCAGTATTTTGAATCGGCTCTCGTCGACGAGGTCAGTGCCGTGATTACCCTGCATTACTGACCTTTCATTCACTGTTGTTTCTTTTTACAAAATGCACTTCATATTTTTGGGACAAAGACAGAGAGGAAGGTTGTGCCTGCTCTTCTGAACTCAGATTCCAGAATTTACTCTCTCGTTTGATTCTTTATTCTAATCGAAGTAACCCGAGTCCCCGTGCTGCTTTGCTGGGGCCTCCCTGACGAAGTACTACCTACGCACTGATCTGCTCCCACAACAGAGGTTTGCTGTCTCAGTAGTTCCTGGGGCCGGGAACCCGAAACCCAGGGCTTGGCAGGGTTGCCTCCTCCTGAGGGCTGTGGGGAGGGTCGGCCGGGGCCTGCCTCCTTGGCCTGTGGGCATGTCTTCATCTTCCCACGGAGTTGGGAAGATGTTGGATTAGGGGGCCGCCCCCGTTCAGCGGGACCTCATCTTAACTTCAGCAGTTACGTCTGCAACAACGCCATTTTCAAACAAGGCCATGTTCGGAGGTCCTGGGGGTTAGGACTTCAACAGAGCAGTGGCGGGGGGGCCCAGTTCACCCCGTCACAGCTCCCTTCCAGCTCTGAAGACTTCTGTTCGGGAACTCGAAGGGCGCCTCAGACTCATGGCCTTGCTGCGTGTGTTTTGGCTTTTCATCCTGTTTGTCCTCTTGCTCATGGGGGGCTGGGGGCATGATCGATTGCTCGCTGAGGGGCAAAACCTGTGTGTCTTTGACTCTGGTTCTTGTGCGAAGAGAAATCTGGGGGGCCCAGCTAGCTGACTGGCCTGCTGTGGCCAAGTGGGGCTCACTCAGGCCCCCACGCCGGCCTAGGTCACCCATGACGGCCCAGTTCTGGGTTCACGATCTCAGTGGAACTCTCAGTAAACTCTCTGTCTTGGTCCACGGGCTCCTGCGCCTTCTGACACCTTCAAAGAACTAGGTCAAATCGCAAGTTTCCTTGCTTCTGGGCACCATGTAGCACTGGGTATGATTTATAGGAAAAATGTCATTTCGTCGTAGGACCTAACGTTTCAAAGGTGCGTGTCGCTCAACGTGGCGTACGTGGAGACAGTATCCAGCTGTAACGAAATGACTATCAACTACACCACCATGAAGATGGTGATTGTCGTGTACGGCAGCGTCATCGACACAAACACTGAGGCACCGTATCTGGCACCTTGCATTTTACCTAAAACCTGTAAGCAGGTGAGGAGGGTCCTTTCTACAGAGTCATTTGCGTTCCACGGGGAAGACCCACAGTGACTCTAAAACTCAACCCACCACCTTAAAACCCTGCAGTTCTCACCTGCCCTTCCTTCACACGAGGGTTGAAAGGCGCCCAGGGCTTCTGTGGGCAGGGGGTGCTGACAAGTGGGGGCTGGAATGGCCTCTCTCTGCTTGCCACTCCATGTGCCCTGGCGTGGGGCTGTGCCTCCCCAGAGGAAGGATGCCTGGGGTGTGTTTCTCCTAGTTCCCACCAAGGCAATGACACTGTGGGTCTGCAGGGTTCTGGGCATATCTGTGCCGATTGATTGATAAGGGAGCAGAGTCGAGGCCAGATCAGTTTGTTGCCACACCAGGGGCCGTGGGCACAACTGGGCAACAGGCCCTGGGCCTCAATCCACGTCTCTGTAACAAAGGGGAGAGTAGACACCGAGCAGGTGATGGGGCATGGGACGAGCAGAAGTCGGGTCCCTAGTAGGTCCCCCGCTGATGGATCACGGGGGACCAGGAGGCCTGAGAAGAACTGATGAGCTCTAATCTGGTACCGAGGTCCCCACCCCGCCCCTTTGGGGAGACACCTTCTGCCTGGTCTGGCTGGGAAGGCCATCCATTTAATGAGAGTCAGTGACCTGGAAACAGTGGCAAACCTCCTAAAAAGTGCGTTTGCCTCTTTTTTTTTTTGACATCTTTATTTTGTACCTCTCAACAATTCAGAGGATGAAGGCAAGGTGGGTTTCTTTAGCTTTGAAAGACGGGGAGTGAGGGAGGGGACCACAGGAGCGTGCCCACGGCAGAGTTTGTGGAGGCACCAGGGTTTGGAGGCAGGCATCCTTGGATTGAGGGCCTGACCCCTGTGCCCACAGGGTGCATGAGCACCGGCCAGCTGCCTCCGGACGCTCAGGGGCCGCATTAATAAGATGAAGACGGTAGCAGTAGTGACTCATAAGGTTGTCGGGAGGGTTAAATCAGGTAGCACGCGATATCCAGAAATGACAGTTACTGCCACTTGTCTGCTGCTTATGTTCTGGGAGGGCGGGTGTTGTGGGCGAAAACACCAAGAAAAGAGGACCCTCCTGCCCCGGGGGCGGCAAGGGGGGGGGAGGAGGCGGGTCCCAGAGCCCCTGGATGTCTGTGCGGAGGTCAAGGTAACTTGGTGGTGGCTGGGATTCTGTTTTAAACTAGGGATGTCCAGTCCGGTCACAAGTCAGGTGCAGGGAATGCCTTGTTGGTGTCTCTTCATATGCAAAAGATAACTTGCTGGTACCAGGCTTTCTGAATCAACGTCAAGGAGAATGTGAAGTGAGGAAGACAGAGCTTGGGTCGGAGGTCCAGTTCTAGGTTGGGGCGAATTTCTCATCTTCTTTGGAAAGGTTAGGGAGCAACCAGCTGAGAGTAAAGAGTGTTCATCTGACTAATTCGGACTTTTCTCCTCTAGGTTCAGGGAACTTCAGATTTAAGCAAGCTTCTGGTTATCCAAGCATCCGAGTCTGTCGATGATAGTAACTCCAAGGTCATGGGTAAGGAGGGGGCTTTTAACGATAGGAAAACCACTGGGAAGGCATTTAGGTAAATGTAAAATTCAGTCAGTATGAAGAAAATGATTTGAGGGTACTGTGTGGGTGCATTACTAATCCCCCTTCTTGCCCCACCCCCACCCCCGTGATGGCCACATGGCTTCTGGGAGGTCACATACCAGAGAGCTCCAGGTGGCTCCTTCCGCTCCATGACCCTCCCTCCTGCCCTTGTAGGCTGGAGCCACGCAGCAGGTTGGGGCAGAGCGGGAATGGGGAGGGGACAGACTCCCACCGTGCGCCCAGGCCTGGGCCGCTGGCTTGCTCCCACCAACCCAAGGGACAGTGGAACCTGACCCAAAGCACAGTCAATGCCGTGATTCAGATGACTTGCTGTGAGGTGGACTTCGGTAGTCATCGAGTAGTTACAGTCCCTGAATGTGTATGAGCGCCCAGCTGCACAGGGCACAGTGCTGAGCAGTGTGTGAGGAAAACTGGACGGGAAAGCCTTGCTCTGGAGCAGAAGCACTCAGGGTCTTTCCTTCAGCACTCAGTGGCCCTTCAGCGGCCCCGCCTTACGGAGCCCCTTGCCATCGCTCTCCACGCTGCCCCGGCTGGAAAGCACTGGCCCGGCACTTGCTCTTCTAGCGCCATCCCGAGTGGTTACAATTCGTGGGGCCTGCTAGCTTAGACACGATGCAGTTCTTAATGAACGGTTCATTAGGGGTGGGCAGTGTCCAGGATTTCAAATCGTGTGGCTAAAGTGACGTTTTGTTAAGAGTTCACATCTCATTAGTTCTCATTTGCATAATCCTTACAAAATGCGGCCCCATCGTGTGCTGGGCTCCGTGCCAAGCACTAGTCGGCCAGGCAGGGCCTCCGCCCTGGTGGCGGGGGAGACAGACGTTCAGTGTGTGATTTCACGTCTACCCCTGGAAGTGAGTCAAACTCAGACGTGCTCCGGGCTCGCTTCCCGCACCCGGTTCTGGGGTTGCACGCAGCGTCGGAGCTGGTGGAGCGCCCGCTGCTGCGGGGTCTCCCGTCTAAGCCGAGCTGACCGCTGTCCCACCTTCAGGGTCTCTTTAGTTCTGCCCCGCAGCTGCTCCGCAGTGCTCGTGGGGCACAGCCCTCCGGCAAGCCCCGGACAGCTGACGGCTGTGAGTCAGAGACCTCAAGTGGAAATAGGAGACAGTACCCTACTCCTGCTGGGTCTGGAGGCCCCCCGCCTCCCCCGGTGATTCTAGAGACGCAGAGGGGAATTCGTCACTCTATGTGGACTGGATCCAGCCACCACGCTGGATTTGACCCACATGCTGGGTCAAATTTTACAATTTTAAAATTGGTTGCCAAGTATAAACATTTTTTAAAAATCCAGATTTTGAGCTTTTCTTGAAAAAAAAATCAGAAAGTCTGCCAACACTGGGCACCAGCACCTCCCACTGGGGACACGGGAGCTCCCCGGGTCGCCCCGCTCACCACGCCCCCATCGCCTGCCTCTCCGATAGGCCCAGCCCTCTGCGACCATGCGGGCGCCCCCTGCCTGCGGCCTTCCAATAGCTCAGTCCAGTCCTGGGCTTTCGGGATCCCATTTACCAACCTCCCTGCAGGGGGAAAGTCAGGAGCCCACTTGAACGGGAAGCGAAGGGGAGACCTACAGGGAAAGAGCACGTTGATATTTCAAAATATTCCGCCACTTTGATTCTGAAACTCCTAACTTAGTCCTTCCGTTTGGTGCATGTTTTTGAATAGGCTCAGTCAACACCAGTCCTCACGTGACCAACAGAGAGTATAACTGGAAGAAAAAAGATGAGGTAATGAACTTGACACTCGGATTCGATTTTCTTTCTTATTGCAAATACTAAACTACCAAGCTGAAATACACCGTGAAATCAAGTAGCAAAGTGTGGCGGTGATAAGAGACTATTAGTGGCAACTCATTGATTTGGAAAAATGAGGACCAAGTTCACCTGAATTACTCAAAAATTAAAATTACAGACTATTTTTCAAAGATGTAATTTTGCCCCGCCTCCCCTCTCTCCCACCTTCCCTCTGCCTTGCCCACTGTCCCTGACGTTTACTTTAAAAGTGGGGACCTCTGGGATTAGGGTTGAGCCCCCTCATTAGCATCTAAATATCCATGGTCTCCCATTGGAGTTGGTGTTACCTGTGGATGTGCCCAGCGATCACGGACCCAGGGTGCTGGGGGCACCTGGGGCCACAGGCTGATCAAGGGCGCCTTCCTAGAAAGTCAGTTTTCCTGGATGACCTTTGAAGGAAAGCGTTAACTCATTTAACTGCCAGGTTATTGCAAACATTTTATATGAGAATAAACATGTGTTAGGGCAGGATGACAAATTCGAATGGATTTTTAAGATGAAACAGGAGGCCCCAGAACATTTTGTTGTGGAGTCACTTGGGCTTGGTCCCCAGCACCTTTTCCTGCATTCCTCAGCCATCAGGGCTAATCTGGGAAAGGTTCAGCCATGCCTGGAGTTGGCAAGGGGGAGGGCGAGGGCTGGTCGCCTGGGGGCGGGACAGGTAGAGGCCAGTCTGGTGGGACAGGGCGGTAGCCTGCAGGGCACATCACTCGGGGGGTCTCTGTGAGGCATCCTGGCGGAGCTGGCTGGGGCCCAAGCCCACTGCCGAGTGGGGAAGAGGGCAGCTCTGACCGAGTAGCTCAGCGCTCAGCAAAGGCCAGAGTCGACCAGGCAGCTGTTAACGGTGCCATGGATAGGCTTCAGGGGCAACCGGCACCCTCCTTCCCCTTCTTGCCAAGGGACCCCAGCCATGCCCTCTGAATATGGTATGCTTCAAGCCCACCACATCTCCAGCCTGGGCCTGCCATGTTCATTTCTGACAACCCAGGTGGTCTTCAGTATCTGTCTCAAGGGAAGGAAAGTTGCATTGTCCAAACTTAGGGCTAATGGTCCCTTAAAACAAAGTGACTCAGTTCTCTTTAGTCACCTTCTCCTCTTTCTTCTAGAAACCCTATTTTTTAAATGGGAAACCGACTTGGGAGTCAATTACCTGGGTTTCTCATTTGCCTCTGTTTTTTTCTGGCCCCATTATTTTTAAAAATTCTCATTCCGATTTAGGAAAGAAGTTCCCAGTTACTCTGTAATCAGTCACAAAGTGAACTAGGATCTAGTTCTCCTACCAATTCTCTTTCCCTTAAGAGACAGAGGGCTCTCATTGAATTAATGTATCTCTTTACAAGTGGACAGTGGGTGGTACAGAGATGCACATTTATTTACTGACAACGTATCACTCAAAGATGTGAGATCTTTTAGAGGGAGTGTTCCAGATCATAAAACGGAAACTTCCCATAATTTTTCTGGTTGTACTTAATTTGTTTTTTCTCCAATGCCCTTAGTCTAATATTTAACTTTCGGCTTTCTTTTCTAGTCGGAAACTGGATTCCATTACAGAAAACGATACTAATGGTGCTAATGTGATAAGTGAAGTCGGTACAAGACCAAGCCAGCATCCTGGCTCGAGGGCTGAAGAATCATCTGATGAGAAGTTTACTTAGAAGCTGCTGAAACCGTTCACGGCTGCATTGATTTTATAAGCAGTTGATGGGCTGCTACAAAAGTTCCACTTTGAAGTAGTCGCATTATCCCTGAGCTGTTTAAAGATTCTTCAGGATGCGGTAGCCCCAAACTCATGGCCTACCAAGTGAGACGCTGCATTCAGCCAACAGCAAGTTTTAGTAAAACAAGTTGTTAAAAGCATCATACAATATATTGCCATCTGAAGCATAGAATCCATCATTTTGATTTGTGATATTGCTAGAATTAGTGCCCTGCTAACATTTTCCAGAGTAAAGTTTACTCCCTTCCTCCCCAATTTAGTAACTATTGAAAAACAAAAAGGAACGATGTCCCATAATCTTAGTTACTGAGAGCAAAGTTGAGAAATTAACAGTCTTACATTGCATAGTACTGTTTGACACTTTTTGTTTTATTTTTAAAAGTCAAATAAAGTTGGATTTTATGGTGTGTTTACTAGAATCCATTGTTCCATTACAACCTAACTTTGGAGGAATACAAGACTCCCTACTCTAGGGAAAACCACAAGAGGAGCAGAAACAAGAGAAAAAGCCTGTTCGTGAAGGGCCGTCTGGACACCCAGCACGTAGGGCAGGAATTTTCGGAGTGGCTGCAGAGTGCCCGTGTGCCAGTCGTATCGGGCGTGGCTGCATGTTCCGGAAACCCCGCGTGGCTTCATTCCTCTGCTCTCACCAGATGTCTGGAGACAGGCAGACCAGGACTGACCAGTCACGGTCCCGGGGCGCTTGCAGCCTCCCCCTCCCGTGTCCTCGGCCGGCCGGTAACTTAGATTCTCAGGCTGGCCAACCTCCTCCGGTTAACTCCAGGCATCCTGCTGGCATTTCAGTCCATGAGGCTTTGCCTTTTCATCAGGGACCCCACTTGGGGCAGCTCTGTCATGTGCCCACACCAAGCACCCAAAGATGAATTTTGTCTGGCACCCCCACCTTGCCGACCTCAATACAACCTGGGTGTTTTTAGTAAAAGCAGGGGAAATGGATATTGGGTGCAGTGTCCTCTGTGCCAGGCATCACGGTCACTTGGGTGTTACAAATGCAGACAAATGCAGACTTCTGGCCACTGATAGAATCAGTCTCTGGGGTGGGCCCTGGGCTCTGCATTTTAATATGCTCCTCCTGTGTTTTAATGCATTTTGAAGCTTGAGAACCTCAGTACAGGGAATGAAGCAGCAGCAAGCAGATGTCTGCCCTGCAATTTCCTGTAGGAGGCCCATCGCCATGCACTTGAAACAGCTCCAGGACAATCCCGCACGTGTATCCATTAGGATGCTTTCGGCTGCAGGGACCAGGAAGCCCAACTCAGAAAGGCCTCAACATTACATACAGAGATGTATTATTTTATGTGGCACGAGGTAGGACGGTTTGCAGCCAGTAGACTCAGTGAAGTTGATCAGAATTTTTTCCCCCTCTGCTCTGCTGTTGACCTTTAGTCCCTTTCTACGGCTGGCTTCCTGCTCCCAGCAGCAATCAGTGCCTTGTGTTTTCTCGTTCATATTCAACAGGAGACTAAAAGGAATGGTTTCCAGTTGCAAGAGCGTGAAGGACTTCTGCTAGAAACTCCCATAATCCTGTTTGTCTCCTCCCAGAGAACTGAAGCACATGCCCATTTCTGGATCAATCACTGACAAGCAGGTGGTAATGACCTTTTACCCAGTTAATGCACCATTTAAGGGAGAACCAGCAGTGTTTCCTTAATTTGCATTGTCCCAAAGGGGTAGGATGGACTGGGGTCAATCACTAAGGCCAGTTCACTGCACCCAAACTGGCGTCTTGACCTGGTTATTTAGACACAGCCATTCTGGCTCCTTAACCCCGAGATTCTCAATGCAAATTCCTACCCTTAGGCTGGAGGTCGGAGGTGAAACCAGATCTGTGGCCAGTCCACACAAGAGCCGAAGGTGAATCACTCACTAATCTTCTATCTAGTAGCCAGAGCAGGTGCTGCTTCTTTGAAAAGCCACAGCGACTGCCTGTCAAATTCCTTATGCTTCTCTCATAGCCACCACGGTCACAGATTAATTCACTTGCAATCAATCTTTGCATGCACATGCACTTTATGTTCTGTGAAAAATGAGAGCGTGACACTTCTCGACAGGGGATTTCCACTCTCCATCGCCCAAGTGTTAAAATATACCTAGGATCACTTGTACCGGAAGTACATTCATCACGTAATATTTTATAATTGGAGGAGAATTCGTTCAACGAGCCTCCTAGCTGCTTGGTAGCACAGGCAGAGCTCAGTCTGGGGGCACAGGAACCCCTTTTCTTTGAGCTTCTAAAACATCTTTATGTTGCCATGAATGTGAGTAGCATAGATACAGGCAAACGAAACACCAAGGGTTGGCGCCCGGGTAAGGGATGGGAAGGGGCAATCATTTGTTGGGGGACAAGTCGATGAATTCCACTTTGATTTTGTTCACTCAGTGGCCAGCGTCCTGCCAGGAAAGGCTCAAGTGTGAATAATTAAAGCTGGCGATTCAGATGCTGTTATGACGAGGATGAAGCGTGGCCCACACGCGACAGAAGAGAGGAGAGCAGCGAGGGACCTAACAGGTAGGTGACCGGAGACGGAGCCAGAGGTTAGTCCGAGAGATGCTTTCAGGACCAGAGAGTTAGTTGAGGACGAAACCCATTGTGGCTTGAAGAGTGAGAACAGGAGGCCAGCCCTGGTTGGTCCGTGCCAGACCGGAGTCCCCAGGATCCGGTGAGAGTTCTGGAGTGTTCACCTCCGTTCTCAACCTTTAGAGTGTCAGCCACCTTGTCAAGGAAATTAAAGGCCTAATGACTTTTCCAACATGTGGCACCAGGGGTCATGGCTTACAGTATTCAACTCAATCAAAACACAGAGGGTTACCTGCAAGAGGCTGTACCCAGTGTGTGCCACTTTCTTCCTGTGGGACTTATTAGCACCTGAGTCTGAGAGCCCATGAGCCTGGAGTGCAAAGCATGTGTGTACCATCTGGCTCGAGATTCATATTCCAAACTCCGAGATCCCATTAAGGCATTTGGAGAGCTTGTGACAGCAGGGGTCACACACTCAAGGGACTACAGGACCCAGGCAAGTGTCACGGTGAAGTCACATGAGGTCAGCTGTGCCTGCCCGTTCGTGAGCAGGCATTTCATGTCTCTGCCTTCAGTGAAAAGCACCCACGCCAAGCCTGTCGGAGGAAACCTCTGCCCTCAGGATGCGAGAACTCTCCGATCCAGTTTGAACAGAGGATTTATTTGCTAGATCCCCAAAAAGCAAAATTCAGAACGTACTACTCCACCCCCAGCAAGAATAGTTCTATAAACCAACATTTTCGGTCATCCTCTCCTCCCGTCCCCAAGGCAACCCCTTTTTGTGTCCGCCACTGTGGAGCGACTGACCCCCCGAAATACTTTCTGTGAAAGGCACATGGCGCTATCGTTCTGTTCCCACGCCTGCGACACCCGTGCAGGGAAGTGGGGCCTTTTCTGTAGTCTCCCTCTTCTGAAAGAAATTTATTGAGAAATTTTCTTAGCAAAATATTTAAAGGACCCTCCCCCTGCTGACCCCACATCAATGATCTACTGGAAGAGTACACAATTGAAGAGTTTTTTTTCCCCTTAGCTGTGATCAAAACACCGAAAAACTGAAGAATATCCGGTTACTCTATCTTCTAGGGTCATATACTTAAGAGACTGACAGAGGAAAAAGAACCTCAAGTTCTGCGGCTCCCCAAAATGGGGAACAGAAGAGAAGACTTGGTAAGAGCAGGTAAAAAAAACTGATGGTCACTCCAGGACAGACCCTCCCTTGTCCATCAGAAACCCTGCAGAGATCCAACAGGATCTAAGTCTCAAGTGTCGACTGTATTTCGATGAGAGCCAGGAGAGAGAGCTGGGATACACGAACAGAACAGAATGCAGAGGAAGGCACGAAGCAAAGAATCCCGTCGAGTTTTTTAGTGCCATTTTCATTTAATAAGCCAGTAGGACAGCAACCCAAAGCCCGCAGCTGTGATCACAGCGGGATGTTTTGATGGAACTGCCGCAGGACACAGGCTGGACGACGGGCAGTGGCGCCCTCTGGCTCCCAGCACCTCCTGGAGCAGACCTATGGCTGGGGAGTGTAGCGGAGGTATTTCTTGCCAGACGGGAGCTCTTTGGTGAAGACTCCTTTGGGGAAAAGTTTCTTGGCATCTTCTTCCGGGATGGTTGGAAGGACCATCACGCTATCTCCAACCTAATGAACGACATTGAGAACAGTGAAATTCAATGTTTAAGCCTAAAGGCAAACATGAACTTCTTCAGAACACCCAGGCTCGCTGGCTTCCCTGCTCCTTGAACATGCCGAGCTTGCTCTTGGGCAGAGCCTCCTGCTCTCTCCATTATTCTGTGGCACTCATCGCCACCTAGTGTCCTACAACCTGACTATTGTCTGGCTCTGCCCACAGGAATGTGGGTCCAAGAGGGCTGGAACTTTATGGTTCACAGCTCTCTCTGCGCTCCATAAATGTATGTTCAGTGAATGGATAGAGCCTTTTAACTGATTTGCTCCTCAAAAAAAAAAAACAAAACCTGGCATACAGGTTAGCGTATTTTAAAAAGGTAGCAACATTAAGATACTTGTGCTATTATCCAGGTTTTACATACTGCAGAAATCCTAGACATTAAAAGCTTAAGAATAAGTGTCAGGGAATTCTACACGGCTTTAATGAAGGCAGTGAGAAAAATTCTTCAGAAGAATAAGACACGGAGTTTTCCAGCCAGTCTTTAAGCAGCCAATCTTAAGTTCTGTTGTAAATATTTTGCCACCGGGGAAGAATTCAAGGTTTAAAAAGTCCTTTTATTAGGAAAGGACATCATTCTGACCAATTCATTTGTCCAAACAAGCTAGAAGCTAGGAAGCAATATAGGAAGACTGTGTTTTATATAATAGTGTTAAAGACCTTGAAAATGGCCTGTGAGAAGAGATTAAACTCGTGAGGAAATGAGAGCCATAAACTCGTGGCTCTGAGAAAAGCCATGAGGAAACAACCCCCCAGTGGACTTGCATGCTGGGAAAAGAGCCCCCGGCAAGAGGACGCCCAAGGGCGGCCTCTTGGACACCGGCCTCACAGCCTCCCCCGCACGCTGGGGGCCGGCTCTTTCCGCAGCTTTACCTTCCAGTCAACGGGGGTGGCGACCTTCTTCTCCGCCGTCAGCTGGAGAGAAATAACTACTCTGAGAATCTCATCAAAGTTCCTGCCCGTGGTAGCTGGGTAGAGGAGAGACAGCTTCAGTTTCTTATCAGGACCAAAAACGAACACCTGCGAAGCACACAGACACAGCAAAAGGATGAGTCCTTTGAATGTTCTTGACACGAGAGCCTCTCAGAACGCTGGCCTGTCCTTACAAATGCTCAGGGGGATAAAAACAAAACAAACCAAAAATTCCCACACATCTGGAATGACACT